CTTTGTTTTCCCTAGTTTACAGATAAAAAACAGAGAGGCTCAGAAAGGTTAAGTAACTTTCTTGGGGTCACAGAACTAGGAAATGGCAGAGCCAAATATGGACCCAGGCAAGCTCACCCCAGAACTGGCACTCCACCGCTTGCATCACTGCCTATTTCTAAATTCTGAAAGTGTGTGCGTTCATGTGTGTGTACATATGTGCATGCATGTGTGCGTGTGTACCTGTGTGTAGGGAATATGCATTTTCCGGGGGTTGGGCATGAGCACCTAGAGAAGGTGATTTGAATCCTGCTGAGACCAAAGTTTGGCTTGTCCTTCAGAGAACTTACAATGAGCACGATTATGATGATCTGTGTGATGAAGTCAGCGATGCCTGAGCCCTCTCCACGCAGGGCTCCACGCAGGCAGGGACTCACCTGTTTTGTTCCCTGTTGTGTCCTGGTTGTCGACTTGGCACAGGGAAGTGCTCTGTAAATATTTGAGGGAATGAGTAGCCCATCTGCATCCATTTGGGTAGCAAAGTCAGACTAAGTTGGGAATCCACTTCCCGCTGCCTCCAGGGGTTGTCCACTGGTGCCCAGAGAAGGAGATGTACCCTTTCTGGTGCCTCTGGGAGCATCCTGGGAAGTGGGAGACATCACAGAGTAAACAGCAGCTCCCTTAAGCGCCTGGTGATGGATGGTGTTTCCTGGATGCAAGGCACGAGTGGTAGTCATAAAGTTAATTGGGCCTGTAAAGACATAACTAGAGAAATGACAGGCACAAATGGTGTCCAGCTAATTGGGCACTTAATGTGGAGGCATCAGACAGGCAAACAAACCAGGCTGCCAACACAGAGAGGTCCTTCTCTTAGGCACCGAGGGATCTTCTATTTCAAAACACCAGGGGAAGTCTTGATGTTTCAGCCTCAGGCTCTGATACTCCCTGACCGTCTGCCCAGGGGACGAAACTTGAGTTGCATCTCATCTAACCCCACAGTAAAGTCTGGGAAAGGGCCCCCAGAGAACAGAGGCTTTTCAAGGTCATTGACTGGAGAAGGTAGGATTCGAACACACGGCTTTTAACCTGCCTTACCTGTTCACTATCTTCAAATATGCACATTCTCTTCTCTTTTTAAAATATTTTATTTATTTATTTATTCATGAGAGACACAGAAAGAGAAGCAGAGACATAGGCACAATGGCTCCCTACGGGGAGCCCGATGTGGGACTCGATCCCAGGATCCCAGGATCACAACTTGAGCCAAAGGCACACACTCAGCCATTGAGCCACCCAGGGGTTCCACACATTCTCTTTTAATATGAAGACACAACATGCTCATTATGGAAGGTTAAGGAAACATAGTGGAGGTTGGCTAATCGGGTGCTTGAGGCAGGGAGGCAGAGGCTCTAAAGAAGGAAATTAAAAACAAAAAAGGAAATAAAAGTTACTCATAACCTCACCTCCCAGTGACTATCACTGAATATTTGGGTGCGTTTCCTTTCTAATTTATTTTTTTGTCCAGCAAACACTATGAAGAGATTGGGATGTGCGTGTTCCAAACCCAGATTCATACCCTAACTACAACTCTACATCCTGGGACCTGGGGGGTCTCTTTCCCCCTTTCACATAATGAGGGCATCTTCCCATGTGGTTTGCCCTACTGCTCCCTTCCTTTCTACAGGGCTTCCCATAGTATGGCCAGAAATTCTCCAGGATCAGGAGCAGACAGGGAGCCGCTTCAAAATTCAGATTCCCAGGCCCCACTGCAATCCCACAGAACCATTGTCTGCATGCTGAACACTCTCCCCAGATTATCTAGGGACACCCTGAATTTTGAGGACATCCCCCCATGTGGCAGCTCTCCACAGGGCTGCATGCCACAGTACTGCTCACAGGGCTTCAGCAGATCCACAGCTGATGAGGTTTAGATTTTATTTATTTATTCATGAGAGACACACAGAGAGAGGCAGAGACATAGGCAGAGGGAGAAGCAGGCTCCCTGTGGGGAGCCTGATACAAGACTCAGTCCCAGGACCCCAGGATCACAACCTGAGCAGAAGGCAGATGCTCGACCACTGAGCCACCCAGGCATTCCCATGCATTGATATTCTTTTCGAATGCTCCCTGGGTGACTGACACTCATTGAGGGTTGCAGGTGTCCTTTATGATGCATATAGGGTCCTCCTGCCAAGACTTGAAAGGATAAACTTTCCTTTGGGGATAAAGAAATGGAAATGTTTTATCACTAAGGTAAAGACCCATCTGTGACCCACGGTCCTCCATGATATAATTTTGACTTAGCTTCCTGCAAAGTTTCATTTCTAAATGTATGATCTTTGGCTGTTGGAAGTGTCTGTGGTGGGGCCACAGAGAGGTTGTCCAAACACCAGACTGCAGGAACACCCCCACCCCCACCCGCTCATCCGATCTTGGAGCAGAAAAAGAAGGTGTGCTTCTGCCACCCTACATCCTTCTCTCCTTATTGGCCTCTACCAAATTCATGAATAACAAGGGTCCCTGAGCTTGGACATCTGAATGATGATCTTAAATCTGTTGTTTTTCATGCCATTTGCTGCACAGATAGAAGCTAATGAGACATTCTCCATACAAGGCCTGTTAACGGGGCCTTTGGGCATTTAGGAGTGAGTGGTGGAAGGAACTGGCATGTGGGTAGAGGCTCGAATGTGGGTTTTGCAAGCGGTGAGTGAATCTGTGGCCCTGATTTTCCAAGAGGAGGCAGGAAAGCCTCTAAGTTTCCAGAGCAAAGAACACCGCAGTTGAGAACTAGGTCATCCGTCTTGTGCTGTCTTCCTGAGGCTTGACCTGAGGCGAGAAGCCAGGAGGGCTTCATGGAAAGCAAAGATGATTTACTGACACAGAGAACTAGATTCTCACCCTCGCTGAGCAACCCCAGGCAAGCCTCTTACCCATTCTGTGCTTGCGGTCCTGTACTGAGAGAGTGAGAAGAACAAAATCTAACCGTATCCTGACTAGGGCAGTGGATGAAGGGGGAAAAAATGGTAAAAGAGAAAAGTGTGTACAAGAAAAACATCACCATGCATTTACCATCCTCCACCTCCATCGGCTCACCTCATTGTCTCATCATATTTTATAATTCTGCAGCATTGAAAGTCCTCCTGAAGTTTATCTGCTCTAGACAGCTTCAGGCCATTTCCTTAAACCATAGCTTTCCAAAGGAAATCTAATTGAACAGCCTAAGCAAACAAAAGAGATAAATGCAGACATGCTGTGGAATCACCCCAGCCTCCCACTGGGCTAGGGCGTGGCCCCTAAACGGGCTCTAAGGAACCCCGGGGTACCATAAAGCACAGTTTGACAACCACTGATCCAGCCCAACACCTTCTGTTTTACAGATGTGGAAATTGAAGCCCAAAGAGGCAAAATCCTGGGCCAAACTTGCTTTTAAATATATTTTTTTTAATTTTTTTTATTTATTTATGATAGTCACAGAGAGAGAGAGAGAGGCAGAGACACAGGCAGAGGGAGAAGCAGGCTCCATGCACCGGGAGCCCGACGTGGGATTCGATCCTGGGTCTCCAGGATCGTGCCCGGGCCAAAGGCAGGCGCCAAACCGCTGCGCCACCCAGGGATCCCCCAAACTTGCTTTGAGAGCTTTTCAGGGAAACAAAATGATGGGGCAAAATGCTCAGGGGAGCGAGGGGCAGGCAGACAGAAGCAACTGGGGTAGCTGGGTGTGTGTAACTTGGTATTTACCAATGACTGAGGGTCTCCCTTGGTCTGGGAACTGGAGGGGGATGGAGCAGAGTGGAGATCAGACTGTTCAGGAAGATCCTTGTGGCTCTGCTTGGCGCAAAGCAGCATGGTTGTGTTGTGGTTAAGAACAGGAACTCAGGACAGACTGCCTGGGTCTGGATCCCAGCTCTCTCCACCTCCCAGCCATGTGACTTGAGTAAATCACTTAACCTGTCTGTGCCTCAGTTTCCCCACTTGGAAAACGGGGACAAGAATAGTGCCCAGCTTATTGTACTGCTGGAAGCATTCATTAAGAAAATCCATGTGGAGTGCTTGTCTCTCCACCTGGCACATAATAAGTGCTCAGTAAACACCAGCTACTGTTACTCTAGGCTGTGTTCTGAGACCATGGAGTGGGGCTTGTGCCCAGTGACCACTCCCACCCATCATCCTATAAGAACAATTTCTAGGAAAAACATAGAGAGAGCGGGGGAGGGAAGAGGAGGAGGAGGAGGAGGAAAGAAAGAGTGCCACTCTGGCTCTGTGCGTCCTGCTCCAAAGCAGCTCTGTCGGATCTGGGTCACAGCAGAGGCTCTGGAGCCTGCAGGCTGCTCTTGGCTCTTCCCAGGGCAGGGCGGCTCTCTGCTGAATGAAGCACAAAGGGAGAAGCTGCTATTTATAACATTGCGAGTCAGAGCACATTGAGGGAATGGCAGGAGCGAGGAGGGCCTGTGGGGAGAGTCAGCATCAGGTGGCTGCCAGGCAGGGCTGCCAGGGACCTTCTAGAGCCTGTGATGCCCAAATCACATCCCAGCAGTCCCCACGCCCAGGGTGCCTGCTGATGGAAGCCAGCCCATGGAGGGGCAGGCAGGGTCCAGCTCCATCCTGAGAATGGAAGCAGGTGTGCTAGGGACAGGGCTGGAGAATGGCCAAGATAAAGAGCAGCTGCAAGTAAACCTTGAGTGACAAGTGAAGACACCCAAGTGAAGACATCTTGTAGACAATTAGATCAACAAATCTGGAGCTCAGAAGGCAGTTTCCCTGGAGGAGATGACATGAGGTAGAAAGTCTAGATGAGGTGCTTAATCAGCAGTCAATAGAAGATATGGGAGATTTGGGGCATGGTCTGGAAATCTATCAGGATTTCATGTGCACCTACCTTTTTCTGGGGAAGGGTCCAACAGTCATCATCAGATACTCAGGAGCCCACAGCTCAGAGAAGAGTAAGACCATCAACCTGATACTCTGGGAGATGCTCATGGCCACTGGTCCTGTCAGGCCCTCATTATTGTCTCTGCTTCCAGGCGCCTGGTGGACCGTCTGGAGAACATGAGGAAGAACGTGGCCGGGGATGGGGTAAACCGCTGCATCCTATGTGGAGAACAGCTGGGGATGCTGGGCTCTGCCTGTGTGGTGTGTGAGGACTGTAAGAAGGTACCATCACCCTCCTCTTCCCTGCTTCCCCACTCATCTCATGCACAGAACTAGGCCTGGGTTCGAGCCACCCTGGGGGGCCCTGGGTCTTGGGGGTGGAGCTTGGATCCTGAAGGTAGTTGCCAGCATATGATTCCTTTGGGGGTGCTCCCATGCCCAACTATCTTCTAGGCAACTCTGATTTTATTTATTTATTTTTTAAATTTTTATTTATTTATGATAGTCACACACACACAGAGAGAGAGAGAGAGAGAGAGAGAGAGAGAGAGAGAGGCAGAGACATAGGCAGAGGGAGAAGCAGGCTCCATGCACCAGGAGCCCGACGTGGGATTCGATCCCGGGTCTCCAGGATCGCGCCCTGGGCCAAAGGCAGGCGCTAAATCACTGCGCCACCCAGGGATCCCGCAACTCTGATTTTAGTTCCTCTCCTGGAAGAGGCTCTTCCCCTCCTGTCCCCTTGGAGCGCAGCTCCATCCTGGGTGAGCTTGGGTGCCTAAGTAGGACTTGAGCTGTGTTCCAGCCTGCAAGTATCCTGGTTGTGGCTTAGCAAGTTTATGTGTCAGGCTAAAGAGCATGCTGGGCAGGTGTCTACATCATGGCAAGTTTGCCAAGTGTCCTTTTACCTGGCTTAGGAAGCCCCTCTCCAGCCAAGTTAGAGCTGCTGGGTTTCTTGAAAGCATTCATTCTTGAAGGGGAGTCTCCCTGTGCTCCCTCCACCCTGCACCCTTCCCTCAAGCTGTCAGCACTTGATGATTCCAGGACACAGATGCAACTATGCTTGGGTCTGCCCGATTCCCAGGAAAGGAAGTCAGGAGAACCCCTGGGCCGGGGACATCCATAAAGTCACTTGGCACTTCCTGCCTGGGGTCCCACTTAGCACTTACAATGCAATATCAGGGAAAGTTTATCAAGGCCAAAACACTTACCTGCTGCAGTCAAGCAGATAGTAACAATTTCCTGACCTGTTGGGTTTTCCTTTTTGTCCTGACTGCCAGGAAACTCAGCCAATAATGTTCCATCACACAGTCATGGCTTTTACACAGGTGACTGCCTTCTCCTGGAAAGTTGAGCCTGCAGCCATAGTCTAGGTTATGTCATGATTCATGCAGAAAAGAAAGAAGAAATAAATTAACAAACAAATAAACATATGGCCTTTCCTCTTGAAAATTCATGTCAGCAATCTCCCCTGTATGGATGCTGAACACTCAGACCCCAAGGGGACTCTTGGAGAACTCCAGAGAATTCACTCCTCCAAGGCCGGGGAGTGACACAGTTCTTGTTATTGGAAATTAAGACTCAGATTGGAACTTTAATCCTAACTGGCCTTGGTCATGGGAGGGAGGGGAGAGGAGAGTTCAAGCTCTTTACATCCACCAAGAGAGAATGGGGCTCAGTTGCCACACTTCCCAGCCCCTTCGTCCCGCTCACTAGCAGCTCAAAACCTGACATATCTGAGTGTGTCCTGGGCTATATTCTGTCCCCAGAATGTCTGCACTAAGTGTGGCGTGGAGACCTCCAATAACCGCCCACATCCCGTGTGGCTCTGCAAAATCTGCATTGAGCAGAGAGAGGTGAGTGGGTTGGTCCTTCCTGTTTGGCTTGTAGAGCTCCCTTCCTTGCTTGTGCAGTCCTCCCTTCCTCACTGTAACCAGGGAAACAGGGTGGCACTTGAGGGCTGGGAAACCTACTTAGGTATATGTCATAAGGGATTAGTCAAAAGGAGTTTACCAGGCCAGTGGTAAACTCTGGCAGAACAGTCCATGAGCATTTGAATGACTTTCTTTTCTTTTCTCCCGCTTCTGTGACTTTTCTCTTCCTAAAAGTAGGGAGCACACCACATTTAAGAGGTGGAAGACATGGAGTCCAGTTATTATCCTTCCACTCTCTTCACTGTGTAACCCTATACCAGTTCATCACCTTTCTGATATTCAACTTCGTCCATCAAGAAAATGGGTATACTCAGGCCCTTTCTCCTGGGTGTTTGCGGATGTTGTGTGAATCAAATACGATTTGTGACAGGCTATGTACCATGTCAGTGTGCTGAGGGCAGAGAGCAAAGTTAAAAGCTGGCACTCATGAAGGCAGGACTAACAGTGCTTGGCTGCCATGTCTTCATCCTTTCCCTCTCTTACCCCAGGTGTGGAAGCGTTCTGGAGCATGGTTCTTCAAGGGTTTCCCCAAACAGGTCCTCCCACAGCCTATGCCTATAAGGAAGGCCAAACCCCAGCAGCCCGCCAGTGAGCCTGCTGCTCCTGAGCAGGTCACGCCTGAGCCCAAGCATGCCACCCGGGCTCCAACCCGAGGTAGGACAAAACAGCTTCCCCTTTTAGGACCAAGGATAGATCTTGGCTAACTGGTCTACCTGGAGGATGTCCTAACATCATGTCTGTGTTTCCACCCAGCTGGTGGACAGCCAGCCTCTGAGCTTGTGTTTAGAACCCCTATATCCTATGCACGGCTCACCGTGAACCCTGTGCACGAGCACAGGAAAACAGTATGGGGCTTCCTCAAAAAGTTAAAAATAGACCTACCCTACAATCTAGCAATCGCACTACTGGCATTTATCCGGACTACAAAAACATTAATTCAAAGGGATACATGCACCCCTATGTTTATAGCAGCATTATTTACAGTAGCAAAGATATGGAAGCAGCCTGGGTCCACCAATTAATGAATGAATAAAAAAGACATGATAGATATAGATATAATGGAATATTATTCAGCCATAAAAAAGAATGAAATCTTGCCATTTGCAATGACATGGATAGAGCTAGAGGATATAATGCTAAGTGAAATAAGTCAGTCAGAGAAAGACAAATACCGTATGATTTTGCTCATATGTAGAATTTAAGAAGCAAAACAAATAAGCAGAAGGAGAGAGAGAGAGAAACCAAGATACAGTCTTTTAGCTCTAGAGAACAAACTGACGGTCACCAGAGGGGAAGAGAAGGGGGGAGATGGGTGAACTAGGTGATGAGGATAAAGGAGAGCACTTGTCATGATGAGCACTGGGTGTTGTATGGAAGTGTTGAATCATTACATTGTATGCCTGGAACTAATATATCGTATCATGTGATACAGTCACACTATTGTATAATAGTGGAATTAAAATAAAACCTCTTTAAAAAGAGAGGGTAGCACAGGGAACTCCCCAGCAATGCCAGGCTGCCAAATGAGCTTTTGTTGTCATCCCTGATGGGAGTATTTAGAGGTACAACAGAGATGGAGATTAAAATTGGAAACTGAGAGACTCCAATCACCAAAATACACACTGGAGCCCGAGGAGGACTTGCTGGGAAGGCCTTCCTTGTTCCTGATACTTCTATCAACCATCAGCGTATCTGAAATTGCACTAATTAAAAGTGAAAGATGAGTAGAAAGGAAATTAGTAAATTACCATGGCTATAGATATTATCACTATTATCCAAGCATTATTATTAATTAGTAAAATGATGATAAAAGGGAGAGGCAAAAAAGTAAAAAGAAGGAAAAAAGCAACTACAATACAAATATACTTTAATTAAGCGAGACAGATAGGACTGACCATCAAGGCCCTGATAATGATTTCAGTTAACACTAAGTGATAAAATCTGGTCTAATTGACAGTTCTGGGGTTGATGCAGGCAGTACTTCTGGAAGCTAAGTTATAGTTGACGGTCTCAGAGGTTGAAATGTCCAACTATGTCTCCCGTAGGACGACTTCTCAAGGTGTGCACTATGGTGCCTGCACTTAGAAGGCATCCAATAAGTGCTTTCTTCCTGACATGGCACAAGCAATGTCTATTCCTTGCAGAGAGTTACCAAATTCTTAATTTACATTGCATCCCTGAGGAGCCCCCAGTTTTAATCCCAGAGCAACCTTCTTCCTGGCTAAGCATTACTCCCTGTAGGCTGAGAAGACTGCCTAGGCTAATCGTCAAGATCTGGGACATCTGAGACCAGGAGAACCTGAATCTCAGTTCCAATTCTGCTGCTTCCTAACCTCGTGAGCTTGGTCAAGTCGACTAGCCCCCTGAGACTCTTTCCTCATCTGTGAAATGGGGTTGACAACTCACTGGGCTATTTTGAAGATTAAAGAAGATACTACATAGGGGGGTGCTTTGCAGAATGTAGCACTTAGTAAATATCGGCCAATACTATATAACATTAGAGACACAGACATACACATAAATAGTATGAATTCACTTATCAGATAAACTCTGGACAAAGCAAATAACTCCCAAACTATGGTTGATGAACACCTGTTTGCATCACTAGAAAGAAGTAACATCACCAGCATTGCATAGTGACACCTAAAAAATAGCTGGTAAGAACATCAGTGCTGGTGAATGTGGGGGAAATGGATACTTTACAAACTGTTGGTAGGACTATAAATCACCTCTAGCCTTTTGGAAGTGGTTGTAGCACAATTTATTAAAATTTGAAGGGTATATACCATTTGATCTGGCAATCTCTCTCTGGGAATATATCTAAGAGCAACACAAGAACCAATATAAACAGATACATGTGTAAGTATTTTTATCGTATCACTATTTATGGTAGCCGAACTCTAAATGTTCATTAATGGGATTGTTTATAAGATCGATTATGGGATTGATTATGGGATTTTGATATAGCCATACCATGCTATATTAGGCATCTTTTAAAATTGAATGATGTAAATGTCTATTATAGATTTGGAATTATGCCCGTGATAGAAACGTTCAGTATTTTTTTAACAGACCTTTACTGGACACCCAGTGAGTTCCAAGTTCTGTTCTCTGCCCCTAGGAATACAGTGTTACATGTAACAGACAAAATCCTTACCCTCATGCAACTAAAATTGTCCTGGGGGGGTGGGGGACAGATACTCAACAAACAGTATTGTACAAATACAATGTAATACCAGGTAGTGATGGCATCCGGAGGAAAAATGAAGGGGATAGATGTGGCAGGAGGCTCCATGTTGGATGGAATGGTCACAGAAGGACAGTCTAAGGAGTGTTGTTTGGGGTGAGGGGTAGAGAAGGCTCACGGAACATTTGGGAACATCCTGTGCAAAAGGACCTGAGGTTGGAGCATACCTGGTGAGTCCTGGGGAAAATCAAATCAAGTAGACAGAGCACATTCCAGGACAGTTTGCATGATCATTGGCTAATGATCCCAGTTTACTTCTTAAAGTTTGTGTGTGTTCACATATGCTTGTGCGTGCACAGGAAATAATGGAAATAATAAATGGGAGCTGAAGACGGGAGGGGCCCGGATCAGAAGACAGGTGGGTTCTGTGCACTCAGCCTTCTACTTTGGGACAGGAGCCCTTCTGTCCCATCTCTCTGTTTCCCTTTCTTCACTTAATACGTGTGTTTACCTCCAGGTCCTGAACTGGCCGCTGCTCCCGGGCGAGGAAGCTATGGGCCTCCTGTGCGCAGGGCCTCCGAGGCACGAATGAGCTCAGCCAGCCGGGACTCAGAGAGCTGGGACCATGGCCACGGTGGAGCTGCGGGTGACTCCAGCCGGAACCTGGCAGGTAGGAGACATGGGCAGATCCAGACAGGCTTCCTGGATGAGGAGAATCAAAAGGGATGGGGGCGACAATGACTTAATCCATGTATTAATTCAGTATTTATTGAGCATCCACTATGTGCCACGCTCTGTTCTAGACGCTGTAGTCTATGGTACAGGAAAGACAAATCAGAAGCAATTCTGACTCTAGGCCCTGAGGAAAATGCAACATGCCTTTGAACAAAGTAGGGATGCTTCCCTCTCACACAGCCACCCAAGTTCTTGGTTGCTGTGATCAGTGGCCTCTGCTGTCCGTGAGGATGGGGTGGGTCAGCATGGCCAGAATGTCCCTCACAGGTGCTCTCAGCTCACTGCAGGTCCCGTGGCTGCCCTCGCAGGGGGTTTATTTGCCAAGAGTGCCCACTGGTGGGAAGCCTTGATTCCTGGACTTCGGAAAAGAGAAGTCTTCGGATGGGAAGAGATTGAGCTCCCTAACTTCCTAACTCACAAAGTGCCATGTGTGAGTCCTCACAGCTGCTTCATTTCTTTTGTAGCAAGGGGTAAGACTAGGTCCAAAGTTAGACGGGCTGAATATTCAGGTCCCATGTTGACCTCTGACTTCTCTTCCTCAATAGCGGATCTGTAGCTTAGGCCCTCAGTCCCTTTTCTCCTTGGCAAGAGACCTGGGCACATACCCTGTGCTCAACCCACCCTGTACACCCTCTAAGGAACCTATGATTCAGATTCATAGAGAAAGAAGAATTTCTCAAATCTACAGCATCATGGAACATTTGTTAAGTACCTGCTATGTGCCAGATACTGACCCAGGCTCTTCACGTAGATCGTCTAATTTAATCCTTGTCACAACCCCAACCCCTGTTACGAAAATTTACTATTCCCATTTTACAGATGGAGAAACTGAGCTCAGAAAAGTGATGCCACTTGCCCTAGGTCACACAGCTGATAACTGGTTCAAATGCAAATTAAATACAGTCTGTCAAAAAAAAAATCCAGTCTGTCTAGCATCAAAGCTTGTGCTTCTTGTGTCTCTCTAGAGGTGAAGTTTTTATTGACAATGCTTTTTTAAACATCTTTTTAAATGGTGGTGAAATATACTTAATATTAAATTTACCAATTTAACTGTTTTTAGGTATACAGTTCAGTGGCATTAAGTGTATTCACACTGTCATGCAATCATCGCCACTAACCATCTCCAGAACCATTTCATCCCAAACCGAAACTTTGTGCCCATTAAACAATAATTCTACATTACATTCCCTCTTTCCCCCATCCCTGAAGCCCCTGGTAACCATTAACCACTATTGATTTGCTTATTCCTGACATCTCATATAAATGGAATCATACAATTTGTGGCCTTTTGTAACTGGCTTCTTCCACTTAGCATTTTGTGTTCAAGGTTCATTCATGTTGTGGCATGTATCAGAATCTGAATTCCTTTTATTAAAGGCTGGATAATATCCCCTTGCATGGATAGACCTTTTGTTTATCCATTCATCTGTTGACGTGCACTTGGGTTGTTTCCACCTTTTGGGTATTGTGAATAATGAACATTGGTGTGCAAATATCTATTTGAGTCTCTGCTCTTCATTTTGGGGGAGATATACCTATAAGTGGACTAGCTGGATCATATGGTAATTCTGTGCTTAAGTTTTTTAGGAACCACCATACTGTGTTCTATAGCAGCTTCACCATTTTACATTCTCACCAGAAATACACAAGGGTTCCAGTTTCTCCACGTGTTCACCAACATTTGTATAGTGTGTGTGTGTGTGTGTGTGTGTGTGTCCATCCATCCTAATGCATGTGAAGTGGTATCTCATATTTTTTATTTTCATTTTCCTAATGGTTAGTAATGTTGATCACCTTTTCCTGTGCTCATTGGCTATTCGTGTATTTTCTTTGGAGAAATGTCTGTTCACATCCTTCACCCATTTTTTTTGAGATGTCTGTTTTATTGTTGTTGAGTTACAGGAGTTCTTTAGATATTCTGGATATTAATCCCTTGTCAGAGCTATGATTTGTCAATGTTTTCTTCCATTCTGTGGGCTGTCTTCTCACTCTGTTGATAGTGTCCTTTGATGCACAAAAGTTTTTGATTTTGACAAGTCCTGTTTTGCTGCTTTTCTTCTGTCTTCTTTGCTTTGGGTGTCCTAAGCAATCACTCCAAAGACTTAATTATTTATTAGAGAGAGAGAGAGAGAGAAAGAGAGAGAGAGAGCAGTGGGGGAGGGGCAGAAGGACAGAAAGAGAGAGAATCTCAGTCTCACGACCCTGAAATCATGACCTGAGCCGAAACCAAGATCAGATTCTCAACCATCTAAGCCACCCAGGTGCCCCACTTTGATCCATTTTTAGTTAGCTTTTGCATATGAAGCCTGTGCTTTTAGCCTCTGGAATATTATTATTTTGAATATTTTATTTATTTACTCATGAGAAACACAGAAAGAGGCAGAGACACAGGCAGAGGGAGAAGAAGGAGGCTCCATGCAAGGAGCCCGATGAGGGACTCGATCTTGGGAATCTGGGATCACGCCCTGAGCCAAAGGCAGATGCTCAATCGCTGAACCACCCAGGAGTCCCAAGCCTCTGTATTATTTTGCCTCTTGAGAGAAAAGGCAACATTCTTGAGCCAGATTTGACCCCTGTCCCTCAAGAGTCAGTGTAAATGTTACCACCACCTATGAAGCTTCTAGCATCCACATGCTCCACCTGGAGCTGAGTTAATTGCCCGCTCCTCTGAGTTCCCAGAGTACTGATACACAGCTCTAATTAGTGCTTGTCGCCATCTAAAACATATTAAAGCCAGAATCTCTTTCCCTGAGAGAGCAGTGAAAGCAGGGGGTCAGCAGATCCATGTACCTTAGGTGCTTGTTAAAAGCACTGCTTCCGGGACACCTGGGTAGCTCCGTGGTTGGTGTCTGCCTTCCGCTCAGTTCATGATCCCGGGGTCCTGGAATTGAGTCCTGCATCAGGCTCCCCACAAGGAGCCTGCTTCTCCCTCTGCCTATGTCTCTGCCCCCTCTTTCTGTGTCTCTCATGAATGAATAAATAAAATGTTAAAAAAAAAATTGGTTCCTCTGCCCGTTCCAGACCTCCTAAATCAGAATTTCTGGGATCAGGACCCAGACTCTGCACTTCGTATAAGCAAATTCCTCAAGTGATTTCAGTGAACGCCAGAGTTTGAGAACCATTGCTCAAAAGCCTGAAAAGTTAGATAAGTGAGTTTAAATGTTTGCCTGAGCGTGCTAGGGAGCCACAGAAGGATATTGAGCAGAGGGAGCGCCCGCATCTTGTATTTTTATATCATTCACACATCGCACAGGTATGGCCATTCAAATCCTATGTGGTGGCACTGGGGTTATTCAGAGGGGTCTGGTGCTCCAAAACACAGACATGTCCATGCCACCTTTTCTGTGACATCTGCAGAAGGGATGATTGCAACCCTTCCTGGTCTGCTGGAGCCCAGATGCCCTTGCAGTGTACTAAAAGGCTCAGTCATGCTGGCAGCCCTCAGTGATGAGCCAGACTGAGCCCCAGAGGGAATTCCATCAGGAGCGCAGAGGATGACTTGCAACTCAGGCCCCAGATCTTTTACAAGAATCAAGTCAGCTCTGCACTTCCCATTCAGTAATCCCAGCACCTCCCTGTGCCCTCCTTCTCTGCAGATCTGGGACCTGGAGTTAGTACTGTGGAATAAACCAAAATCATCCCAACTTTTCTTTAGGGTACAGAGGTCATCTGGGCATCAATATCCCTTTCATGTTGACACGCCCAAACACCAAGTCCAAAGGCCACCTGTGCCATGGAGCTGTCCCCTTCCCCCCAGCCAAAGGCCCCCTCTTGCCTCCATCCCCCATGATGTTACTTATTTCCCTATATGGCCATTTCAGTTCAGTGTCAAGGGCACAAATGCCAGGATAGGCTGTGTGGGGTCAGATCTCAGCTTTACCACCTACCAACTGTGCATTCCCATTACAGATCAAGACCAGGCTTTCATTTATTATAAAATCGGAAGAATGACAGTAACTGGTCTTATCTCATGGGGTTGCTCTAAGGATTAAGTAGCTGAAACCTCACAGTGGTACTTGTAAAGATCTTGGGACAGAGCCTGGCATGCCTTGAGGGCCCAGTGTGCACGATTGTTCACTTCCTACCTCCTGGAGCAAGTATAACATAATAACTAAGGACAGGGATTCTGGAGTCATAAACTTGGTCGGAGGTCCTAGCTGCTTCTGAGCTAACTTAACTTAACTTCCATTTTCTCAACTGCAAAATGGGGACCATAATACCACACATGACATCACGTTGTAAGGGTTCCATGACGTGATGCTCACGGCCTGGTACATTTGAGGCACTCAGTGGATTTTGGCTATCACTCCTATTTTATAAGCTCATTATTTCAGTGTTTGTCTCCTTCCTCTGTGGGGGCCATGAACTCTTGAAGGAATTAAGCTGGATTTTTTCCATCTTTGCCTAGGGATTGGCACTTGGTAGTTATTCAATGAACACTTGTTGAATGAGTGAGTGAGTGAATGAATGAATGAATGAATGAACAATGACCCAAATGAACAAATCACAGTGCTACCACAGGGCCCTGGGACAAGACAAAAGGTTTGGTAACCCCCCAGCCAGAAGTGGCAAAGCACCTTCTGTCGTTAACATTGAAGCATCTCTGCAGTGACAAAGAGCTGAATTCAGGAAAGGTGGGATCCAGCCCAGTGACATGAGAGAGGATGGGGTTTTCTTCCAGGAATGTCATACCTTCTATATGCCAGGAATTGCTGTGTATATTATCCCATTTGATCCCCCAGAAGCTGTGCAGGAGACAGTAGCACCTAATGGTCTCAGGCAGACTCTGGAGACCAAATGCCTGAATTCAAACCCTGGCTCTGCTGCTAACCAGTCAGGAGATATTAAGTGAGCTACTTAGCTCTTTGTGCTCAGCTTCCCCATTTGGAAAATGGAGATAATCCAGCACCCATTTCATGAGGTATAGAGATTAAATAAATTCTTATATGTAGAGTCCCTGAAAGATGGCACATGGTAAGCATTAAATAGCTGTTAACTCATTATTACCCAGTAGAGAGAGTTGTTGCCTCCTTGAGACATCTGAGATTCAGAGAGGGTGAATGACTAGCCCAAAGTCACACAGCTTATACAAGAAGCCGAACACAGAGCTAGGTCCATGTGAAGACAGAGACCAGATTCAATAATAATATTTAGCATTTACTCCATGCCAGGCACTGTTCTGTGCCCTTTTCCTGTATTGTATCATAGCATCTCCACCACAACCCTGGGAAGTAGGTACTTTTATCCCCATTTCCCAGATGAGGAGACTGATGCTCAGAGAGGACGGGTCACTTGTGCAAGGTCACACAGGTGGAGGCAACATCACAAAACCTTCACTTTTCGACACGTGTGTTGCCACGAGTTGCCACTCTGACCTGCTCAGGGCATCTGAATGTTGCAGAGAGAAGGCACCAAGGGGAGTAGGGGTTCTGGAGGAGCTGAGAGTGTCGGGGGCCTGCATTTAGTTCAAACCCAGAAGGCATTACCTCGTGCCCACTGAGCAGCTGCAGGCTTCGTCCTGCTTCCATTCTGCGTGTGCATGTGCATGTGTATGTGCGTGTGCATGCATGCACATGTGTGCAAGCATGGAACATGACAACTGTCTCCTTTCATTTCCCCTTCAGGTTTGCGACGGGCCAACTCTGTGCAGGCCTCCAGACCTGCGCCTGCCTCCATGCAGAGCCCAGCACCTCCTCAGCCCGGGCAACCAGGTACCTGCAGCCCTGACTGTCACTCAGCTGTGGCCCCAATGCCTCCTGTCCTTGTCTGCAGAGCCCACCCGGGCTTTCTGCAAAGCCATAGCCACCACCAAACTCTCGGCACTTCAAAGATCTGAGAATGAAGCATCCTCTGGGCAGGTGGGGAAGCCAGGCAAGGCTGAGACAGGAGCAACTGACCCTCATTGCCAGGGCTTCTTCGTTCATCATTGTCCCACCTCAGGCACTGTCACTCCCTCTCACAGACCTTGCCTCATGCACCTGCCACCTGCGCTCTTACTCCTTAAAATGTTTCTTCAAATGGTTTCACTTGAAAAAATGCAGCCAAGAAAACTTGCTATCACAGACTCTCTCTCAAGGAAGTGTGGGGGACAGATGCTTCCAGAACAGCAGTGCGAGAGTCAGGAAGAAATGGTGACCAAAGAGATGAGTAATATGGAAAAACCTGTGCAAATATGGATTGCACAAAACAATAGAAATAATGCCACTCGGAAGTTAGAATTTTGTTATTTTAGGGAGAAACCTGTAATAATGGCATAAATGAGAAACCAGTATTCCATACCCTAAAGACACCAAGAGTTTACTAGGGCTGCCGTAACAAAGTACCAAACACTGAGTGGCCTAAAAGAATGGATATTTATAGTCTCACAGTTCTGGAGGCCACATGTCTAAAATCAAGGTGCTGGCGGGGAGAGACACTGCTCCATGCCTCTCTCCCAGTTCCCCGTGGCCCACACCTTCCTTGGCCGGTCGGTGACATTCCCCCTGTGTCTTCACATTGTCTCCCTTCTACGTATGTCTCTCTCCGGGTCCAAATTCCTCCTTTTTTATAAGGACATAGTCGTATGGCATTAGGGCCCACTCTGATGATCTCATCTTTCCTTGATCATCTGCAAAAATGCTCTTTCCAAATAAGGCCATATTCATAGGCACAGGTGGAGGGGATTAGAACTTCAGCATCCTCTGGAGAATACAATTCAACCCATTGCAGCGGGTAATTATAAAAATTACTGTAGTGAAATAAAGCAGTGCAGTGAGATTCTCAGTATACTGGCCTGCTGAAGGTGCTGAGCCCCAGGTTTGTTCTTTTCTGCTCAAAAGGGAAATTTACAAAAGTTAGAGAGGAGTTAGAGGGAAGTAGCACTTGAATGAGACGGCCCCATGATGGAGCAGGCACTGGGACCGGCAGTGGGAACTGAAGTCACTTTCTCACTGTGTGGTTGAATGTTATTTCATGCCCCCTCCCTGTGGCTCTCCCCTGCATCCCGTGCTTTGGGAAATGTAGTTGTAAAGAATCCACTGAACCAGTAATGACCCCATAGCCATGGTGGACTCAAGGCATAAACTTGCCTATCACCTCACAAACAATTCTTACTCCGTTCGTTCATCAACTTCGTAACAGCCTAGGGGGTAGGTACAGCATCCCCCTGTCACAGAGGAGGAAACTGAGACCCAGGAAGGAAGCACAGAAGTTTGAACCTGGGTCTTTCTGACCCCAGAAGCCCGCAGTGGGGCCATTCCTGCAGCCCTGGCTAGCTCTGCCCATCACCTGCTGCCCCCAGGCCTGTGTCTACACCCCTGAAATCGGGGGCGGGGGGTTAGGGAAGAACACCCAAGTGATGCCACCTTCTCTGCTCCAGCTGTCTCTCTTTTCCCCATTCAGGGTCTCCAGGAGGCAACAAACCCAGCCCAGGGCCAGCGGGACGCTTTCCAGATCAGAGACCAGGCAAGTGTTTCCTTCTTCCCGTATCTGTCCAGTGAGTACCCCTTTCCCACTTCCTGGGTGGGAGAGAGAAGGGGCTGCCAGAGCTTTGCCCCCTCTGTACCCAGAGACCCATCTGATGAGCCCAAAGGGGCCTCCCTAATTCCAAAACTCTAGATAGTCCTAAGATTAGATAGATAGAAACGGACAACACAGATGGTAGTTAAGAACACAGATGGCCTGGATTCAAATCCTGGCTCTTTCACTTCCCAGCTGTTGGATCACTTCCCAGCTATCAAGTCACTTAACTTCCTTGAGCCTCTGTTTCCTTATCTCTGAAATGGGAATAACCTCAAGAATCGATGGGAGGATTACACAAAGTAAGGCATATAAAACCTTAGCACATGGCCTGGGATAGATTAAGATCACACTAAGTGGGGACAGCTGGGTGGCTCAGTGGTTGAACATCTGCCTTCGGCTCAGGGCGTGATCCCGGGGTCCTGGGATCGAGTCCCTGCTTCTCCCTCTGCCTGTGTCTCTGTGTCTCTCATGAATAGATTATAAAATCTTTAAAAGAAAAAAGATCATATTAAGCGACAGTGATTCTTCCATATGAAGTACATGCATCGTCATCAGTTACTAGAGCTACAGCTTATTCATTACTTTCTAGCTCACTTCTATACACATAGTAGATAATTTTAAAGAGATAATAGCTACTGCCCTTTGAGTGCCCCCAGGTATTATAATTCCCATTTTACAGATGAAGAAACTGAGGCTTAAAGCCATTAGGTAGCTTGTCCCAGGTCACATAGCAGAGATTCAAACCCAGGCTGTCTGGCTGCAGAGCCCACACCACTGATCAGTACCCCCATGAGGTGTGTTTCGCCTGCATCTGAATCAGCTCCTGGGACTTGTTATAAGACATGGACTCCAAGGCCCCGTGGCACTGCCTGCTGAGTCCGGGCGGGGCCTGAGAACCTGCATTTTTGCAAGCTTCCCTAGGGTGATTTTGACAAAGGCAGCATTCTGAGAACCAGTGAATAACATGATGTGCCTCTTTCTCCCCGTCAGCTGGTTGTGGTGATCCTCCGTGGCTGGGCTCGGGTGGGTGTGGTACAAGGCTTTTTGAGCACTGGGTATACAGTAGGTGGTCATCACTAATGGTCATGCTGCAGCAGTCACTGCTGTCATGACACAGAGATTCAGCTGCCTCTTTCCTGCCCTCTCCCCTTCTCCCCTATAGAGGTAGCTCCTGGAGACCCTGGCTATGCCGGGGCCACTGCCCCGCTCCGGGAGGAGAGAACAGGGGGAGTTGGGGGCTACTCAGCACCTGGAGCCAGGGAGGACCGAGCAGGCCCCCCACTGGGCCCTTATTCCCAAGCATCTGCTGCTGCTCCCCAGCCTGCCGTGGCCCCTGCCCGCCAGCCCCCACCCCCAGAGGAGGAGGATGACGAAGCCAACAGCTACGATTCGGATGAAGCAAGTAGGTGGCACTGACAGGAAGAGGGTCTGGGGAGAGTCACTCCAGGGTGTCATCCCCGGGTAGATAGGAACAGCTCCCCCCAATATGCCAAGCCTAATAAACGTATTAGCAAGTTATAAAGATACCAATTTGTGTTACTAAATTCACAAAGTAACATCAGCTTTCTAAAGAATAGGTGCTATGTATGTTTTATGGTGATAAAAAAATACGTAACGTCACAGTTACCATCTAAATCATTTTGAAGAGTACGACTCGACTGCATTTGCAATGTTCAGATGTTCAGTTTGGTGGTTCCTCAACGAGGCAAGCGAGTACCACATGACCCAGCATTTCACTTCTATGTTTATATACATATGTATTTTAATAGCCTCCAAACTCTTCTAAAAGTAATTTCTTAACCATAATTTTAAAATCCCTAGACATTTCCTCCTGCATCCATCCCTTCAGTGACTTGTAAAGTGCCTGTTCTGGGCTTCGCCCACTCAGACCCAAAGTCCTAAGAACACACACACACACACACACACACACACACACACACACACACCACTGACACTTCTCCTGGGTGTGTCTGAGCAGTAGGGGAGAGCTGGGGTCGCCTTTGTGAACTGGAGGGAGACACGGATGGATCCAATATGTGTTGTGGGGCTGGGGGCATTCCAGGAGCTCCTGGTCAGGTGGACAGACGGGACACATACAGGGGAAGTGAACCCATAGTTATAATCAGTGGCACGGCTTTGGCCCATCATGTCACCTCTCCTCGCTGTAAAATGGGAAGCGAATACTGCCTCCCACACACAGCTGAGGGGAGGGTACACTGAGTACCTCCTGGGAAAGTGCTTCATAAACCTGCAATCGTTATTATTATGTGGTGCTAAACACCACAAGAGGGATTATGATGATGTACTATGCACATCAGAGGTACTAATGACCAATACCTGCTGAGTACTTACTTTGTGCCCACCTTTCTGCCCTTCTGCACACTGGTACTCCTGAGCAGCATCCACTGCTCCTTCCTCCTGTGTAAATGTCCCCTCACTGACCTGCCAAGCCTAGATGATCCCTCCCAGCTTATATCTGTTCCTATTACGTCTGCCCCCGGTGATTTATAACAAACCTATCACTGTATTCAACTATGTACTATTCACTCAGCTCTATAGTTGACAAGTATTTTATTAAGCACATACTATGCACCCCCAAACAATCCCAGATACTAGGGACACCATGGCAAAAAAACAAAACAAGAAGAAAAAGAAAAACAGCCAAAATGAGTGAGCTAGTGGAACTAACACTCTAGTGGATAGAAATAGTTAACCTACCAATGAGTTCACTTCAAATGGAGATAGCACACCAAGGAGGAAATAAAATTGGGCAATGAGCATGATCGTGGCTGCTTTAGGAGTGATGAGCAGGGAGGGCTTCTCTGAGGAGGTGATATTTAAGCTGAGATGTGAATAATGGGAAGCCACCAGCCATGTGAGGATCTAGAGGGGGAGAGAATGCCAGGCAGAGGCAAGAGCAAATGCTGTTATTCCTTTAGCAAATAAGTGAGCACCGACTATGTGCCCAGCGCTATGCCCAGTGAGGACACAGCAGTGAATGAGACAGTCACAGCCCTTGCCCTCATGGGGCTCTCCGTCTAGCCGGTCAGAAGTCATTAACTAAGCAATTACATACATGATTGACTGATCACAGGTGTGCTGAGGGCTCCGAAGTAGAGGAGGGTCCACCAGGATGGGGTGTCCAGAGCAGGGACCGAGGCTTCCCCTCTGTAGGCTCAATGCCCAGACCAGACTGGGCACATGGTAAGTGCTCAGGAGATGTTTGTTGAATGACTGCACGAATGTTCCCTTGGTTCCTGCCTCTGCCCCCTCCAGCCACCCTGGGTGCCCTGGAGTTCAGTCTTCTCTACGACCAGGACAACAGCTCCCTGAACTGCACCATCATAAAAGCCAAGGTAAGCCAGGAGCCAGGGCTGGGGACCACTTGGGATGCTCTGGCATTTCTAGGCTGCTTGGGGATGATGTGGGTTACTAGGCCTGTCAATCTGTGACAGTGACGGTAATGAGAAAGGGGCAGGAATTAGCCATGGACCCTTCCTTTGGAGGACTTCCTTGAGGGGTGATCCCAAGGGGGTTTCAGTGAGCTGTAGCTGCCTCCTGGGAGTGGAGGCAGCCGGGCTTCAAGGGCAGAGCAGAAGTCTGCCCAGCCCCAACCACAGCCCCTGGAGGGGACTGAAACGGGTGCTGTCCGGGCAGCGATGACAGCCTGACTTGACGGTTGACATGCCCACCGAATAGGTCCTTCTGCTCATGGGACTGTGAAGCTGGAGCGGCAGTGGGAACGGGGGAGCCCATTACCGCAGAGACAAGCCCATTACCGCAAGACATCACCCTGCTGCGGGGCTGGGGGGGTGGGGGTTGTGGAGCCAGCTCAGCTCCAGAGCCCCAGGAGAGCTGGATGATGCCAGGGCGATCCCAGAAACTAACTAGAGATTCCCCCACCACACACCCAGCCCATGTGGAAGCACGAGCAAGGCCCAGGAAGCAGGCTTCCTGGGTTCAAATACTAGCTCCCTTGCTCCCCAGCTGTGTGATTTGGGGAAAGTTACTTAACCTCTCCAAGCCTCTGTGTGCCATTTGTAAATCCAGGATGTTAATGTGCCTTTCCCAGAGGGACGACTGGGTATGACATGTAAGGCAGCCACACATTCCCTTTTGCCCAGGACAGTCCCTAGCCATGCCCATGAGCTGGCCGGAATAATTAAAAATGCCCAGTTTGGATGATAAGTGAGGCTAATGCTTAGCACAACTCCTAGATTAGACACACCCCAGGCCCGTCTTCGGCAGGTTTTACTGAGCACCTGTTTTGTGTTAGTCACTGTAGCAAGCGCCTACGTGCTGCAGCAGCATGGTGAGGTGAGCACATTCATGACCTTCATCCATCTTCCTGGGAACCTCGTAAGTAGGGATCATTTATCGCCCCTGTTGTACAAAATGGGAAACTGAGTCTCGGGGAAAGCCAGAGGCCACGCGGCTGGTAGGGATAGCGCTGGATTTGCATCCAGATGGAAAGGTCCCACTCCGTGCCCATCCACCCATCCCCTCCCTCAGCTCTGAAATGGGGGAGAGCCACTCCATTACACCCCCTCGAGACAGGACTACAGAAAACTCGCATGCACCCTTGGGCTGAGCAGGTGACGGAGATGAGACGAGTGTGTAAGATGTTTGGCTGTGGCAGTAACTTTATTTAGCTGGCATGAGCAGACCCCAAACAAAGATGTTCGCATTCACATTTCAAAAGCAATAGTGTCTGCCCATTCACAACCTGGCAATCCCAATAGTCATTCCAGAGAGGTTCACTGAAGATCTGCTTTGTACAGGGCACTGCCTGAACGCCGGTGAGCCCGGAGTGAGCTAGGACTGGCCCTGCCCTCCTGGGCTCACGCCGGGGACATGGCCCAGAAGCAGTGGCTGCGTGTTCCCTGGTGTTATACACCTTCTGGGGCTTTCCACGGATGATTTACTTAATCTTCGCAGGTTCTGTCGTCATTCCCATCTTACAGAGAGGTTAAGTGACTCGCCCAGATCACGTAGCCAGGAAGTGGCAGGGCTAGGGATTTGAACCAGTGTAGCCCAGCTCAAGAGCCTGGGCTCTTACCCACGAGGCTACTCTGCCAGCTTTCCCCCTTGGGCCCCACTCTGCAGCACCCTTTCCCTGTGAGAATGTGGGATTAGTGCTGTGAGAAGGAACAGTGGGAGCCTAGAGGCAGGACACCTGTCCAGCCCTGGGATAGGTAGAGGGACAGAGTATGTTTGGGCCCCAGGAATTTGCTCATATTAACATATTAATTGAATTCCTATCCCAGACAAACTCCCTTCCCCCCACAGTGTCTCACTTGAGCTTCATTCAGGCTCTGGGAGAGGTGGCAGTGGGTAGACATTGTGATCCCCATTTTATGGATGGAAAAACTGAAGTCTCAGAAATGAGTGCAGGGGCCAGGGCCAGAACTCAGACCTCCTTTCCCCAGCTTCTCCTTCTCTCTCTCTCTCTCATCCTTCTTGTTCTGGAACATCTCTTTCCAAGCTAGGAATAACAGTCCAGCCTTGATGCAGCAATCACTGTGTGCCAGGTTCTGTACCCAGCACTTTATGGGTATAACCATGTTTAGTCTTCCCACTCCATGAAGCAAATACTATTATCCTGTTTGACAGATGAGGAAAATGAGTCTCAGAGAGGTTAAGGAACTTGCCTAAAGTCACACAGCTGGCAAGTACATGGCCAGGCTCCAAACCATGTCTGCCTGATTCCAGCATTTTTTCCAAAATACTCCATTTCCCTTCTCTGTCTTCAGAAGAGGAAGCACACGGGTGGACCGACAGGCAGGACAGATGCCAGGGGCTGTGCCTATTGCCTCTGACAGTTGAGCGCCAGGCCCTCCCAAGGCCCTCAGGCTGTTGCCTTTTCTCTTGCAGGGACTGAAGCCCATGGACTCCAATGGCTTGGCTGATCCCTACGTTAAGCTGCATCTCCTGCCAGGAGCTAGCAAGGTACCATATGGCCTGGGCCTCTCGGCAGGCTGAACACATGGGCCCTGGCAGGCACCCAAGGTTCCCAGCTCAGAGCCTAAAATAGCCCCCTTATCTGGCCCCAAATTCCCCTCCTTCCTGAGTGGCAAAATCCTTGCAAGGGGTGAGGGGTAGCGGAGAGTTACTCTCCCTCAAGGGGCAGGCGCTCTGCCCACTTCTCCAATCCAGAAATATGGGATTCAGGGAGCTGCCGAAGGCCAGGAGAGAGGCAGGAACCCCTATTATGCCATCCGTCTGCTCAGATAGCTTCAGGGGCTCCCCAGTGTTGACCGTGGCCCCCCTCCCCCACTCACTTTATGTCCCAAATCTTTCTCATCTCTCAATAGAAATGAATAACTCTCTCCAGGCTGTAGTGCTAAGCACTTAAGAAAATGTTCTGTTACCGAGTGAAAATACACCACTGTCCCACCCACCATTCCCTCTCCTTCCAGCTCGCTCACCTGCATGTCACTACCTTGCTCTGGGGAAGGACGATGGAACTAATTCTCCTCTCTTTGGTTTGACCCACTCAGAGCCCAGGGCTAGAGATGAAGGGGGACTTTCTTGGATTTTATTTTCTGCTTTGTTGTGTTCATTGGACATGCATGTCCTAAAAAACAAGAGCAGCTGTACACTTGGTTGCATGATCTTGGAGAAATGGCTGTTAAAAATCTCTGCAAGTATGAAATGCCCCATAACACAAAGAGTACACACATGCGTGTGTTCACACACACGGTCTCTCACTCTTTGTTTGGATCAAGAAAGGAGAGTCCCTCACCTGGCCATGGCCAAACTGTGAAGTGTTTGGCCACTATTCATTCTAACTCCCCACTGACTTTGCTTTTCCTCAAGACTCTCTTCTTTGCTCACTTCTGAATCCAAGCTTTCTTTGCCAAAGTGTCCAGTGAGCCATTTACATGTTAGTACGAATTAGATTTGTCACCAGGCCACTTCTTCTGGATATAGTGTATTTTTAGCTGTCTTTCTTAGAGTAAAATGAAAGCCTCATCCCCTGAGGACTTTCAGGCATGAAGGATGCTATTTCGTAACACAAGAAACTATTTCAATACCTCCCAGAAACTATTTCTTCACTGCCTATAAGTGGGTGACTCTTTATTTCTGCCTTTCTAGCCTATAAATTGTATTTTTTTCATCAAAGGAGGATGTCTCTGCTTTTTAATATAAAGTTCGAAGAGAGGGCTCAGCACATGGAGGGAGGGGTGGCCCAGTGTCCAGCATTGATGATGGTCATAGCCAGCATTGGGGACCCTCCACTAACAGAAAGCATACATGGGGAGCAACTGAGCCCCCGGACACTTGTGAGAGGAGTAGACTATTACATCACCCACCCACCCGCCCCAAGTCAACCCAAAGGATGGATGGGGCTGCAGGGCTGGCTCTCTACCAAGGCAGCTGTCTGTGCATCTCTCTGGGCTCTAGTCCAACAAGCTTCGTACAAAAACCCTGCGGAACACCCGGAACCCTGTCTGGAATGAGACCCTTGTCTATCATGGCATCACAGATGAGGACATGCAGAGGAAGACCCTCAGGTACTTGTTGGGTGGGGGGCAGAGAGGAGGCCAAAGCTGGGCAGATTGAGATGTGCCGCTGCCAGAGGCCGCTCTTTAAAACATACCTGCATAGTTTTTTCTTTCTTTCTTTCTTCTACAAAAATTGTGTATGTTTCCAGTAGAAACTTTTGAACATACAGATACACAAAAATCTTAACATCTTGGTGTCTGGACGTTCAGGTTGCGTGTGTATGTATTTGTGTGTGTGCATTTACATAGGTGTGCAAAAGATTCTTATAAAATTAAGCATTTCTAAAAATGGACCATTCTAATAATTAATCAGCCTCCCTTAACAATATATCGATGCCATTTTATATTCTCCTATAGAGTTTTGTTAAACTTCATTTTTAATTATGTAATAAGTAAATACATTTTTCTTGTAAAAAATAATAGAAAAGGCAAAGCTTCTTTTAAATGTTTTCCACAGGGGTGCCTGAGTGGCTCAGGCTGTGGAGTGTCTGCCTTTGGCCCAGGTCATGATCTCAGGGTCCTGGGATCCAGCCCAGCATTGGGCTCCCTGATCAATGCAGAGTTTGCTTCTCTCTCTGCCTCCGCCCCTCCCCCCAGCTCTCTCTCTCTCTCTCCTGCTCTCTCTCCCAAATAAATAAAACATTTCTTAAAAAAGATAAACGTTAGTCTCCTCCACCAGTCTGGGGTGAGCGAGTGACTACATGCATATTCCTACTACTTTGAGTGTGTGCATATTCCTATTACTGTTTACAATGCAAAAAGTATCACACTGTATAGATCTGGAACTTTTCTCTTAATGATATCTCTTGGAGTTGTAACCATGGGAAGATATTTAGATCTGCCTAATATTTGACTGTTTCAGAGTGTCACGCAGAAAGGTTTATCCCAGATTTTTAAAAATGTTTTATAATGAAATATCACAAATATAAAAGTGTAAACGTAATAAAACAAACATCCACAAACTCAATACTCAGTCTTTCAGAGAATCTTAATATTTTTCTCTATGTACTTTGGCTTTTTAAATTGTTATTTTCAAGAAAGAAAGCATTTCAGATGCAGAACTGAAGCCTCTCTTGAATACCCCCTCCCCCCTTTTCTCCCTTCCTCTTCTGGGCTAAATACCATACTGAAATTTATGGGAGTCATTCCCAAGGCTGTTTCAGCTACATGATTATGTATCAATAAACAATGATGGTATTGTCTGGCATGGTTTTAAAATTTTTAAGGATTATTTATTTGAAAGAGAGAAAGAGTGGTGGGGAGGGACAGAGGGAGAAGGAGAATCTCGAGCAGACCCCTCTCTGAGTAGGGTGCCTGACATAGGGCTTGATCTCACAACCCAGAAATCAGGACTTGAGCTGAAATCAGGAGTCGGGACACTTGACCAACTGAACCACCCAGGAACCCCAGGCGTGTTGTTAAACTTTATGTAAATGTTTATCAGTTGATTCAGGCAGTGCCCAGTGGAAGGACATTTAGTTTTTTTCCAGCTTCTCTGTTTTACAAAGTTGCAACAAGCATCCATGTGTATGTACTAGTGTTTCCTTAGGATAGAAGCTAAAGGGGAACATTTGTTGGATGATAGTACATGTTTGTTTTTTTACAAGTCATACAAACTGCTTTTTAAATTGGCTCCTCCATGTACATTCCCACCCACTACACCATAATTCTAAGTAAACATTTTTATTGCAGGGTAACATCCATTTAGAAAAATACACACATAAAAACTCTACAGATTGATGAGTTTTTGCAAAGTGAACATACTGGGATCTGAGAACAGAACATTCCCAGTCTACAGACACCCTGCCCCGGTGCCATCCCTCTAGTGAGGACCTTCCCCTCGGGGTGTTCACTATCTAACTTCTAAAGGACAAATGAACTCAGTCTGGTTTTGTTCGTTACATAAATGGAATGGTAGAGCATGACCCTTTTGTGTCTGTCTTCTTTCACTTAATATTGTATTTGATACTTGCCCAAGCTGTGTGTAGCTATAGATTGTTGATTCTTGTCACTCTATTTTTTTTAGGATTTATTCATTTATTTGAGAGAGAGAGAGAGTGCACTGGGGTGAGAGGGACAAAGGACGAGGGAGGGAAAGAATCCCAAGCAAACTCCTTGCTGAGCACAGAACCCGATGCGGGGCTTGATCCCATGACCTCAAGATCATGACCTGAGCCATCAAGAATTGGACACTCAACAAATTGAGCCATTGAGACACCCCATCTTATCACTCTGTAGTATCCAATTGTGCAATTATACCACAGTTTTATTTATTCATTCTACTGTTAATGGACATTTGGTTGGTTTTCATTTGGAGGCTATTATAATAGTACTGCTAGGAACATTCTAGTGATATTGTATTATGCATGCTTTTCTTTCTAGGAATGTAAAGGTTGAATCATAGTGTATATATATATATATATGTTCAGCTTTAATAGAAACTGACAATTTTTCATAGCAGTTATAGCACTTGACACTCCTCCCAGCAATGTACAAGAGTCCCAGTTCTTCCACAACCTCATCAATACTTTTTCATTTTGGCTTTTCTGGCAGGTGTATAGTGGTGTTGCATTTTGGTTCTGCCTTTCCCTGTTGACTAATCACAACACTATTTTCCATATATACAGTTACATTTTTATGGTTATTTCATGATTTTCTTAAGTAATTCCCCCTTATAGAATACATACATTATTTCTGCTTTTTCACAACTAGAAACATAAAGGGGATAATCATCTTTGTTAAATATTTTTACACTTCTTATGTCTTTGAGATAAATTCCTAGAACTGGCATTGTTGGTTCAAAAATGATGTTTATTAAGTCTTTGGAGGCACACTGATTGCCCTGCAGAGGGAGGGGATTGGCTACGTGCTCACCAGCCAAGTAGAGACAACTTTCTGGCCCTCTAACACTTCAAACATTGTTCAATAAATGTTGATAGTCAAGGGGGAAGATAACATTAAGTCCCTGCCTGTCCCCTAGACTGCCAGGAGGACACATCCTTCCTTCCCTTTGGTGTATGTCAGACTGAATTATGTTGTGACTAGTCCTTTTGGCTTCCTGAGGGACCTTTCCATGACCTGCCCTTTCTCTGTGTGCCTCTCTTCTACTCAGTGCTGTGCAGAGTAGATAACAAAGGGCAATATAGTGTTTGAGGATTCACAGAGACCTGGATTCAAATCCTGATTCTGCTCCTTACCAGGGAAAAAGTATTCAGCCTCTCTGGGCTCCAGTCTCCTCTTTAAAGTGAGAAACCCAGATGTTTGCATGGAGGACAAATTAAAGAAGGAGAGGTTAACTAAGCTCCTGGCCTAACTTTGCAAAAGATGATGTTCGAATGGCCATAAAGTATGCCTTAATCACCGGGGAACTATAAATTAAAACTACAGTGAGATACTATTGCTCACTCAGAAAGACTAAAATTAAAGACTGACAGAGTCAAAGTTAGCAAAAAACTTGAGCTGTTGGTGGGGTCTAATTGGCAGAACCACTCTGGAAAACTGTTTAGAAGTTTCTACTGAAGCTAAACCTCTGTGTAGCTGTGATGCAGTATTTCCATCCCTAGGAAGATACACATAGAAATATATCCATGTACATACAAAAAGATTCAGTGTGGATGTTCTATGGCAGCTTTATTTCTAATAGTTCAAAGCTAGAAATAGGCCAAAACTAAATGCCCATAAGTAGCAGAAGTATTATGGTATAGTTACACAATGGAATACTATACAGCAGTGAAAAGGACAAATTACTATAAACATGGATGAAGCTCACTGACGTAATGCTGAACAGAAGAAACCAAGCATAAAAGAAGACATACTACCTCATTTTATTTATATGAGGGTCCAAAACAAGATAATATGAATCTTGCCAGAGGCCAAGATAGTGGTTATCTTTAAGGGGGGTCATGACTAGACCAGGAGGGTCTTCCAGGAGCCAGAATGTTCTACATCCTGATCTGGATGGTGGTTACATCGGTGTATGGATACACAAAAATTCAGCAGGCTATAAATTTAAGATTTGGGCACATTGCTGCTTATAATTTACACTGTAATAAAGAAGAAACAAAGTACCTGGCGTAGTGCTTGAAACTGAAATATTCCTATGCACATTACGCATGCCCTGCCAGTATCAATCATAGCCCTTGGTATACAGTAGTTACTCAATATAAGCTCTTCATTCTCTCCCCATCTCTTATGTTGATCGCAGGATCTCTGTCTGTGATGAAGACAAATTTGGCCATAACGAGTTTATCGGTGAGACCAGATTTTCACTCAAGAAACTGAAGCCCAACCAGAAAAAGAACTTCAATATCTGTCTGGAGCGAGTGATCCCAGTGAGTGCCTTTACCCAGAGGGTGTGATGGGGAAGAAGGTTTGGGGGGCTGGGGCCTTCCTCTGGGCCTGTGAAGGGGGTGATAGATCGGCAGGGGGCCTGACAGTAGAGGTGGGAGGGAGAGTTCAGGTCAGAACATGGGGGTTGCATCCCAGCCCTGCCTTTTACTAACCCTGTGCCAGCATCACTTCTCTGACGTCAGAGTCCTCCTGGGTGAAACTGGGAAGGGCCATGTGGTGTGGCAGTGTGGCCTGCCTGGGTTCAAAGCCTGGCTCTACCACTTTCCTGCTCCCTGGTCTTGGCCAAGGGTCTGAACTCTTCTGAGCTTCGGTTTTTCTTGTCTACAAAATGGGTGTTATAACAGGATTTGTGCCAGAGGAGGGTCGTATGAAAGATATAATCAGAACAGAACCTAGTGTATAATAAGGACTCATAAATTAACTGTTGTTATCAGAGAAAATAGTTCTGCCTTGCTCACTTTTGTCCGTCGTGAATTCATAAAGCACCATGCAGGTCCACAGGGAGCCAGAGTCCCTGGATCTGAATCTCAGGCCCTGCCACTTATAATCTGAGCCAAATTGTTTAACCTCCCTAGGCCTTAGTTCTCTCGCCTGTCAGATGGAATAATGTAGACACCAACTTCTTAGAGTCTTCTAAGGATTAATGTGGGAGTACAGATAAAGCACTGAAGCTGTAACTGCTAGGTGGGGTGCTTGCCTTTTGGGAAAGAACAGGAACCAAACCAAAGCTCTCCAATTGGGCTGTACCTCAAAATCAACTGGAGATTTGTATTTTTATTTTTTTATAGTTTAATGTATTTTAACAGCAGACTTGCAGGAACAGCACAAGAGACAGACAACATTAACAACATGTATTTGCATGTAGGACAACTCAGAAAAGTACAGTGAATGTCTAGTCACTGGAATCTACTGTATGATAAAAATATCACAAACACGAATTAGCTGCCATCAATAAGAAATCTACTTGTTTAAAATAATAAAATAAAATAAAATTCCAAATGCTGGCATTGTCTAGAAAAATGTAACAGATTTATTTATCACCATTATAAAGTTGAACCTACTAAAAGGTATTTACTGGAACTGACTTGCATTCATGCTTTAGGTCCCCACATTTGTTAAAAATTCACACACATGGAAGAAAAAACATCTAACGTTCTGAACTACTGATAACAGGAAGAAATTTTTTTTTTTAAAGAATGAGGTGTTTTCCATCATAGTGGAATCTTAAGCATGTTCTTCATGTGGTGGCGTGTCAGCTGGATGTATTTTGGCACAGTGGTTACACGTTTGGCATGGAGAGCCCACAGACTGGTGTCTTTAGAAAGATCCAGCAGGTAGGCTCCCTTGCTTCCTGCAAAGCACCCATAGCCACATTCTGGAAGCACAGATCTCTTTTGAGGTCCTGCACAATTTCCCACACCAGACGCTGGAAAGGAAGTTTGTGAATCAGAAGTTCAGTGAATTTCTGATAATGTCTAATTTCACGGAGGGCCATGGCGCCAGGCCTGTAACGATGAGGTTTCTTCATCCCTTCCGTAGAGGGTGAGGTCTTGTGAGTGGCTTTTGTAGCCAGTTGCTTCCTCTGTGCTTTACCACTGGCCGATTTGTGGGCAGTACGTGCCACGGCCCAGAGACCTCCTTACTTCCCCTCCTTCTCTGTGGCTGGAGCTCAGCAGGCCAGAGACGGTGCTGGTGCTGGTGTCAGCGAGCTGTGGTGGCTGCCAACACAGTTCTCAACTGGAGATTTTTATTTATTTTTTTTTAATTTTTATTTATTTATGATAGTCACAGAGAGAGAGAGAGAGAGGCAGAGACACAGGCAGAGGGAGAAGCAGGCTCCATGCACCGGGAGCCCGACGTGGGATTTGATCCCGGGTCTCCAGGATCGCGCCCTGGGCCAAAGGCAGGCGCCAAACTGCTGCGCCACCCAGCGATCCCTCAACTGGAGATTTTTAAACGAGAGCTTTACAAACTAAGATTTGTGGGGATCTCCCTGGAGATCCTGACTTAGTGAGATAGGGTGGGACCCACCAATCTGTATTTTTAGGGATAATCCAATCTGCCCCTCTTACATACAGGCCAGCTTGGGCCCAGAGAGGCCAGTAAGCTGGCAAGGTCATACCACAAGTCAGTGGCTGTGCTCTCCAGCACCAGCCAGAGCCCAGCTCCCTTGCAACCACCAGGGCTCCTGCTCCCCCTGGGCAGCGGGCCAGCTCCCCATGGGGACACTGTTGGGGGGCAGGAGGGGAAATCCTGCAGCATCCTCCCACCAGATGGCCAGCCCAGGGATAGAATATCTGTATGCCACACCGTATTTGTGTAGCACAAGCAAAAGAACAAGACACTACAAGGCAAATTACAAAGAGCTATTTACACCATACCCCAGGCTCCAAATAAATCATCAAGAGTGAAGCATTTCCTCTGGGCCTTTGCCTGTAATAGTTGTTTCTTCAAGCGCCCCCTTCCATCCCTCAGTCCATGAGTCAAGTTGGTCAGGACAGTGGCCGGGCCCCCATCTGGGTTGTCAGCTCCTGAATCTGCCCATCTTGCTATGTGGGTGCAGCCAGCCCCAAAGGCACAAAGGTGGCAGGGCAGGCAGAGACCTGGAGCAGCCACGAGACCCTGCTGCTCATCTCTTTTGCTCTTTGTCCTTAACCTTCCCATCACCAACTCTGCCCACCAGGGGCAGGGGCCTCATAAGTGCTATGTCCTCTTATTCTGGATCTCAGTTGTCCTCATCCCTAAAGTGGGGAGGTTGGATTTAGTCACTGCTTTTCACATAGTGTTTCCCCAGAGCCCTAGAATCCCCCAAAAGGACCTTAGGAGCCATAGGGGAAGAAGTAGCTGGTGGCTCAGACCCAAGATCCCTGGGCCACTTCTACCAGAACAGATGAAATCTTATCCATTTTATGTATAAGGCACTCTGCCACTTGTTGGCTGTGTGACCTTGGGCAAGTGGCTTACCCACTCTGATCCTCAGTCTCCTCATCTGTAAAATGGGTTAGTAATACATCCTAGGTCATAGGCTGGTGTGCATTAACATGGTCTGTCAAATGGTCAACGTTATATAAACTTTACCTAAAAGGGGAAAAGCTGGAGAGCCACAGAAGCTTGGAGAATCCACCCTCATGGCTCTGGATGTTAATGGAAGGGTGAGGGTTTTCTGGTCCTTCTTATGTAGGGAGATGAGCCTCATAAACTCATGTTATCTTTCCTTTCTGTTTCCTTCCTCTAAGATGAAGCGTGCTGGAACCACGGGTCAGCCCGAGGCATGGCCCTTTATGAGGAGGAGGTGAGCACTGAGTGGGTATTGAAGCCACGGCTGGGGTCCACCATCACACTTTTCTCCCCCTCCTGGCCCCCTTCTTATTCTTTCTCCTAAAACCAGTTGCCTGTCCTCAGTTTACCATGAGAGAGGTACCCTTGCCCAAGGCATTAGAACATGAGACCAAGTGGATGCTCTTCCCACTTGGAGCCCCCGTAGTGGGGAAAGGCCACCCTCTCACACCCTTGAGTTCCCGCACCTTGTTGGCAGAAGCTCTGCTGGCAGTTCGTCAGGACCAGAGCGATGCCACTCTCCCTCCCTCTGGGGTGACATAGGGCAGGCTGCCAGAGGCTGGGGTTGGGCTACACGTTTCTGCTGTTTGTCTAGGGCCCTCGTGCAACCCTAGGGACTGTAATTGTGAGAAGACTGGTTGACTCAGGCAAATATGAGCTCAGAGTCACACTGGAACTCAGGGCTCTATGCCTAGGTGGGAGTAAAGCCCCCCACCCTCATGTGCCTTGGCCTTCCACCAGTGTTGGTGTCACCACTTGCTGCTCCCTGGAGACTGCTGTTCGTGGTGCTGACCACTCTGTGGCAGGCCAGCTCCTCCTACTGTCCACAGGCTCCTCCCTAACGCTCGCCATCCATCCAGCTGCATGACCTCCTCCCCTTCCTGGGCCCACATGCCCTCTTCTCCTACTGCAGCAGGTGGAGCGTATTGGTGACATAGAGGAACGCGGCAAGATCCTGGTGTCCCTTATGTACAGCACACAGCAGGGAGGCCTCATCGTGGGCATTATACGCTGTGTGCACCTGGCCGCCATGGACGCCAATGGCTATTCAGATCCGTTCGTCAAGCTGTGAGTCATTGGGAATGTGAATGGACCCCAGAGGGAGTCCTAGATCCTTGCAAAGGGAGAACCAGAGCCCTTCCCCAAGATCATTGAACACTGAGGCCCAGAGAGGGAAATGAGCCTGCCCAAGGTCACACAGTGAGACAATGCCCAGAACTGGCTAGAGTAGGAGTCTGGAGTCTCAGATAGTCAGACTGGTGTGTCACTAGCCCATAGGAGGAGTTTTGTGGGCTCTGTCTCCTCTGGTGGGAGAGAGGCAGTCGATGAGATTGCAGTTACCCCATTTGGAGCCCCCTAGAATCAGCAGCATGTCTCTCCAGGAGTCCAGAGCCCCACCACCAAAGAAGCAATCCAGCTTTTTCCAGATGCAGTCTGGAAATGCTCAAAGAAAAAGGCCTTAGACGTTTGGCTATTCCCATAATCTCCACCATGGGGAGTCAGAGAGACATGTTATTTGTGTGAGTCCAGAGCCTCTGGAATGATGCCACAATGGGATTCAACAGACAAGGGCTTCACTAGTGGAAATGCCTGAGTGAGGGAGCTGAGAGAGCTGTCACACCGCCATGTGAGTCTGACTCACGTGAGCAGAGGGGAGAGACAGCGGCCAGTGGAAGCACCCCGGATGCAAGTGCGGCAAGGCCATCAGAGTCCTCAAGGCCAAACCCAGCCGTCAAATAAGTCCCCTGTCTCCTAAGAGCAGGACCACTGTAATTCCTGCCACCTTCACTCCTCAGCTGGGAGCAGGGCCTTGGCACGAACAGGGTTGGATTTCCAAGTGCAGCTGCCAGAGCCTCAGCCAGGTATGCTGTAGCTTGAGGTCTGCCCAGCACATTCTCACGGCCACCACTGAATCAAACGTGGGGTTCCACTCCCATCCCAGTACCCAGTCCATTTTGCCCCTAGAGCTGGAGATCTGAGAGAAGCATTGTCATTGGGTCTGGTACATAGTAAGTGCTCAATAAGTATCTGCCATTATGGTTATAAATCACTACCACTGCTATTCCTACTCATGGCAAAGAGTGTTTATTGATGTTCCTTCCATCCTGGGAGACATTCCCTTCCACTGTCTACCTCTCATAATAGAATACAGTGCTCCCCTTAAGGTCATGGCTAAAGATCAGGCCAGGGTAGACTTGGTTCCGATTTTCTTTGAATGATGATTTAGTGAACAAAAGAATGCATGAGTCAGGGATGAATTTGATTTCTAGGGGTAACTGCGCTTTGTTTTCTCAAGTGGTCCAAAAAAGAAAATTAGCTCATAGGTGGCTGTCCTCACTCTATTTCATCCCAGCCACATGCAGACTGTTTTTCTCAAATAATTCTCCCTACCACCCCTTCTCTCATCCACCCGTCCCTGCAGAGGAAGTAGCAATCCTGTGGTCACCAGGAAAACAGCTGCCCTGGTGGTCATTGTGGGAAAAGCTAAAGGAAGGCCGTTAATCTGTTTATGATCAAATAAAGATTTTTAAAATCAAAATTGCCCTTTATCTTTGCTGAGCACTTCATAATTTTCATTCTCCCCTTTGGTTTCTTCTTTAAAATTGTCCTCAAGGGACACCTGGGTGGCTCAGTTGGTTAAGTGTCTGCCTTGGGCTCAGATCATGATCCCAGGGTCCTGGGATAGAGCCCTGCATAGGGCTCCTTGCTCAGCAGGGAGTCTGCTTCTCCCTCTTTCTCTGCTGCTCCCCCTGCTTGTGTTTTCTCTCTCTCTCTCAAATAAATAAATTAAAATAAAATAATAAAACTGTCCTCAAGGGCATTGTGAGGTACAGGCTTCCAGCCATGGAATGAATGAATCACAGGGATGAAGGCACAGCATAGAGAATATAGTCAATGGTATTGCAATAGTGCTGCATGATAATGGTGTCTACCCTTGTGGCGAGCACAGTATAAGAACAGAGTTGTCAAATCACTGTGTTGTATACCTGAAACTAATGTAGTATTGTGTGTCCACTATGCTTCAATAAAAATAAGTAAATAAAATAAATTATCCTCAAAAGTAGTTCTGTAAGTGAGGGGAAAAAAATGTTTGCCCTCTTTACACATTGGGAAACTGAGGCATGCCGAAGCTACATTTACATTCAAAGTTTCCCAGCTAGTGGCAGCTTTAATCAGAATCCTTATGTCTCAACTCTTAGGAGGCTTAGGCCCATTTTATTTATTTGCTCAGAAAATATTGATCAAGCACCTACGATGTGCCAGGCACTGTGCCTACACTGGGGAAGAGCCTTCCAGCCAGAGGAAACAGTATGTGCAAAGGCCCTGAGGTGGAAAGGATAGTGAATGGGGAGTGGGGTGAAGAGCATAGCATAAGACCAGGCTGGGCCGGAGCAAGGACCCAATATGCAGAGCCTTAAAAGCCACATCAAGGATTTTGAACTTTTTCCTGAGATCAAAGGGAAGCCACTGAATAGTTTGAGGAGGCTTGATTGTAAACAGATTTTCGCATCTTCTCCTTTCTGTCTGTACAGTCACAGAGCCTCATCAGGACTTGGGGCAGCCTAAGGGGTAATTGTGCAACTCTAGGCACCACCATCTAGGCTTTCAATCAGATCCAATGGGACAAAGTATTGGCTAAGAGCACCAACTCGAGGCAACCACTGGGTTGAGTCCCCAGCTGTGTGACCTGAGGCACATGTCTCAACTTCTCTGGATGCTCAATTTCCTTGCACATAAAATGAGTGGTTGTAGCTCTACCACTGGGGTTTTGAGAAAGAAATATCCCCAAGGTGCTTATTGCAGTGCCAGGTAGATACACATTGGCTATTGTTAATGTTGATTCAGTTTCTGATTTGTTCAGTTATTCTCCTGACATGGGAAGGAGCCTCTGGGCTCAAGAGGCTGCTCTTATTTATTACACTTCCTCCACAATAGCATCTCTTGTCTCCTCTCAGCTGGCTGAAACCAGACATGGGAAAGAAAGCCAAACATAAGACCCAAATAAAGAAGAAAACCTTGAATCCTGAATTTAATGAGGTAAGGCTGCCCCATTTTTGTCATGCTCTGAGATATTTCCTGTGTGTGAGAAAGGAACAAGCTCCCTACTAGAAAGTTATAAAGCACATCAAAAAAGCTTTCTCAGGCACCTGGATGGCTCAGTGGTTGAGCGTCTGCCTTTGGCTCAGGTCATGATCCTGGGGTCCTGGGATAGAGTCCTGTATCAGGCTCCCCACAGAGAGCCCGTTTCTCCTTCTGCCTATGTCTCTGCCTCTCTCTGTGTCTCTCATGAATAAATAAAATCTTAAAAAAAAAAAACACACAACATTGACCCATGGTTTTTTTTTTTTTTTTTAAAAGCTTTTTCTCAGGGCACCCGGGTGACACAGGTTTCAGCTCCGGTCATGATCTGTGGTTGGGGACTGAGTCCTATATCAGCTCCTTCTAAGTGCAGAGTCTGCTTTGGGTTCTTTCTCCCTTTTCCTCCCCGCTCTGCCTGTCCCAGCTCATGCCCTCTGTCTCTCTGTCTCTCTAAAATGAATAAATAACATCTTTTTAAAAAAAAAAAAAGCTCTTTCTAGGGTGCCTGGGTGGCTCAGTCAGTTAAGTGTCTGCCTTCATCTTGGGTCAAGATCCCAGGGTCCTGGGACCAAGCCCCATGTCGGCCTCCCTGCTTGGTGGGAAGCCTACTTCTCCCTCCCCCTCTGCCCTTATTTGTGCTCTCTCTCTTGAATAAATAAAATCTTTTTTTAAAAAAAAAAGCTTTGTCTCATAGATCCACTTGAATTATCTAAAGATAGATGATGAGTTCCTTGTATCCAGGGGGAATGAAGCCAAAGACAAAGGCTATAGATTAGGAATGTCATAGGAGGAAGCTGCATTTGGAGACAAATTGAATGAAACCATCTCCAACTAATAGTTTGTGGTCTTGAAATTTGAAGAAATAAATAGGGGTAGTGATGCCTTTTACCATCCACCCAGTTGGCACTGCCTTCTCTCTCTCGCTCACTCCCCATGTCCATCTTGAGCATCAAGTCCTGCTAAGGCCACTATCTACATACCCACTGAATGTGCCCCTTCCTATTGTCTCACCGTTACTTGTCTGGCATCTCATGTCTGGACTATTGCAGAAGACTCCTGACTCACATCCTTGTGTTTGGCCCATCCTCACATAAGCATGAGCTTTCTAAAGAATGAATCTGAAATTTTCATCCGCATTGCTTAGCCCAGCAGTGATACCTTAACTTCTTAGTGTGACAGTCAAGCCCTTTCAAACTCACATCCCACCTCTGCCACATCTTATACTCCCCTCCTCAAGTCACACTAACATCATGTGGTTCCTTGGCACATCTCTTAGTCTTTGCACTGGCTGCTCCCTTTTCCTGGACTTCCATCTCTCTTCCTCTCTGGCAGACTCCTAGTCATCCCTTAAGAGTCAAATATGCTTTCCTCTGGGCTTCCAGACTTTCTGTGTCCCTGCATCTCATGCTGTCACCCTGGATTTCAGTTATTTGTTGACAAGCCTGTCAGATACTAGGGGTCCAGAAATATCTATTGAATGCAATGATCTGACGTCAGCTTAGAGTCAGCTAGCACTGGTTTTTACCAAACGTTGGAAAGTGGGCAGAGAACTACAATACAATGTGCTTTTCATTATTTTGCTTTTGAAATGCATGTGCCCATATGAGCAGGCATGGAGAAGGTTCTGTGTAAACAGAGCTCAGAGTATCATGGGCCAGAAGTTCAGCACATCCTCCTCTCAGGACTCTCTTTCAGTTGACCCCTAATTTCCTGACTCTGACTCCTGAATTTTGAGTAAGGAGCCAATGACTGCTGTCCAGCCCTACCCTCTCCTGGAGTCTGAATGAGTCACCGAAGAAGAAATCCAAATAGCCAATAAGCCCCATCAGCAATAGAGACAAGGCCAGACACCAGGTTTTGTCACAGACTGGCACAAAAATACTGTAAAATGTTGGTACCCAGTGTTGGTGAGCCTGTGGGGAATTATACACACTATGGGTAAGAGAGAGAACTGGTCCAACTGCCTAAGGGATATTTGTCAAATTGCTCCAAAAGCCTTAACATTTTAAAATTTAAGTGCCATTTATTTGAGGAATAGGTAATATAATCACATATCTGAAAATTCCAAAAGTACCAAAGGGTATCCAGTTAAAATTCTCCTCCTTTCCCAGCCTCTATCACCTACTTCTCTTCTTTTGAAGCAAGTATATTATCCTCTTCCAGGATTTATAAGAATACAAAACAAGAAAGTATATAGCTGGCTTTCTTGCTGATGACAAATGGCATCATGGTATACATCTACTGCTCTCTACCTTAAAATTTTACAAACTCAGAGATATATGACTCAAAATTTATCCTAAATAAATTATCATGGATTTACACAATACCTGAATAGCAAAAGTGTGCGCCTTTTATCATATCATTAATGGTAGTGGAAAGTTGGAAACAACCTAAATATTCAACCGTTGGGCATTAGATTAAGGGACACAACCATTAAATGAAGCCAGAAAAATATTTGCTAACACGCTAAGTTGGTTCTTACCATATGTTATAAAATGGGAAAAGAAGGCCACAGTGCAGTATATTCATATTATATTTTTATAATATTGAAATGTTTCATATAATAGTCTAATTAATCTTCATATTAACTTTTTGAAAATGTACATTAATTTGGTCACTCATAAGAAATGTTGACAGTGGCTATTCTGGGATAGTTAGGTGACAAATTTTGAGGGTTGGGTTTTATTTGATTTTATTTTAGTTTCCTTGTTTATTTTAATGATGAACACGAATGAATTTTCTAGTTAGGCAGAAAAGTCACATAAAAAGTCAGATTGTCTGGAAACCTAAGCACCTATACCCCTCATGTCAGTCTCAAGGCCCTTGACTACCCTTCATCTGTAAATAATGGAGAGAGGAGAACCCACTCCAGAAGCTACCAGAATAGAAGGACTGAGTTCACAGCCATTTGCCTTCAAGGAAACCTGACCAGGAGCAGCTTTCTTAGAAAAACCCCATCAGCCTTCCTGATTTCAGAAAATCACTGAAACGTGAATTATGGAGCTTGAGAGACTTTGTTATACAGAATGTTTGTTGAAAGGGGATTGTCAGGCCAGGGCAGAAGGGTTCCCCTGCTCCTAAATGTCCAGTCTAAGGACCTCCCTTTGGTCTCTGAACCCCTAGGGCTCAGCCTCTTAGCTTCTGATGCTGAAGTCTCAGGACCCTCCCACTCACCTATCTTTCTCTGCTGCATTCAGGAGTTTTTCTATGACATCAAACATAGTGACCTGGCGAAAAAGTCCCTGGACATCTCGGTCTGGGACTATGACATCGGCAAATCCAATGATTACATCGGTGAGTACTTCTGGCTCCCAGAGAGAAGCCCATCCTCCCAGGAAAGAAGAGCCTTAAGAATCTAGGCTTCTCTTGGAGGGTTCAGGGCACTTCTTGTCTTTTGGTGGCCGCATCGTCTAAACACCACATCGGGACAAATTTGGGTGATTTGGGTCCAATTGGGGGGGATGCTTTTATAGGAAAGGGCTTACACAGCTGAGGGATTGGGTCATGATTGATTATTTGCTCAACAAATCATATCCAGTGGATAATCAAATCCCAGAGGACAGAAGGATCTGTGGCCTCAGAAAACAGGGTGAAAAGGAAGTCTCCTTAACCGATTTGTTAAATCCTGAAAAAGGTTCTAATTTTCCCAGCTTGCCTTCAGATGACGAGGAAGAATAGACATTAAAGATGGGGTGGGGGAGGGAGGCCTGGGTGGCTCAGTGGTTGAGTGTTTGCCTTTGGCTCAGGCTGTGATCCCCGGGTCCTGGGATCGAGTCCTGCATCGGGCTGCCCACATGGAGCCTGCTTCTCCCTCTGCCTGTGTCTCTGCCTCTCTCTCTCTCTCTCTCTCTTTCTGTCTCTGTCTCTCATGAATGGATAAATAAAATCTTTAAGAAAAAAAGATGGGGTGGGGAGGGTACTCCAGGCAAGGGACACAGCATAATCAAAGGTGTGGACACAGGACTGGAGAAGGTGGGTGGCAAAGCTGACTCTTTGGAAATATTGAGTACCCAGAAGTAGTGGCAGACAAGTTTTGGAGAATGGGGTGGTGACTTACAGAAGGTCTTTAAAAAATGAGACAGTGAAGCTACAACTTGAGGCTGCAGTAGGGAGCCATGGCAGTTCTTGAGTGGCTAGTGTGCAGGTAGAGAAGGCCAGTGGTAATAACAACAGCATAACAACAGCCCCCCCATAAAGAGGGTGCCAGGTTGTTGGAGGGGTCACTGCTTGGTGGCAGTTTTTCCTCGACTAGACATTTGGGTCCAGGATGAGAGTGCCATGTGTCGCTCTACTCTGATCACCTCTTCTCTCTCCCCATCTTGTCCTCCAGGAGGCTGCCAGCTGGGGATCTCAGCCAAGGGAGAACGCTTAAAACACTGGTACGAGTGTCTGAAAAACAAGGACAAGAAGATTGAGCGCTGGCACCAGCTACAGAACGAGAACCATGTGTCAAGTGATTAGGATGGGCCCCCAGGTCCCCAGCTCCATGCCCTACCCTTGTCCCAGGTTACCCGCCAGCCTGACCCAGCTGCCCTTCACACTCTGGTCTCTTTTCTCTTTGCCTCCCCCACCCTCTCCCTCCCTGTGCCTGCCTTTGAGGTGCCCCCTGACCTTGGGCACTGCTGCCAAAGACCTTTCTCCACTGTCTGTGATGCTGTGGCGTGGGCCCTGAATGCAGCCCCTCTCTGGTCCCTCTAGGATGGAGCAGTAGGGAGAGGGATGCAGAGATTTTCACAAGAGGTTGGAATTTAACAACCTCTCTGTCTGGGTAAACTGCAAAGGTTCTTTCTTCATCATTTAGGACTGTTTTTAGACCCTCCTGGCCTTGAACACACAGACACACACACACACACACACACACACAAACTTGCATTTCCTGTGTCATATCTGTGTATATCCTCAGCTGTCAGCAGACCGGAACAAGGCTGTGAGGGCCAGCAACAGGGCAGAAATACAGCATCCAGGCCCCCACTGCCCCTCCACACCATACCCCCTGATTGCCAGGAAAACAGACCACCATGTTTAAACTCCCTGGTGACTAGGAACACACCCTCCTGGCTTCAAATGCATTCAGGATGCCACCTATTTGCTTCCTAGCAAAACCCAACACCCTTTCTCTAGCACCCACCTTGTCCCTCGTCCCTCCTTCCTCCTCCTTAACCCTACACCCCGCCAAACACTCTTTCTCAGCTCCTCACACTCCTCTCTCCCTGTCCATCCCCCCCTTTCTCCTTTCCCTCTTTCTAAGAGGACAAAACAGCAACAGCAAAAAATACGTTAACCTAGCGTCACGCCCTCACCAGCTTGGCCAGCAAACTTGAACTGGCACAACCCTGACTTCCAGTTAGGCCCACACTTCTTAGAACCGCCCACTTCTCTTGTTGGCAGAGCCAGGTGTCCTGGGGCTGGGCCAGCTGCTGGTGCTGCCCCAGGCACATGGCAGCCTCCTGTGAGCTGCATAGACACCTCATAGATGACATCCTCAGCCCCTGGGCTCCCCGAGTAGGTGCAAACAGTATTTAGAAACCAGAGCTCTGGGTTGGGGGGGGGGCTCTCCAATGCCCCCAGCCTTTCCCCTCCCTCTGCTCTTAGTTAAATGAGCTGCACACTATCCGCATCCCTGGCACTCTTCAACTCTGCTTCTCTGACTCTCTGGAGTCCTGTCTCTCACTTAGAATCGCCTTGAATCTCTCTTGTCTGTGGCTCTGGCCCAGTTTCTCTCTTGCACCCTCTTCACCAAGTTTGTCTGGAAAATAAAATACCATCATAAATCTGAAGCTTCAGAAACTGACAGATCCTGATGCCAAAGGCCACTGTTCCATCAGGAACCATTCATCTTTCTTCCTAAAAAATTAAAAAATAATAATACAAAGGAGGAAAAGGCTGAGCACGAATGTTATAAATGTGAGGCTGGGGTCAGGTAATCTGCACTGCCCCATGAGAAAGCCTTGTCTTTTCCCAGTTTCCATCATCTTCCCTCGTGAAAATCACCTCCCTCCGTTTGACAACCCACCCTTGTCTATAGACGGCATCAGATGGACACTAAAGCTCTTCACTTTCTCCAGATGCACCTTTTAACCTCTCCCATTTGATGTCTCCTCCCTCAGCTCCCTGCACAATTCATCAGAAGGCTCTGATTTCTTGCCTTGAATAACCACCTTCTAAACACCAAGCTCTTCTCCTTCCCCAAGATGGCCAGTGGCTTCCTGACTGCCCTCTTGCCCCCTGACCATGTCCCTCCGTCAGTCCCCGTGGCGCCCACTCTCAGCCCACCTCCTTCCCACGGTTTGCCCCTAGGAGAAAGCATGCTGGCTGCGTTGCTCAAGCCTGACGCTGGTATTGGCGCTGGAATCAGCATGCAGCAAGCTCACAGTGTCCTCTGACAAATGTAACCACTTCCCTGCCTAGAATCCACACATGCTCTCCAGTGCATGCAAAACCACCCACAGCCTTTCTTTGTGATGATGTAGCCAAAAAATAAAGTAGGAATATCCAGGAAAAACTGGTGGCCTGCTTTTTCCTTTCTGGTTTCTGGAAGTGCTTTTGCCCCACCAGGATACATGATGCTATTTGGTGGAGAGTCAGTGTCTGCTGTGCTCCAGCCCTTGGGGATATAGCAGATGTGGTCTCTGGCCCTGTGGGCTGACTCCACACCCTCTTAGAAGAATGCTTTTTGCTTGTGCCCATCCAACAGTGAGCCAGCATCCTCTCCTCCTTTCTACCCTAACCTTGTGGAAAGTTCCAGGTGGTGTGGAATTAGGCACTGTCAAGGCTCAAAGAGATGACAGGGTTGAGCCAGAACCTAGTTCAATCAACTCACTTATCTGACAGAGGAATAACCCAAAGCCCAGGGAAGAGAATGATATAGCCAATGGCTCATGGCAGCAATGCCAGGAAAAGAACTCTTTCACTGGACTCCTGGTATGATGTCCTTAATGCACTGATTAATGATATAATCAAATGCCTCCCTTGTGTTCCAGCACCTTTCATCCTGCAAGGAGCCTTCACAGATGCCCCTCAACAGTCCTGAAAGTGAGCTGAGGAGGCAACTAACTTCCCAGAAGTCCTCTTCATCTCACCAACATCTATCCTAAAAGTGTTTAAGCAATTGGTCAGAAATGCTGGTTACTTCCCAGAAGGAGCCATCAGTTCTGTCCACCAGAAACTTCTCTTCCAGGCCAAGTTAGAGACAGGATCTTTTCCTCATCCTCAAAAGGGTGATTCTCAATCCTGGGAAAGAAATAAGCATATCAGACTCACCTGGGGAAATTTTCTTTTCAAACTACCCATGCTCTCCCTGCCACCCTGCCCCCAGACTCTACTGTTCCCTGGGGACAGGGTATATACTTGAACATACGTCCTGGGTGATACCTTGTGCTTCCCACCTCCACCAGGACTTTGCTGACCACTGCCTTAAAGTCCATCTGTTTTTCCTACAATTTAGCCAACTGCCAGCAGGTGGAAAGAGGTACCAGTTGGAAGGGCAATGCAGTCCCTCCAGGAGTAGCAGGAGACACTGGTGGCCCTGTGCTCATGGCAGACATCACTAATCTCTCCCTGGACTCATAGCAGACATTGCTAATCAATATGGCATCTTCCCCCAAAAGCCTGCTAGCAGCCTCTGAATCCTTCTCTACACAGCATTGTAGGCAGCCACCACTGGCCTGTCATGGGCAGTTGAAAAGAAAGCTAATTTCCATCTCTAAAATGGTTGATCTCCTTCCCCAGAAATGTAGACATGCCAAAGAAGCCAAGATGAATATACACGAGGAGAGTTTTCATAAATATGGGTACACCTGACTTGGCAAATGATCTTTTCCTCGCTCATTGAAATCAAACACCATGCAAGTGGCAATATGGTGTGATCCAAAGCTCCTGATAATAAAACAGCACACCAGTTTTTTAATCAGCTCAGTCCAGTGTTCAGATCCTGACCGGCACTTTCTAGATGTGCAACCTAACTTCTCTGAGACTCAGTTTCCTCATCTGGAAAATGGGATCAACAAGAACCCGATCAAAGAGGTGAGACCAATTTGCCAACGTCTGGTCTCCCATCAGGCTGATGAAAGTGGGCCTGGGAAAGGGGAGTGTCACAGGGCCAGTGGTGCCTTGTAAAATCAGTGCAAGCTGGGTAGGTGGCCAAGTGGATTAAAAAGCTCAGTGCCCTGCAATCTACTGGGTTGTCCCCTCCTCAGCTGAATGAGGTTTGTTAGGGGCGTTGGCTTAATACACGGAAGCACCATGGAAACATGACTCACCATGCATGCACGGGACAGTTACAGCTAGCCTGGCCCTGGCCCAAACTTTCTGTGTGACCGTGACCCTGAGCAAGTCACTATGTCTGCAACTCTGTAGGTAGGACATCAGAGTATCATGATTCTCTAACTTGATTGCTGGGACCCACAAATGTGCCTTAATTTCCCAGTTGCTCGACAAAGACCTAGGCCTTTTTGCTGAGGGCAGGCCCCCTGCCTCAGAGTCCTGCATTGTCTCTTTTGCATACAACACAAGAATTTTCTTGTTCCTGTTTCTTCAAAGGGCACAATGACTTAAAGCCACCTGCAAATGCACTTGGGCGTAATTCTGGATTTTTCCAATTGCTTCCTCAATCTTTTACGGTTGTGTTACTGTTACCCAATTCGATGCAATGTGTCATGACACTTGACTTCATCTTTCCAAAGAATTCAGTGTAGGTTTTCTAAGGACAGATCTCTTTCGTCCTCATGTTGGATCTGTTACTATATAGTCAACAGTGTTGTCCCCAAGAGAAGGGTAAGCAACAAAAGAGAACACAAGGATTTATTCGGGGTCTTCAAATCACAATCTGAGGAGCACAGATTTGGGTAGCAACCCAGAAGCCTCCCACTCAAGATTGAGACCCAGGAGTCTTTATTTGCAAATTGTGCAACTATTAATGAAATGTACATGAGCAGTTTTCCAGAAATTTTGATTGGAAGATGTAATTGCACGGTACTATCCGTTGGTTTTCTGAGTACATTATGTCAGTTACCAGGAACATATCTCCTGCAAAGTGTCCAGTTTTTATCCCGAATGCAGATACAGCAGCTCTGTGTTCAGTCTCTGTTTAATAGTTCAGCAGCTCCTGTTTCAAAAACCAGGATGAAGTGTTAGTCCCAGAAAAGGGAGTCTCTCATGTTTGGAGGTTTTATACAGGTACATAGTATATACTTCATTAACAAACACAATTGCCCAAAAAGCATTTGAAAGCAGACAAAATCTCTGAAATACAATCTGACTGGTAACCAAAATGAGTGTCAATGTAGAGGGAAGCCCAGCCCCTTCATGGTTACCTTTGCCTTCGGCATAGGTCAACATGCTAAACAGAAGGAGTGGGGAGTGGCGATGAATTGCTGAGCTGGTTAAAAGAAGAATGATTAAGAAAGAGAGCTGATTGGCATTTCTAGACTGCACCGTCCAACAAAAACAGAACACAAACTCTTCTCAAGCTCCCCTGGAACATTCACCGAGATATACCATATCTGAGGCCATTAAACACCCTCAGCAAATCCCAAAGAACAAATGTCACACAGAGTATGTTTTCTACTGGAGTTAAATGAGAAATCAATAAAAGCAAGATATCTGGAAACTTCCAAAGTGTTTGGAGACTCAACACTTCTGACACACGGGTCAAAGTAGTCTCAAAAGAAACTTTAGTCTGTGCCAGGGTTGCCTGGGTGACTCAGTCTGTTGGGCCTCCGACTCTTGGTCTCTTCTCAGGTCATGATATCAAGATCCTGGGTTTAAGCCCTTCGTCGGGTTCTGTGGTGAGACAGGAGTCTGCTTGAGATTCTCTCCCCCTTCCTCTGCTCCTCACCCAACCTAATAAATACGCAAATAAAATCTTCTTAAAAAATGAAATAGAGGCACATGGGTGGCAGAGTGTTTGAGCGTCTGCCTTCGGTTCAGGTCATGATTCTGGGGTCCTGCTGTGATCAAGTTCCACATCGGGTTCCCTGCAGGGAGCCTGCTTCTCCCTCTGCCTATGTCTCTGCCTCTCTCTGCGTCTTTCGTGAATAAAATAAATAAAATCTTTTTAAAAATGACACAAAATATTCTGTGCTAAATGAAGATGAAAAAACAACCAGTTAAGATGTGTGGAGTGCAGTGAAAGCAGTGCTCAGAAGGAAATTGACAGCATTGAGTGCATAAGTTAGAAAAGAAGGAAGATCTAGATAGGAAGGGATGAATATATGGGGAATGGTGTTTTTGAGAAACTGTTCTGCATGATTTCATAAGGGTGAAGGTATGACATTATGCAGAATGCACAAACACAGAGAGAACCCTAAGGTAGGCTGTGGACATGAGTCAATAATAACGTATCAATACCAGTTCATCAATTGTAACAAATGTATCACACCACCATTAATAATAAGGTAGGTGTGGAAGCAGAGGTGGGAAGTACAGCCCGGAGTGTCACCAGGCAGAGAACTGGTTCCAAACTCAGGTTCCTCTGCTCATTGCTCAAAAATCAATACTCGAGAGACCCAGATGGTGGGAAAAGGAAGGGTTGCTTTATTCGGGAGCCGGCAACCTGCGAAGAGGGTGGACCGATGTCCCAAAGACCATTCTCCCTGTCTAGGAGGAGCTGGAGGGCTTTAAAGGGGAATACGAGCAGGGAACAGGAGACGGGCTGTGGGTGGGAGAAGCAGGTGGTTAGTCGTCCGTCGGCAGGACCCTGAACAGGCTTGCTGGCATCGTGGCAGCTGTTTTTGAATGTGGTCAAGCCTTATCTTCTGGGAAAGTTTGTTCTTTCACTCCTGGAGACCAGTGGTGTGCAACTCTCAGGGCAAGTCGGTTCTGCTACAGACCAAGGGACTTAGGTCCGCAAGCAAGGAGGGCAGAGGCTTGAAGCAAGTTAGCCCGTCAGAGCGGTTGGGGTGCTGTTACAGGAGCTCTGTTCTTTCTGTTCACTTTTTCTGTAAACCTAAAATTGCTGTATGAAATAAAGCCTATTAGTCGAAAGGAAAAATCTATATAGCATGATGCTACTTCCGTTTTAAAAAAAGACAGAACTGGGATCCCTGGGTGGTGCAGCGGTTTGGCACCTGCCTTTGGCCCAGGGCACGATCCTGGAGACCCGGGATCGAATCCCACATCGGGCTCCCGGTGCATGGAGCCTGCTTCTCCCTCTGCCTGTGTCTCTGCCTCTCTCTCTCTCTCTCTGTGAGTATCATAAAAAAAAAAAAAAGACAGAACTTTGCACACGTGTGTGTGTGTGTGTGTGTGTGTTTACCTAGAAAAATATCTGAAAAGATCTATACCAAAGTGTTTATAGTGGGCATCTTTGAGTTTTAGGATTACAGGCTGCCTTTCTGCTTCCTGATTTTTCTGACTTCTTTGCCATTTTACGGTGTGCATAAGATCATAGGAGACTATAAAACAATTTTGTCAGGAACAACAACAACAAAAAAAAACGAAGCAGGAAATTTCAAATGAGTTTTTAATCACAATTTCTTCTGGGTGAGATACTAACACTGGTTAAAAAATCAATAGTTTCAGGGGCACCTGGGTGCCTCGGGGGGGGGGTTAAGCATTTGCCATCTGATCAAGTCCTGATCACTGGGATCCACCCCTGGGCTCCCTGCTCAGCAGGGAGTCTCTCTCTCCCTCTCCCTCTCCTTCTCTCTCTCTCTCTCTCTCTCTCTCTGCCCCTCCCAGCCCAGTTTGTACCCACTAGGTCTCACTCTCAAATAAATAAATAAAATCTTAAAAAAAAAAAAGCAACAGTTTCAGAGTCCAGTGGAAACAAGTCTGATGTCCTAGGCTGCTACATAAAGGGCAAGAGGATAGATAGTAAGTTCTGGACAGAGCTGGCAGGGCAGAGGCAGTTTCAGGCTCAGAGGATTGTTTGCCATGCTAAGCTCCTCCCTTCCAGGGAAACGAAACTAACTGACTCAAGACAGGAAGACAGACCAGACAGCTGTTCCCAGCTGCCAGTTCTACAGCCACCGGCTCTCCTGTCCCTGTCCTGAGAAGCATGACCCAGCTCAAAGAGACCCCCGCCAGGGATCTGGACAGGTTCATCGAAAACTATCTCCTGCCAGACACGCCGTTCCGCAGGCAGGTCAAAGAAGCCATTCACATCATCTCCACTTTCCTGAAAGAGAGATGTTTCCAAGGTGCAGCCCACCCTGTGCGGGTGTCTAAAGTTGTCAAGGTGAGCCCAAGCCTCCCTGGCGGGGGAGGGGGTGGATGGATGGGCAAGAGTTCCTACAGAGACAGAGAGAGGGAGCTAAAGGTTAAGTAAGCTCTTTGGGGCTGGTGGTTTCTGACATATCCATACCAAGAAAATATAACCAGAGCTTTGTTAGAAAAGATTTTGAGGGGAGGCCCTCGATCTGTAACTTTTAAATCAGTGCCCTGGCTGGAGTTTATGAGCCACCATCCTCCGCCACGTCCATTTCAGAGGTAGAAAAACAGAGGCCGGCTCTCGTAGTAAACAATTTGTCAATGAATCGCCAGGCTGGGACTCAAACAGCTTCTGCAGAATTTTGAGCCATTAAGACTTTATGTTCTGGGGGCATGTTTTTGTGTTTTTCTGACATAAAGGCTTCCAGAGCCACTCTCCAGCCAACAACAGCTAAACATTATTCCAATGATTTTGTGTAGCTGGAAAGCTGTCGGTGCCACCTCCCATAAAATATATACACCACAAAAACAGAGCCAGACATTGCTGAAAGGGCGTCTGGCACCAGCTGTCTCCATGCTGCTGGGCTTTTCTTTCTTTTAAGATTTTATTTGTTTATTTATGAGACAGAGAGAGGCAGAGACACAGGCAGAGGGAGAAGCAGGCTCCATGCAGGGAGTCTGATGTGGGACTCGATCCTGGGTCTCCAGGATCATACCCTGGGCCAAAGGTGGTGCTAAACCGCTGAGCCACCCGGGCTGCCCGCTACTGGGCTTTTCAACTCCCTTGATAAACTAGCATTCCTTTTTCTTATTGGAGTATAATTAACATACAGTGTGATATTAGTTTCAGGTATACAATGTATCGATTCGACAATTCTGCACATTACTCAATGCTCTTCATGCTAAATATTATCATCACCTGTCCCCACACAGCGTTATTACAGTATTATTGACTATATTCCCTGTGCTATACTTTTCATCCCTGTGACTTATTTTAAAACTGGAAATTTGGGATCCCTGGGTGGCGCAGCGGTTTGGTGCCTGCCTTTGGCCCGGGGCGCGATCCTGGAGACCCAGGATCGAATCCCACATCGGGCTCCCGGTGCATGGAGCCTGCTTCTCCCTCTGCCTATGTCTCTGCGCCTCTCTCTCTCTCTCCCTCTATGACTATCATAAATAAATAAAAATTAAAAAAAATTTAAAAAAAAAATAAAAAAAACTGGAAATTTGAACTTCTTAATCCCTTTTTTTATGTCACTCATCCCTGTACCCACATCCCCTCTAGCAACCATTTTTTTTCTCTCTATTTGAGACTGTTGTTTTTTTTATTTTATTTTTTAGATTCCATGTATGAGTGAAATCATATGGTATTTGTCTGTCTCTGTCTGACTTATTTCACTTAGCTTTATATCTTCTGGATCCATCCATGTTGTTGCAAATGGCAAGATTTCATTTTTCTTATGGCTGAATAATATCATAGGGTGTGTGGTGTGTGTGTGTGTGTGTGTGTGTGTGTGCACAGCACATCTTTATCCATTCATCTGTGTATGGACACTTGGGCTGCTTCCATATCTTGGCTATGGTAAATAATACTGTAATAAACACAGGATTGCCTATATCTTTTCAAATTAGTGTTTTCATTTTCTTTGGGTAAATACCCAATAGTGGAATGACTGGATCATACAGTAGCTCTATTTTTAATTTTTTTTATAATTTTTTTTAATTTTTTTAATTTATTTATGATAGGCACACAGTGAGAGAGAGAGGCAGAGACACAGGCAGAGGGAGAAGCAGGCCCCAGGCACCGGGAGCCCGACGTGGGACTCGATCCCAGGTCCCCAGGACCGCGCCCCGGGCCAAAGGCAGGCGCCAAACCGCTGCGCCACCCAGGGATCCCTATTTTTAATTTTTTGAGGATGCTCCATAGTGTCTTTCACAGTGGCTGCACCAATTTCCATTCCCATCAACAGTGCATGAGGGATCCCTTTTTCCCCCATCCACAATGGGGACTCACCATTTCTAAGGTATCATGGGCTGGTTAATGGTATTACTTTGGAAAGCAAATAGCACCAGCTGGCTGTGAAACTTTGACCAAGTCATTTCACCTCTCTGTGCTTCTTTTTCCTCCCCAATAATTCCCAGTGCCTGATAGAGATGTACAGATTATATGACCAGCATATAAACCGCCCAGCATGGGCCAGTCTATGGTGTATAATCATATATAAGAGTAAAGAACGCAGAGCCTAGAACCAGCCAGCCAGGGTTCAAACTGCAGTTCTGCTGCCTCCCGCTGTGTGGCAGGGCAGCTGTATCACCTCTCTGAGCACTTAGGGCTGATAACATCTGTAAAGTGGGAGCTGATAACAAGAGTATGGGGGTCATAGGATCCTGTGAGCATTATGGAAGTTAGACCGGTGATGCCCTCAGCACAGAGGCCAAGTAAGGTTCAAGAATGTTAGTGATCATCCTCATCATTTTATTTAGGGAGGCTCTTCTCAATGACTGTCAGTTCTCATTTTGCTCATCTGTTTTAGGGTGGCTCTTCAGGCAAAGGCACGACCCTCAGAGGCCGATCAGATGCCGACCTTGTGGTCTTTCTTAACAATCTCAGGAGTTTTCAGGAGCAGCTCGAGAAACGAGGACAGTTCATTTGGGAAATTAAGAGGCAGCTGGAAGCCTGTCAAAGAGAAGAAACCTTTCAAGTGTACTTTGAGGTCCAGAGTCTGCAGTGGGAGAAGCCCCGCGCCCTCAGCTTTGTCCTCAGGTCCCCCCAGCTTGGTGAGGGGGTGGAGTTTGATGTGCTGCCTGCCTTTGACGTCCTGGGTGAGCATTCACAGACACAAGGGCTTTCCGGCCTTGTCCTGTGATGGGGTTTCTTTCTTTTTTCATGTTTCTGAGCATGAATTTCCCATAGTTGGAGAGTCTTAACTAAGATGAAGCATGCCTTCAAAGTGGGGAGGAGATCTTAGAATGAATGAGGTCACAACTGGCCACAGGAGCATCATTAAACAGCAAACTGGCACGATTTGGAGGCAAGACATTTCTTATGCAACACCTGTTGGGCTTGCTGGTTCTACTGTGGCAAAGGGTGGGGATTTCATCTTTCCAAAAATGAAGCAGTGGAGATCTGGCATAGAGTCAATATGTGAATTGCATCTTTCACCCCAAACATGAGGAGACCTCACTAAATTTATGCTGAGGGTTGGAATCTATAGATAATCTGAAGAAAGAAATATTTGGATGAGAAGCATCACCTCTCAGAGGCTTGATGTCCACATTAGGAAAACTGGTTAAACCATGCCTGGATCATTCTCCAAAGTATTAAATGATCATCTACATGAAGCTCTTGTACAGGGCCTGGCACATAGTAGGTGTTCAAAAATGTGAGTTCCCCAACTATGCACCGGGGCACCCCAGGATGCCACAGTGAAATAACTCACAGGGGCACATGAAATAGTTTAGATTTTTATTTTTTGAGGGAAACACCATGCCATCTGTTGGACACCACACAAACTACTGCTGTTCAGTTGTACAAACTGAACTACATACACCGAACTGGTTTTTTGGTGTTGTTTGTTGTTGATGTTGTTTTGAGGTTTTGTGGGGGTTTTTTTTCGGGGGGGTTGCCTAGGGGACCTGTAAGATAATACTGAAAATCCAAAGCACCAAGAAATGAGAAAGTTTGGGAATCCTTTCTTGTTGCCATGTCCAGTGTTGGGTGCTGGCATTACTTTCATTGGCTACAAAAAAATAAGACGGGGAGAGAGAAGGGGTGGAAGGACATGCCAGGCAGAGGGAACAGCACAAGCAGAGGCCAGAGATAAGAAAAGATCAGAATGTGTTGGACCTGCAAGAGGCAGATGAAGGTGGAGCCAGAGGAAGAGGGTAGGGAGGATGAAGAGGGAGTAAGCAGAAAGTGAGCCAGGAGAGCTGATTCTGCAGAAGTCTGTAACCTTGGTCATGGACTTCTCCTGAACACAATGGAGGGCTGTGGAAAGGTTTTAAGCAAGGAAGTAGCATGGTCATATTTATGTTTTAGGAAGATGGCCCAAGCATAGTAGGGAAAATAGATAGGAAGAGGGGTGAAACCAGAGGATGGAGACATTCAATCAACAATAATAAGCACAGGTGATCCACTGAGCATCTACTGTGTACCAGGCACTCCTCTATGGCCATGAATGACCCAAACAAGGCACCTCTGCCCCGGAGCCTGACAATGAGTACAGAAACAAGATAAATGGATTGCTACCTGATGTGACAAAAATCTAACAGTGTGATACAATGGGGAGTGATGGAGGATGGAGGACTTCTTCAGACAGAGTGATGAGACAGGGCCCCCTGAGCAGGTGACATCTGAGCTGAGGCCCAAAGGAAGAGAAGGAGCCAGCCATGGGAAGATCTGGGTATTCCAGGAAGAGGAAATAGCAAGGCAAAGACCCTGAGACAGGTATGAACTTGACATATTTAAGAAGAGAAAAAAGGCCAGGGAGCAAGGTAGGAGGCGAGATGGGAGAGGCAGCAGGAGACAGATCACATCAAATTTCACAGGCCACTGTGGGAACTCTGGATTTTATTTCAGATGTTGTGGGAAGCCAGAAGCAGGGTGATCAGGTTTTGAAAGGCCTCTCTGGGTGCTGGGTCGAGAATGGGCTGTGGGGCAACCATTGAGGAGGCTGCTATCTAGGCCTGGTGGGAGAGAGCAGTGATGGCAACCTGGACGGGGTGACAGCAGGAAAGCTAGGAGAGGGAAAGGCTGCGATGGACTTAGGGGCACCTGGCTGTGGGCCTGTGGCCCCTTCTGCTGAGCCCCCACGGCCAGCAAGCTTGTCTCCCCAGCACCACTGAAGGAACCTCAGAGAAGGGCGACATCTTAAAGTTATGGATTTGTCCCTAACAGGTCAGTGGACCAATAACCACAGACCCAACCCTCAAGTCTACATCAAGCTAATCCAAGAGTGTGAGAACCTGGGGACAGAAGGCGAGTTCTCCACCTGCTTCACGGAGCTGCAGCGAGACTTCCTGAGGCAGCGTCCAACCAAGGTGAAGAGCCTCATTCGCCTCGTCAAGCACTGGTACCAAAAGGTACGTTCCTCCCACCTGGGGAGCAGAGGAGGAGGAGGGAGAGGAGGGAGTGTAGAGAATAGTGGGTGGGAAGGCGGAAGGCGAAGAGTGAGGTATGCAAAGGGGAGAAGGAGGAGAGAGGGAGGGGGAGAGGAAAGGGAGGGGAAGGGTTGTGTGTGGAGTAGAGAAGGAGGAGCAGCAGGAGGGGCAGGAGCGGGAGGAAAAGAAGGGGAGGCCAAGGGCCTTGGACAGGTGCCAGTGGACCCAAGGTGTCTCATTCCTCCTGGTCCCTCTCATCTCCGGAAATGACAACTTCATGCTTCCAGTTACTCTGGCCTGAACCACGGGTCTTTCTGGACTGTTTTGCACACACAGCTCTATTCAACCAGTTGACAAGTGATGTTGGTCCCGTATCTAAAATATATCCAATTGTCACCACCTCCGTCACTCTCAACCTGGACCCAGTCATCATACGAGTTTCCCAGGGTCTGCCCTTGACATCTCTGAAAACCCTCTCTCAGCCCTTCAGTCCATGCTGCCTTCCTTGAAGTTCCTCCAAGAGGGAAGCTCTACTCCAGCCTGTGGGATTGTCTATCTCCCCCCCTAAAAATGTGCATGAAGGAAGGGACTTGTATGTTTTATTCACTGCTGTATCTCCAGAACCTAGAACAATGCCTGGCGCATAATAGATGCTCAATAAGTAATCGCTGAGTAAATTAATGAATGCCACACATAAATGCGCATAAAGTGTGCACACATACACTTCTGTGCACTTCCTGGCTTTCTGACCTCAAACCTCCCTCTGCTTCTTGTTTTCTCATTTGCAAAGAGTAACATGGCATAGCAGGAGTAAACCACAAAATGTGGTGCCCGGCATAGCTGGTCCTAATAAATGTGCTTTCTTTGAACTACTCCCGGAGCACATGTAATAAAGTAGACATGTGTTATGTGCTTAGCTTGTGCCAGGCTCATAATATTTCATCTTCTGCAGTTCTTGATATGAATTTCTGCTTACTTCCTAATATTCTATATCTTATTTAATATTTATGGTGATTCTGTGAGCTGAGTAAGGGAGGTATCATCAAACCTATATTACAGAAAGAGAGTAAGAGTGAGATGGCTCTTTCAGCTAATAAGCAGCAGAACAAAAACTTGACTTTGGGTTTTCTGACTTAAGAGTTCGCCTAACATATAATATACATTTTATAATATACATGTATGTTTTTGGATGACTTAACGAATGGAAGAAAGTAATTAAGAATAATCTTCCTGCTTTAAAAATAATCTTTAAGGCAAAGCAAGACAATCCTTTGCTAGACATCTTAGTTTGCTGTTTGAGGAAATTTGATCATGGAGCCTAAAAAGTGGTCCTTGACAAGTGTAACACTGTTCCCAAGGACATTGAAAATTCATGAGGACATTTTTGGTAACCATGGTGATCAAGGGCAAGGGTGCTACTGACAATTAGTGGAAAGAAGCCAGGAATACTAGTTGTTTTACAATGAGGAAGATAGTCCAGCACGACAAAGAATCGTCTCTGGCCCTCCTACCTTTTCCCCCCTCCCTGCCCCTCCTCCCCTTTCCCTCTCCCTCTCTCTTCTTTCCCATAAAACAATACAGGAATCTCACCATACTTTAACTCCACTCACCATCACCAACACTATGTCCAACTTACATGCCACTTTGCTGTGTCTTTCAAGTCTCTATATTTTCAAGTGTACAAAACATTACTATTATTTCCCATACCAGTGGGATAAAATGAAATCATTTTAGATAAAATGAAATCATTTTATCTATCTGCATATTTGCCATGTTCTTCACCATTCACTCCTTCCTACGTCTCTAATCTTCCTCCTGAGATCACATTCCTTCTTTGAGAAGTATGTCCCAGAAGATTTATTTTGGTGAGAGTCCTCTGATAATGAATTCTTAGTTTTTGTTTGCCTGAAAATGTCTTGATTTTACCTTCATTGTTAATAGGCATTTTTGCCCGATTGGCAGCCATTTCAGTACATGGAATATATCACTCCATCTTCTGGGGTCACTAGTGAAAAGTCATTTGTCAGGCTAACTGTGGCTCCTTTGTAGGTAATCTTATTCCTCTGGCTGCATTTATATTTTTCTCTTTGATTTTGTTTCATTTCAGTCTGAGGTGTCTTTTTTAAAAGATTTTATTTATTTGACACAGAGAGGGAGAGAGAGAGCCAGAGAGCACAAGTGAGAGGAATGGCAGAGAGAGAGGGAGAAGCAGGCTCCCCATAGAGCAGGGAGTCCAACTCAGGGTTCAATCCCAGGACCCTGGGACCACGACCCAAACTGAAGGCCGATGCTCAACCAACTGAGCCACCCAGGTGCCCCTCAATCTGAGGTTCTTAATGATGATTCCTTTTTTTAACTTGTCCTACTTGAAGTTCACTGGGTCCTTCCTGAATCTGTGAATGGATATCTCTCATCAGTTTGGGAAACTCTCAGCCATTTTCCTAAAATATTGTCTCTCTCTTTTCCTTGCCTCCTGAAACTCCAATTAAATGCATGTTAGACCTCAGTCTATCTTCCATTATCTTTACATTCTCTTCCATATTTTCCATCTTTCTGTCTCTCTGTGCTTTATTATGAATAGTTTATTCTAACATAGTTTCCAATTCACTCGCTTTCCCTTAACAGCTTTTAATTTGCAGTTATTAATTAGTTATTGTAATTTTTTGTTCTACAATTTCTATTTTATTATTTTTCAAATATGCTAAATTACTTTGCATGGCTTCTAATTTCCTCTAGGTCAAGCTCTTCTTTTATTTCTGTAAACATAACGTTTCCAGTTATTTTGAAGTCTCTTACTGATCCTTCAATATTTAAAGTTTTGTGGATATTACTATTTTCACTTTTTCTGCTGGTTATTACTCTTGGTATCTTGTTTCCTTGTGTGCCTAGTTATTTATGTCCTGGTCATGGTATTTGAAAACTATTTGTGAAATCATTTGAAGCTTTGGGTTTTATATCTTACTCCAAAGGGAATTTCGTTTGGCTCTTAGGAACACTATGAGTTCTTCCTCTTGATTAATTTTCACAGTATCCTTATGAGCTTGGTGCTATTATGACCACTCACCTGGCAGGTAAGTAAAAATGAGGCTCTAAGAGTCTAAGTTGTCTTTCCAGAATGGACACTGGTGGAGTTAGGACTCAAACCCACATCACTCAGAATCTAGAGCCCAAGCTCTTAACCAGGAGTCAGTAAAATTTTTCCATAATGTCCTAGGTAGGAAATACTTTAGACCTTGTGGGCCACATGATCTCTGTCACAACTACACAACTCCGTAGCATGAAAGCAGCCATAGACTACATGTGAATGAATGGGTGTAGCTTTGCTCCAGGGAAATGTTATTTACAAAAGCAGATGGCAGGCTGGATTTGGCCTTTAGGAAATGTGCTTTACACCCTAGCTGGACAATTGCATGTTTCTGATTATTTTTCCTACTCTCAGTGTAAGCAGAAGCTTGGGAAGCCCCTGCCACCTCAGTATGCCCTGGAGCTCCTGACAGTCTATGCCTGGGAGCGTGGAAACAACCAAACAGAATTCATCACAGCTGAGGGATTTCAGACCGTCTTGAAATTAGTCCTGAACTACCAGCAGCTTTGCATCCACTGGACAAAGTATTACAACTTTGAAACCCCGATTATCAAACAATACCTGATGAGGCAGCTTGCAAAACCCAGGTACTCTATCTCCGCATGAGTTAACTCGCCACGTAAATGAGCCCCTGGATATAGCTATGGTACCTTGGAAATGAAGGAAGTGGGAAGACTCTTCATTTGCTGGTCACCTTCTATGGTTAGCCATTGTGTTGAGCATTTTACTACTCCCATCTGATTTAAACAATAACCTCGAACCCTGTGAGGTAGGCATGCCATAGCCACCGTACAGATGGGTAAACTGAGGTTCTGAGGGGTAAGGAGCTTGTCTTAACAGTAACAGAATATGAGTGAAATAGCCAAAATTTGAACTAAAATGACAACAGCTAGAGCAATAATCACAATTGCTCTCAGGAATTAAGAGTTTGCTGTAAGACTAATGCATTCTAATACAATAGCAAAAATTATGGTCATTATAGCGACGTGTACTGACCTCTCATTATGTTCCAAGTTCTGTGCAAAGCATTTCGCATGTTTTGTCTTGTCTCCATCCTTACATCATGTCCTTTAAGACAGACCTGTTTACCCATATCACATGTGAGGAAACAGGCTTAGTGAGGTCAAGTGACCTGCCCAAGGTCAAACCACTAATAAAGGGCAGAGGTAAAATTTGAACACAGCTCTGTCAGACCTAAGTGCAAGGCTTTTTCTCCTCGTGCCCACCACCCACCACCCACCACCCACCACCCACCACGGGGCAGGGCACTCAGGACACGCCCCAGGGAACAGCACCCTGTTCCTGTCCTGAGTCCCAGCCTGTGCCAGGCTCCTGTTTGGCACTGCTGGGAGCATGTGGATTCCCCCAACACAGCCCTAGTTCCTCACCTGTCCCTTTCTGACTGTTACTCTCCAGGCCTGTGATTCTGGACCCTGCTGACCCGACGGGAAACGTGGCTGGTAGAGACAGATACAGCTGGCAGCGGCTGGCACAGGAGGCCAGAGTTTGGCTGAGTTACCCATGCTTTAAGAAATGGGATGGGTCTCCAGTGGGCTCCTGGGACGTGCTGGTAAAACCTGCTTCCTCCTTGATGTAATCCCCTAACCCCTCTACACAGCATGGGGCATGTGAGACTAATGCATTCTAACATAATAGCAAAAATTGTGGTCATTATCTAAGGTGTGCTGACCTCCTATTATGTTCTAAGTCCTGTGTGGAGCATTTTGCATGTTTTGTCTTGTCTCCATCCTCACATCATGTCCTTTGAGACAGGCCCGTTCTCCCCTCCCCGTGTCACAGGTGAGGAAACAGGCTTAGAGAGGTCAAGTGACCTCCATTTTTCCAAAGAAACATTCTATCCAAAAAAAAATTGCTCCTTGCCAGAAGTTACATAGTCATTGAGTTTCAGGATATGTTTCATAATTTCAGTCATCTGGGACACATTCAGAGAGTTCCTAGGATTTGCATAACCCCTTCTCCGGAGTTCATTCTTTAGTTTACATTACCCTGGCCAGAGGCAGTTGTTTCCACAGCTCTGGTGGGCTCATTCCTTTATGAATAATCATAATGAACAATAACAGCCACCATGTATTGAATATTTGCTTTGGACTCAGGTTCTGTCCTAAATGCTACATTATCTTATTAAATCATCACCATACTCTTTGAAGTGTGTTAGCTACTCCCATCTTACATCAGAGCAAAGGAGGCTCAGAGAGCTGAAGTCACCTGCTCAATGACATTCAGCTAGGTAGTGGTAGAGCTGGGATCCAAAGTCAATGGACTCTAATGCCAACGCTCAGCTTTTCCTGTGCCACACTTGGGGCAGTGGGGTGCAGCAGTGACGGTCTTAGCCCACCCCTCTGGAGCTCCAATGGCCTTCAGAGTCTCCCTGCTGCAATCTGGTGTGGTCAGGCCTTTAGACTCGCCACATGGATCAGTCACCAAATGTGGGCAACTCAGAAAAAGGTATAGTCTTGAACGTAAGGCTTTCTGTAGTCGAGCTGCCCCTAAAGGGAGGGGCTGACCTCTGACATCTACCTGCTGACCATCTCCCCAGCAGCTGAGACTTATTCGTCCTTCCTCAAGGGGGATCCAGGTAGCATGCCTCACGGTATCTGCTATATATGCTCACTGAGACCCAGTGCCAAGGTGGAAAGATCGATTCTCTGATGTGATCATGTGCTTTACCTTTTCAGCTCGAAGAAGACTATGAGGACAATTGGATAACCTCTGAACACAGGACATATTCATACCATGATTATGGTTGGCGCCCTGTATCCTCTGGGAGCCTCAACACAGGCATGACACAGTCCATTCCCCAGCAGGAAGAAAACTGGATGTGTACCATCCTCTGAATGCCTGTGCCCTTTAGGAGAAAGAGCTCTGGAATCATCCAGGCCAGCCCCTTCGTTTGGTGTTCGGGAGAGTTCCCTTGATCCAGGGGGCAGAAGACTGCTCTGACCCCAAGGGCTAGCTGATGCCAGACCTCAGGCCAGAATGCAGGTCCCCTGCTCCCTCTTCCCCTAGTCTATGCCCTTTCTCCTCTCAGAGATAACGTTTCCCTGTAGCCCTACCCTGCTCCAGCCTGTTCTCTGACAATAATCACGGAGACACAATCAGAGAGCCTTAACCTTCTTCTGTGTTCCTAATGGGAGGGTTATAGTCCCAACAATCGTCAACAACAATAAAAAGAATAGCAAATACCATGTGATGGGAGTTTATTACCTGCAAGTCACATAGCCAAGAGGTATATCCACGTGTTACGTGCGTGTACACGAATAGATTCAACTAGAAATATATACTGAGTACCTACTGTGTTCCAGGCATTGTTCTGGGCGCTGGGAACACAGCAGCCAAGGAAAGAGACAAAAATCCCTGTCTCCTGGATTGACATTTGTGTGACTGACTTTTAATATTGACTCGTTTTGGATCCTTCTAAATTTCAATTACAAATAATCCTAAGACCAGCATCTTTGATTCCTCCTCTGTCTACATTTCTGATTATATATATATGAAAACTTTCAGAACTGCCCCATCTGATGTCGTAGCCTCGAGTCACACGTGGCTTCCTGAGCATTGGAAATGCAGCTGGTCCAAATTGAAATGTGCCTGGTGGGATGTAAAACACAAATGAAGTTTCAGAGACTTAGCACACACACCAGAAAGAGGAAGAATGTCACTTAGAAAAAAAGATTATTTATTCATTTATTTGAGAGAGAGAGCAAACACAAGCAGGGGGCAGTGGCAGAGGGAGTGAGAGAAGCAGACTTCTCGCTGATCCGTAAGTCTGATGAGGGGCTCAATCCCAGGACCCTGGGATCATGACCTGAGCTGAAGGCAGAGGCTTCACCAACTGAGCCACCCAGGGTCCCCAAGAATGTCACATTCTTGATAACTGGTAATTTTTTATATTGATTGCATGTTGAAATGACAAAATTCATTGAGATATTGAGTCATATCAAAACGGACTTCTCTGTTTCTTTTCACTTTTTCATGCGGCTCCTAGAAATGTAAAATTACACATGTGATACACATTCTATTTCCATACATTCCACAGCTCTGCCCCAAAAGGTGAATCACTGGATTAAAGAAGATGCTAGACCCATAGATGTTGTCACTCTGTCTCATCCTTGGTACCAAGAAACAGCTTTTCATTTACAAGGCTCTGAAATATTAATCCCCACCCCCATCCCGGGCAGAAGTGCTCACAAAAGAAGTCACAAGCATGCTCTTGTTGCCTGAGTTGCCGGTCACCTCGAGTGGCTGACAAAGTCTTGATCTTGTCTGTGTCCCAATTTCCTCCTTTTAAGTCTGCAGCATCCCTGTGAGATGGGTTTTATTGCTGTTGCCATAATAATAGACTGAGGTCAGGGAACTTGCCCAGGGTCACCCGGCAAGTGAGAGACAGAGTCTGAACTTGAACCCTAGTCCTTACTCTGAATCTCATGCTCTTCTCAGCCAGTGTCCTTGACTACATGGTGGGCACCAAGAAGAAGCTACCATCTCACACTGTCTCCCCGCTACCCTCACCCCACTCCGCCTCGTCACCCTCCACTCCAACCTCATTCCTACTGGTGCTTCTGCACTAGTCAAACCTTTCTTTTTCTATATTTTCTGATATTTTGACTTCTGGGGTCTTGCTGATCCTGGAGACACTGCCCCTCCCAGGGTAGCTAATCCCTAGAGATAGCCAACAACTCAGCGGTGATCTCACCTTTCATATGCAAACCAACCAACCCAGAGCCCAGACTCTGAACCACCTCCTCCGTGGGCTTCCACAGTCAAACCCTGGACCACCATCCACCTGTCAACTTGCCCCAGGCCAGGTACCAGACAACTCGGGATGGCCCCTATCCTCCAGATGCCACCAAAATCATTCAAACCAGCCTATCCAAAGCCTGTCTTGCCTTGCCTTGCCTGCCGAAACTATGACAAAGGCTCTTCCATGTTCTCCCTTCGTTCTCTGCCTCATGAACGACCCTGGTGCTTCCCCATGTGGTGGGCACTGCTTACTGTGCCTGGGGATCTGGGAGTTTGAACTTCTTCCTTCTAGACATTACTTGGTTATAAGACATCATTTAAAAAAAATAAATAAAAATAAACGTTCCACAGTCCCTCCCTCCAACCTGTTAAAATTTGGGGCCTCTCTTCAGCCTTTTCTCAGACTCTCCCTCTCTGCCTCTCTGTGTTTATGGTGTTTTTATAAAAATGGGATTTGGGACGCCTGGGTGGCTCAGTGGTTAAGCATCTGTCTTTGGAGGCTCAGGGTGTGATCCTGGGGTGGGGGATCAAGTCTCACATCCAGCTTCCCTCAGGGAGCATGCTTCTGTCTCTGCCCCTCATTCTGTGTCTCTCATGAATAAATAAATAAAATATCTTAAAATGAATGAATGAATGAATAAATAAATAAATACATACATACATAAATAAATAAAATGGGATTCAACTCAGTTGAATCAGTTTTGTTACCTGCTTTGTCACCTTTATCTAGTTATCACTCTAGGCTGACTAGGAAATTTTGATATCACATATAACAGCTACATCATTACACCATAATAAATAAAGAGGATAATCCACTTGTGTTGTCTTCTGAGAGTGTTTCATGATTATAAGCAATGTTACAGTCATCAGTAGTTTAATTGAAAAGCCACATCAATCATACGATAGTACTGTTTTTATTTTGGGGAAAACTCCCATACTTTTCTGTAATGGTTGTGCCATCTTGCATTCCCACCAACGGTGCACATGGGATCCAGTTTCCCCACATCCTCACCAACACCTGTGTCTTTTGTTTTCTTGGTAATAGCCATTCTAATAGGTGTGAAGTGATAGCTTAATGGTTTTGATTTGCGGTTCCCTGATGGTTAGTGATGGTGAGAATCATTTCATACTCTTGTTGGCTATTTGTGTGTCTTCTTTAGAGAAATGTTGGTTGAAGTCCCTAGGCCACTTTTAAATTAGGTTACGTTAGTCTTTTTGCTATTGAGGGGTAGCAGCACCTCATTATTTTGCAAATTACGTCCTTATGATTTATGGTTTGCAAATATTTTCTCCTTTTCCATAGGTTGCCTTATTATTCCACTGATTGTTTCACTTGCTTTATGGAAGCTTTTCAGTGTGATGGAGTCCCACTTGCCTATTTTTGCTTGCGTTGCCTGTGCTTCACATACACAGTCAACTGATCTTCAGCAAGTTGCCAGGAGTACACAGGGGGGGAAGGGATAGCTTTTCAATAAATAGCAATGGAAAATTTGAACGCTCACATGCAAAAGAATGAAATTAGACTCTTATCTTACACCATACACACAAAAAGCAACTCAAAATGGACTAAAGAGTTAAAAGACCCCAGGCTGTAAAACTCCTGGAAGAAAGCATAGGGGAAAAGCTTCATGACATTGGATTTGGCAATGGTTTCATAGATATGATACCAAAACACAAGCAACAAAAGGCATTTATTTTTAAATGGTATGAGGTAGGGCTAAGTTCTAGTCCTTCTATCTGGATGCCCAATTATCCCAGCGGCTTTTGTTGGAGAGACAACCCTTTCCCCACAGCCCCACGAGGTCACCTCCGATATACACCCCTAGCTCATCTATGTGTGAGTCTCTATTCTGTTCCATTGGTCTATTTTTGTATCCTTGAGATACTGCTACCTTGTATTAATGATTATAGCCTTGTAATAATTCTTAGTATCTTGTAAAAAACTCTGTTCTCTTTTTATCAAAACCCCTGGCTTCTCACTGTGGAAAATAGTATGGATGTTCCTCAAAAAAATTAAAGATAAAATTACCACTCCAGCAATTCCACTACTGGGTATTTACTCAAAGAATACAAAAACACTAATTCGGAAAGATACATGCATCTCTGTGTGTATTGCAGCACTATTTACAATAGCCAAATTATAGAAGCAGCGCAAGTGTCCATTGACTGATGAATGGATAAAGAAGGTGTGGTCTATATATACAATGGAATATTACCCAGCCATAAAAAAAATGAAATCTTGCCATTTGCCACAACATGGTTGGATCTAGAGGATATAATGCTAAGTGAAATAAGTCAGTCAGAGAAAGAGAAATACCATATGATTTCACTCCTATATGGAAATTAAGAAGCAAAACAAACAAAGGAAAAAAGAGACAAACCAAAAAACAGACTCTTAAAAGAACAAACAGGAGGTCACCAGACAGGATGGCTGTTGGGGAGTTGGGTGAAATAGGCAAAGGGAATCAAGAGTACACCTATCAGGATGAGTGCCGAGTAATATACAGTATTATTGAATCACTATATGGTACCCCGGAAATTAATATAACACTGTATGTTAAATACACTGTAATTAAAAAGTAATCCAAATTGGAATCAGTAGTTGGAATCTAAGTTCAATACCTTTTTCCCCTTTTTCTAACCAAATATATATATCCTAATTATTCTGCTTCCAACAGTGAAAGCAATTAATTTGTGTAAATCTACCTGAGAGCCTCCTGGAAATCATTGTTCTATTAAAAAATAATAACAAATAAATCTTATATTAGAGGGGGGGAAAGCCCTGGCTTCTCTAGGCCCTCTCTATTTCTATGTTAATTTTACACTCAATGAATGAAGTTCCACCCAAAATATGGGGAGGCATTAGATTGGAATTACATAAATTAGTTTAGGAAGAACAACATCAATGTTCTAGTGAGAACCTCCTTCCGTGAATTTGGAGTTTCTCTACACTACTTTTAATTTTTTTTAATGACACTGTGACTATTGTAATTTTTCACTGCATAGATCTCTTATTTCCTGGGTCATGTTATTCTTACATATTTGTTTCTATGTTATTGTACTCAGTATGTTTTCTTTAATTGTATTTTGTAGCATTTGGTTCATGGAAGACCTAAATGTCTTCTTAAAGATTTTTATTTTTTATTTCAGAGAGAGAGAGAGAGAGAGAGAACAAGCAGGAGGAAGGGCAGAGCGAGAAAGAGAGAGAGAGCACAACCAGGGAAGGGGCAGAGAGAGAAGGAGAATCAGACTCTCGCTCAGCTGAGCAGGAAGACACGGGTGGGGGGGTTGGGGGAGGCCAGGACCTTGGGATGAGGACCTAACTGAGCCACCCAGGTGCCCCTGACTTTATCAATTTTGCGCAATAAACTTGTATTACTTGTATGACCACAAGAAACATTGAAGCAATTTTTCTTGCAAAAAATAAAAAATGTTTTTGATAAGGATTTCTCTCCTGCTAAACTCTGGTAGCTTATGCAAAGCCAGCAGGCCCCGGGGGCTTATAGAAGGCTCTAGGTGCTGGTATATGGAATTGCTGGTTCTGGCACAGATTCATGAGATTTGGAAACAGAGGAGCAGATATGTAAGGGAAGACGGAAATGATCATATGAAAACCACGGCTCCTGAGTCACCCGTTCTGCATCCTCAGAGGTCTTGCCTCATTTTAGGTAACTTCCTGGTGAAGAAATGAAACTGAGAAGGGCTAACTTTCAGCCAACAAAAATGAGGGCACAGCTAGAAGGCCGTCAAAGAGAGAAAACGGGTGATGAGAACCTGGAGGTCCAGGATTGATGCTGAGGTCCTCCCAGCTCAAGAGAAGGAGAATTTTTTTAAAGATTTTATTCACTTATTTTAGAGAGAGTGATAGAGAGAGAGAGAGAGAAAGAGAGAGAGAGAGAGAGAAAGCGCGAGTGCACAAGCAAGGGGATGGGCAGAGGTAGAAAGAGAAGCAGATTCTCTGAGTAGGAAGCCCGATGTGTGGCTCCATCTCAGGACTCTGGGATCATGACCTGAGCTGAAGGTGGACACTTAACCAATTGAGCCACCCAGGTGCCCCAAGAGAAGGGGAATTTTAAAGTAATGCCACCTTTGAAGCCCTAAGTGACAGCTCCCAGATGCCCTCCCTGCACACCCCTTTGTCTGTGAAATGCCAGGGCCCCACCCTCGAAATCCTCAGAGCCCTTCCCACCCTGCAGAAGTACTTTCTTCATTATGGTGTTTCAGGCCAAAAATTGTCCTCCTTCATCCCATCCTGCACCTGTGTCAACGGTCTCATTGTCTCCAGTTCACCAGTGGTGCCTCGACTTAGGATCCAGCAGCATTAGTAGATTTTTTCATCTCTTCCCTATGATTTCTAGAGTCTAGGGCAGTAGTTGAAGGCTTGTGTATATGATCAGCCCCACATCTTCGTGGAATCCTGACTCTCTGCTTTCTCCCTTCTCAACATTCCTCAAATGTGCTGGTCCCTTGACGCCCATTTTCTTGATTTCCAACCTGTTGAGTTAGTTGCATGATACTTTTAACACATCTTTGCTGTCATTTCGGTAGGATCTCAAGAGTGTGTTCAGAATACCATCTCCAATGGAGGATTTCTTTTTTCCTTTTTTTAAGATTTTATTTATTTATTCATGATTGACACAGAGAGAGAGGCAGAGACATAGGCAGAGGGAAAAGTAGGCCCCTTGAAGAGAGCGTGATGTGAGACTCAATCCCAGGACCCCAGGATCACGCCCTGAGCCAAAGACAGAGACTCAACCACTGAACCACCCGGGTGCCCCTCCAATGGAGGATTTCTTAAATGACCTGTGAATCAGGAAATGACCAACTGATGGAAGAGGATGAAACCACGGCTTTATGGCTGAGGGTACCTGGCTTGAATTCCCTCCACAACATTGAACCTACAAAACAATCCTTTTCCTACACTTCAATACCTCCCAATAATGTGGCACTCACTACCTAAAATATAAACAGGGTGCACACATTGGTAGTCTGCACCTCTTCCTCTGATTCGCTCTGAACTCTGAAGTTCACCCTCCAACCCCATCTATTTCCTGTAGGTTAAGGCAGACTTTAGGAATTCCTTGTTAACATTCGTTGCTACTGGAGATACACTCCAAGTCAGAGTACGTCCCTGAGTGGATGGGACAGAAGACTAATGAATTTTGAGTGACAGAGGGAGGAGTGGATGGATTGTGGCATGGGCCAGGCCTGGGAAAGAGCTCAGGTTCTGGGCCACTGGGTACAGGAGCAATAGTGAGACCATCAGAAAGGGAGAAGACAGGCGTGAAGATAGAAACATCAGTGAGCAACCTGGTGGATTCAAGTCTCCACCCCGCAGCTGACTACCCGCCTAGTTTTGTGCCAGTCCCAAACGGACTTAACTCTTGAAGCTTCACAATGTCTTAAGATGTAATATCATGTGAGGTGCCATCTTACACTGACCTTCCTTCCTCATTTCTCGAACATAATTCTTAATTCTTACAGATTTCAGAAGGATAAGCTTGACGTTTTAAAAACTGGAATTCTAAACATTTTGGAATTGCATTGAATGCCTGTATTTTTAAGGAGGACTTGGCTCCTGTAAGAACAGAGCACGAGAACTGAGACTTGCAACTGGGTTTGGATCCAGTCTACGTATGTGACCTTGGTCAAGGTGCCTCCATTCTCTGTACCTTAACTTCCTCATCTCTCAAGTGGGCATGATAATAACAGCACTTACATCCTGGTTGTTGGGAGGGCTGGATGCGATGATGTATGTAAAGCAATGAGGTACAAGTGTTCTGCAAATGTTCTTTGTCACTGGTGGTTCTTCAAATGCCTCCTTCAGCCAGAGAGCCAGCCTCGGGTTGAACCCCCTCCAGGCTGCTGGGTTACAGGTGTGACCATGTCCTCCCGTCAATCCTGCACGTCTCTTGCAATGCTCAGGGTGCATGACTCGGTGCCCCTGCTAGCACTCTGCTACTGTCAGGGCGTTTTGTTCAGGTGTGTTGCCGTTCATTGCAGCTGGCAGGGGTGGCTGGGCGGGGTGGATGCAGGCAGGGTAGGCGGACCCAGTGCTGGAAGAGGGGAGGTGGAGAAAAGGAAACCGAGAGTGGGAAATCGGCGCCAGAGCCCTGAGCTGCTGGAAAGAAATGAAACTGAAAGCGGGAGAGGAACGGAAGGCCTGGGGGTGGGGGGAGGGACGCGGAGGAGGCCGGGGCAGCAGCGCCGCCGGCTCCCCGGCCTGGGCGCACGGCCTGGGCGGAGCGTCCCGGCGGCGCGCGGAGCAGGGCCATGGACGTGTACCGCAGCCCCGCCGCGGCGCTGGCCAGCCTGGTGGCCCGCCGCCTGCAGCCGTCTGCCGAGTTCCAGCGGGCCGCCTGGCGCGCCCTGGGCGCCCTGGCCACCACCCTGCGTGAGCGCGGCCACCGCGCCGCCGCCCAGCCCTGGAGGGTGCTGAAAACCGCCAAGGTAGGCGCCTTGGGGGCGGCGGGGGGGGGCGTCGCCTATACATAGGAGCGACCCTCAGATGAGGCTGGCGCGGGACCCCCACGGTTCCGATCAGCTCTTTTCACTCCTGTCTTTGGCATGTGTAGACAGCACACTGCTGGGCCCAGCGCCCACCACAGCCCGGCCGGGTGGGACAGTGAACCCCACCTAACACGGGGGAAACTGAGGCACAGAGACAAAATCACGTGTCCGAGCTCGTAAGAGGTCCAGCCAGGTTTCAAAGCCAGGTAGCCTGACTCTTGCAGCCTTGCTCCTCCGGGCTGCCTCTCATGGGTTCGCTCGTTGGCTCAGTCACCTATTACCCGGTCCAAACAGACGCCAGTCCTCACGCCACGGCTGACCCTCGGGATGCAGAACCATGAGTATTCCCTTAATGGCCCTAATAGCCTATTTACTGAGAAACTGCCCAATAACAATAAACACAGTCTCGTTAAATGAGTCATCTGGCGTAATGCTCACACTTAGTGAGGTACGATTATTATCCCTGTATCATGACTTGGGGAACCGGGACTGGGTGTGGGTGAGCCACTACCCAAGGCCAATTTTTGTCACTTAAATGCCACACTGCCGCGGGGACCACAGGATGCCCACAGACTCCGGGAGGGAGGCGTCAGCTGCTATATCCTCTGTGCAAATTCAGGGGCCCCAGGGGTGCATGAGGGAAGCTGGCTGGGGTAGAGGGGACCTGGAGCTTGTCAGGGGAGGGATGAATACGGAGCAGGGGATGCCCCCAGAGCAGCTAGTGCTTTCTGACGGTGGAGTCGTAGCTTGGGAGGTAGGAAAGGGGAAGGGGACGGAGAAGAGACACGCAGCCTATGCAGTGTGGAGGTAGATTTCTGCCTTGGAGGTAGACAGGAAAAATTTCTTCGGAACAAGAATTTAAGAATCTCTAAGCCTCTGGCTTCCTCGGCTTCCCTGGAAAACCTGGAACAGCTCTCGTGGTTGCATTTAGCTTCCGGCCTTCTGATCACTCCAGGCTTTCAAGGAGGCAGTGGTGAAGTGGGTACAGCAATGGGCTACCTTTCCAGCCTTGAGAAGCTGCTCTCTGCAGAGAGGACTCCGTGGAGGAACGGCTGATTCCAGGGCTGGACTGCGATGTGCGATGTGCGAGATGAGCCTGGGACTTCTGGGTCGACCAGAATGCAAAGAAGGGGTGATAGACCTCAGAAGGACTGCCCCCCCCAGGGGAGCCAACATGAAGGAGCTCTCCTGCTCCCTATATGACCACCAAAAACGTCTTTCAGCATTGCAAAACATCCCCTGGGACAAATGTCACCCCCCCCCATTGGGGATCACCACTTTCTAGATGCCCGTAAAAGTGTATGTGGATGAAATGACACAGGGGCTGGAATTTCTCTTAAAATCACATAAAGAGGAAACAGGGGTCAAATAAAAGGAGCAAATATGTCAAAGACTTCTTTAAAACCCTTTCTTCGGGCAGCCCGGGTGGCCCAGCGGTTTATCGCTGCCTTCAGCTCAGGGCTTGATCCTGGGGACCCGGGATCGAGTCCTGCGTCAGGCTCCCTACATGGAGCCTGCTTCTCCCTCTGTCTGTGTATCTGCCTCTCTCTCTCTTTCTGTCTCTCATGAATAAATAAAATCTAAAAAAAAAACAAAAAAAAAACCCAACCCTTTCTTCTTCCATGTAAGTGTAGAAATGTTCATAATAAAAAGTATTTTAATCTATGGGGAGGGGGTGCCAGAAGAAAGTGGGCTTGGAGCTGGGTCTCCTGAGTTGACCTTCAAAGCACCGTGCTGCCTCTCCAGGTGGGGTGTTGCTAAGCAACCTCCCTGCACTTCCGTTTCCCCATTTCCTCCTTTGTAAAGTGAGAGCAAACCACAGTACCTTTCTCCCAGGCGTGTTAGGGAGCTTCACTGAGATGATCATGTGCAAAATATGCAGGAAGTGCTCAGTCTACAATATTCTTCTGTGTTCTGCCCTTTTCCCCCTTGGTTGGCAGCCCCCGATGTGAGGAGCTGGCAGCAAGCAAACTGGGATACCCCTGGGATAATTAGCCATCCCAGCTTGGTCGGGGAGATGCCCCTGGAGGGCTAATCTTGCTTCTTGTCTTTTCCGGGCTGTGTTACTCACTTCTCCGCCCTGAGCCTCACGGTCTCATGCAACCACAAGTAACCACTTCAGCGGTATTGCCTGGAAGTGAGATTACAGGTTGTCAGGCATTTGACAGAGCTGCAGACACAGAGGAGAGACTCTGAGCCTGAGAGTTTCCTTCCCAAATCCCTGCTGACAGCTTTGCAGAAAGAAACACCCTTCAGAGAGGTGCCGCAAATTCAGTGGATCGTATCATAGGCAAAGGTCACAAACATGTGTTCTGCAGACCAGAATTTTTTTCACCAACAGTTTTAAGTTTTTAAAAAATTGAAAATTTTTAAATTAACAAAAATGTTCTGAAGTAGGTTGCCAACATTTAGAAACCATGAGTTTACAATTGAAAATTGCTTTTCGGGACACCTGGGTGGCTCAGCCATTGAGCATCTATCTGCCTTTGGCTCAAGGCGTGATCCTGGAGTCCCAGGATCGAGTCCCACATCGGGCTTCCTGCTTGGAACCTGCTTGTCCCTCTGCGTGTGTCTCTGCCTCTCTCTGTGTGTCTCTTGTGAATAAATAAATAAAATCTTTAAAAAAAAAGAAAATTGCTTTTCTTTAAAACTCAGAGCTGGCTGTGCTCGACCTGAATTCATTCATTCATCCATTCATTCATTCATTCATTCATTCATTTGAGAGAGAGTAAGCATGAGCAGGGGCAGAGGGAGAGGAACAAGCAGACTCCCCACTGAGCAGGGAGCTTGATGTGGGACTCAATCCCAGGACCCTGAGCCGAAGGCAGATGCTTAACCGACTGTGCCACCCAGGCACTCCTTGACCTGTATTTCTGCATGGCTTCAAATGCCGGGAGCTGTGTGCCCACAGTCTCCCCACACAACCCCCTTGCATCACTCAGGTTGCCTGCCAGCCCATGTGGGCCCTAGAATGGAAGAATGCAGAATTCTGAGTTATTTTTCTTTTCTTTGTAGGGAGGCTCCGCCGGCCGGGGCACAGCCCTGAGGGGTGGCTGTGATTCTGAAATGGTCATCTTCCTCGACTGCTTCAAGAGCTACAAGGACCACAGCGTCGATAGGGCAGAGATCCTCAAAGATCTGTGGGACCTGCTGCAATCTTGGTGGCAGAAACCCATCCCCGGTCTGAACTTTGAGACTCTTTGGCAGGACAGGCCCGGGGTCCTACAGTTCCGCCTGGCATCCACGGACCTTGAAAACTGGATGGATGTTAGCTTGGTGCCGGCCTTTGACGCTCTGGGTGAGGGGTCCCTGGCCCCTTCCAGGCTTGGGGGGCAAGATCATTAGGAGTAAGACAGGGCTTGCTGTTCGGACCCTGCCCCAACCTCCTATGTGGCCTGGGCGACCCTCTCTGGGCTCCAGTTTCCTCACTAAACATACTGAGAATGGGCCAAGAAGGCCCAGTTCCTCATGGATCTGTAGTCCTGGTGTCCAGGTACTTGGCCCTCGCTCAAGCAACTGGGGAGACTTTCCTTCAGCTACTGCCTAGATCAATGCTGCTCAGCCCTTCTATAAATACCCCAAAGGAGAAGGCAAACGGGCAGGCAAGTCCCCCTGGGAGCAGGGGACTGCAGACAAGGCCAGAATTCTGCAAAATCTTGTATTTTTATCTTAAAAGCATTAATGTGATTCCCCTTCATATTATGTCCATGCTTGATTTAATATAATAATGTGCCCCTGTGCCCACATATGTAAAATGAGGTTAATAATAATGGAACCCTAGTAATGAGTTTTTGGAAAGACTGTATGCATTAATGCATGTGATGAACTTTGAACAGTGCCTGGCACATGCTGTGACTCTATGAGTGCTTGTTGTATTTTTTGTTAAGATTTTATTTATTTATTCATGAGAGACACAGAGGGAGAAGCAGGCTCCATGCAGGGAGCCCAGTGCAGGACTTGATCCCAGGACCCCAGGATCACGCCCTGAGTGAAAGCAGATGCTCAACCACTGAGCCCCCCAGAGGTCCTATTATTATTATTATTATCATCATTATTATTTTCCACCATTCTTATTATTCTTATTGACCATGATGCTCTGGGGGATAGCTGTCGAATTTGTCCAGGTTATGATGTCCTGGGAGACAGCCACACAATCCCACACCTGCTACACCCACCCTCTGGGTACACATATATTAATCATAATAGCTACTACTTATTAAATGCTTAGCTATTCCAAACACCTGACATACTTTATCTCATTAATTCTCAAAATAAACCTATGAGGTCTGTACTGTCTTATCTTCCTTTTTATTAATAAGGACACTGAGGCACAGAGACAGACAGTGACTCACCCAAAGTCACACAGCATGGAAGCGATGATAGGAATCTGGGAAATTATGGAGAGTGTTCACATTTCCCAGGCTAGGCCCACAGGAAGTGGTGGAGAAAAGGCACATACTGTAAAGTCAGCCAGCTTTAAGTGCCAATCCTGTCTCCATCACTTGCCAGCTATATAACCTTGGGGAGAGAACTGAATTTCTCTGAGCTTCAGGGTCCTGGGCTATAAAATGAGGTGAAGAATACTTCCTGATAGGGTTTTGGTGGAGATATGGGAGGCTCACATGAAACTTTCAGCAGAGCGCCTGCCTGGCATGTCCAAAGCACTAAAAAAAAAAAAAAAAAAAAAAAAAAAAAATTAGCAATCCCTAAGGATTGGGATGCTAAGGCATCAGAACCTCTTGCCTTCTATTTCTCCAGCTGTTTCCTTTCCCTCTGGCACCAATTAATTAAAGGTATGTGCCGTGGTATTTTAATACTGCCTGAGGGAGCCTCAGGGCGGGAAGAACTGCCAGGTTATAAGTACTCCTGACTCAGCTGGAAGCATCATTCCTATTTAACCACCTTGGGATATGGCTGATCTTCTTCAGCCTGGCCCTGGGTTTGGAAGGAAGGGACCCTTCCTTCTGGCCTGGAGCTTTCCTCTCTGCCACATGAGAAGCTCCAGGCCCTCTTCTTTACCCTCCAACCCCCATGCTAGTGAATCTCTGCTCCTTCCACCCCCCTGCCACCAAATTCCCCCCAGTTTCTCCATCCTGTGCCTCAGAACCCTTCCTGATTCACATCATTTCCCACTCACAGGGCAGCTCTGTGCTGGTGCCAAACCTGCGCCCCAGGTCTACTCGACTCTCATCCACAGTGGTTGCCAGGGGGGCGAGCACGCAGCCTGCTTTGCAGAGCTGCGGAGGAACTTCGTGAACGTTCGTCCGGCAAAACTGAAGAGCCTGATCTTGCTGGTGAAGCACTGGTACTGTCAGGTGAGGCCTCCCCTGACGGTCCTTGATGCAGGCATATGACTGTTTAAATTTGTGATTTCATGGCAGTGAGGATATTTTTATGTTTTGCAGCCATTCATGTTTCTCTTTGTGGGAACTGCCTGTTCATATCATTTGTTTATTATTTTCCACCACGTTAGCTGTCTTCTTATTGTTGGTTTGTTGGAGCTCTTTATATATTCTGGGTGCTAATTCTTATTGAGTTACTATAATGTAAATCTACTATCCCTGTCCATGGCTTGTACTTTCATTTTGTTCATAGGTCTCTCACCACAGAAAAATGTTTGAATTTTAATGTAATCAGGTGTGTTCATGTTTTCCTTAAGAAAAACATGATTTGTACTTCACATTGTCTTGTGTAATAAGACTTTGCCTATCCTGACTTTCTAAAATTTTTCTTCTGTGGTTCCTCTCAAAAGGTATTAAGATTTTCTTCTTATGTGGTTTTAGGGCTTTGAAACTATCTGGAATATTCTACGTATGGTGTGAAGTAATGTGGAGTTTGTACATCTCCCATTCCAGCCTCTGGAATAACAACCTCCCTCCAAAATATGCATGTTTGTTGATAGACTCTTATGCTTGGAGGAAGGGGTGCCCAGCCTGTGCCTGGAGATGAGGGAACAAGCCCACAAAATCTTAGGGCACATGGCTTAGTCCTCTTCTTGGACCACTCATCATAAAGCAAGTCTGGTCTGTGGAGGTCCTGGATTCCAGTTCTTGCTCAGCCACTGACTTGCTGTGTGACCCTGGGCAGCCTGCCATGGTTTCTTTTGAGGGATCAGTGACAGTCTCACATTAGCCACTGGCCTCTCTCTGACTGCTCCCCAGTCCTAAGGGCTTGAATCTCACATGAGCCCATGACTTTGCTGAAGCTCCAAGTCGAAGGCAGATGGGAAATATCAGGTTGCTCCTAGAACATAGCATCTCATCCCAGGCTTCAGCGTGTGGGGTCTGCGCCCCAGAGCCTGAAAGATCCAGCAAAGTTCTGCAGAGAGCTCTCTTTTCCCCTCCCCTTCACCGTCTTACAGGTATGCCAGGAGGAAGGGAAGAGGGAGATGCTGCCTCCAGCCTATGCCCTGGAGCTGCTGACCATCTTCGCCTGGGAGCAGGGCTGTGGGAAGGATGCCTTCAGCCTGGCCCAAGGCCTCCGGACCGTCCTGGGCCTGATCCAGGAGTATCGGCAGCTGTGTGTTTTCTGGACGCTCAACTATGGCTTCGAGGACCCTACAGTCAGGAGCTTCTTGAGTTCCCAGCTGAAAAAACCCAGGTACCTCCCCATATGCCCCACGCACCCACTCTCCTGGGCTAGGGCCACGGGAGATAATTAATGCGATAAAATAGGTCTCATTTCTGAGGGCCAAAGCCAGGCACTGTACATGCACTCCCTAACTGGATTTAGCCCCAGAGGGAAATTAAAATCACTTGGGGCAATTTTGGGTTTTTTTAAAGACTTTATTTATTTATTCATGACAGACACACAGAGAGGCAGAGACACAGGCAGAGGGAGAAGCAGGCTCCATGCAGGGAGCCCGACGTGGGACTCGATCCCGGGTCTCCAGGATCACGCCCCGGGCTGAAGGCAGGCGCTAAACCGCTGAGCCACCCGGGCTGTCCAGGGCAGTTTTTAAAAAAGCTTTTTCTTGTGTGAACATATTTTATGCGTGAGGATTTTAGCAACACATAGTATACACATCCAAGGTGCACATTTTGTTTTTTGGTTTCTGTTTTTTTAAAGATTTTATTTACTTATTCGAGAGAGAGAGAGAGAGAGAGAGAGAGAGAGAGAGAGGCAGAGACACAGGCAGAGGAAGAAGCAGGCCCCATGCAGGGAGCCTGATGCAGGACTCGATCCCAGGACCCCAGGATCACGACATGAGCCAAAGGCAGACGCTCCACCACTAAGCCACCCAGGTGCTCCTTAGGTGCACATTTTGGTGACTTTCTATAAAGTGAACATGCCCGTGAAACCACCATCAGATCAAGGGAGAACAAGCTTCCCTTTTATTTCTCCAGGTCAGTAACTTCCCAGAGGTGACCCCACTCTGACTCTTACGGTTCCAGTCCTATCTGTTTTGAAATCTTGAAATGGAATCATACGACATATGCTTTTGTGTCTGGCATCTCTTTCTCAATATCATGCTTTTGAGATTCTTCCGTATAGTTTTGTGTACTTGCTTATTATTGTTGATTGTTTTGTGTTGCCAAATAGTATTCAATTGCGTGAATTTATCACAATATGCTTTCCATTCTGCTGATGATGGATATTTGGTTGTTTCTGCCTGGGGCTATTACAGGAAGGCTGTTAGGAACAGTCTAGAAGGGCCTCGTACATGCACTTCTGTGTATGGGCACCATTGGATACACGTGTAAGAATAAAATGGCTACATCATGGTGGTAACTCTGAGTCCCTGGGGATGGATCCTCGTATTTTATGATTCTCATGTGCTGCCAGAGTTGAGGAAGGACTTTTGCTCCAATTTAATCTCTACAACAACCCACCAGAGCAGGCACTGTGGTTATCCCCATTTTGCAAATAAGGAAACAGGTTCAGAGGAGGTAAGCCATCTACCCCAGGTCACACTGAAAGTAGAAGAGCTGGGATTGGAACCAGTTCTGCTTGACCTCAGAGCCCCTGATCTTGACCATCTTACTAAACAGAATCTTCCTGTCCCTCTGGATTTGCAGGCCTGTGATCCTGGACCCGGCTGACCCCACGTGGGATGTTGGGAATGGAGCCACGTGGCACTGGGATATACTGGCCAGAGAGGCAGAGTCCTGCTATGAGCACCCGTGCTTTCTGCAGGCGGCAGGGGACACTGTGCAGCCCTGGGAGGGAACCGTGAGTGAGGGGCTCCTGGGATCCTCATCAGGTGTAAAGCCACACCTAATTCACATGCTCAGTGTTCCCTGAGCATCTACTGGGCGCTGGGGCCGTGGGGTGTGGGACAGAGTTCAGAGTGGAGGCCACAGGCACTCAAACAATCTGATCACCAAGCTGAGCCTGCTTGGAGGAACATCTTTGAGTGCATGCATGGGGTCAGTGTCTGCTTACCACAGTGTCTGCCCCGCACAGGGCTCCTTTTAAGAATTTATCCCGTCTGTAAGGGCACTTTTTTCTAATCTTCACAAAGGCACCGTATGGGCCAGCGGTGCACCCCCTCCCCCACTTCCCACCTCTGAATCTCAGTCACCCTGACTATGTTGGGAGGGGGCTGGCAAGAGAAGGGATGGAGAAACTTCTATGCCTGCAAAGACAACTCTTTCAACACACCTCCAGGGCCTTCCACGTGCTGGGTGCTCAGGTTTAGACCACCCCATCCAGCGAGACGATGCCCAGAGGACCCCTGGGAACAGCAGCAGTCTCAATGCTGTGCCCCCAAGGGCAGGAAGCAGGCAGCCCTCATGGCCAGCTCCCCGACCCCCAGGGCCAGACAGCATCACCCCTTCTACGCTGGGGAGGGCTGTGGATCTGTCTCAGATCGCCACCAAGGACCTGGACCGCTTCATCCAGGACCACTTGAAACCAAACCCCCAGTTCCAGAAGCAGGTCGGCAAGGCCATCAATGTCATCTTGGGTTGCCTCCGAGAGAAGTGTGTCTACAAGGCCTCGAGGGTCAGCAAGGTGAGTTGGTGGATGGGGACACTGATGGAAACGTCCTGGGTACCACAGTAAGGAAGGGAAGGAGCCAGAGCGACGCAGCTGAGGGCTGGCAGGTATATATCCGAGCGCTAGCTTTTAAACAAAATTTTAATGATAGTTTTTGAAACCACTATTACCGTAATCAGACCACGTCCCTCCTCTGCTCAAAATCCTCTGCGGTTCCACAGAGCACAATGGCTTCAAGGCCGGTAGGATCTGGTCCTGGTCTCTGACCTTTGCTTACCCCATACTGGCCTCCTGGCTGCTTCTTGAACTCACTGGGCACAGTCCATACTGCCTGGTTTCTATTTCTGGAATGTTCTTTTCCCCCTCCCTCCATCCACTTGGCTCCCTCCCCCTCCTTCGAGTCTGGGATCCCAGTCCCCTTCCCACTGAGGTCTGACTGCTCAATTTACAGCTGCAACCTCCCTTCCATCTCCAGTCCCCTCACTATTTTATTTGTGTCCACACAGCACTTAGCACTTTCCGGAGGCTTTTGTTTGCTGACTGTCCCTCCTTCCTCTCCCCCTGCTAGAATATAAGTTCTAGGAGAACAGGGAACTTGGATGTACTCCCATATCTTGGTACATGTGAGTGCTCAATAAATATGTCTTGAACAGATGAATGAATTGATTGGTTGGCTGGTTGATTAAAACAGGCCAACAAAGCACATCTGCAGGCCTCATTTGACCCTGGGACCTCAATTTGCTACCTGTGGTCCAGATGTGCAGTCAGTAGATGCTGCAGGTGATTGGCCAAAATCTTTCATCCTTGCACCCCATGCCACCGCACTCCTGTTATCTGTTGCTGCAAGTTGGTCTGACTCCTGAGGGTCAGAGGGCAGGGGCAGACAAATATAGTCAGACCCTGCCAGGCTTCTAAGAATCAGAGGTCACAACCCTTGTGCAGCCTGCCTCTGTTGTGGTGGCCCTGGGCCCCACATCAGTGAGACAGTACTGTCGGGGCTGCAGATGGGGTGGAGCAGTTGGGGTCAGAATCTGACTCCTGAGCTCAGGGACAGTCATGGATCTGAGATGTTCCTTCCTCTGCAGGGGGGCTCCTTTGGCCGGGGCACAGACCTGAGGGGTAGCTGTGATGCCGAACTGGTCATTTTCCTCAACTGCTTCGAGGACTACAGGGACCAAAGGGCCCGCCGCCCAGAGATCCTTCAGGAGATGCAGGCACAGCTGGAAGCCTGGTGGCAGGACCCAGTCCCCGGCCTGAGCCTCGAGTTTCCTGAGCAGACCGTGCCCGAGGCTTTGCAGTTCCGGCTGGTGTCTACGGCCCTAGAAAGCTGGATGGATGTGTGCCTGATGCCCGCCTTTGATGCCGTGGGTGAGGGGCGCCCCCAGCCTGTGCCTTGGGGGTGAATTCCCTTTCCCGCTATGCTACGTAGCTTGTCTAGGGGTCAAGATTACTCACCTTGCAGAGTCATTGGCTGGATTAGTGAAAATTACTGAAAAGCACCCAGCACATATTTGGTGCTAAAAAAAAAAAAAGTTCTATTCTACGTTGTAGATTGTGCATCACTGATTGCACTGCTATGTGATTAACATTCAGATATTAATAAAGGCTGGTGAGTAGCAGGGTTAGGACATGCTGCTGTCGTCGTTAGAGCCGTGCCCTCAGCGCATTTCAAATGTCCACAGGGCAGCTCTGTGCTGGTGCCAAACCTGCGCCCCAGGTCTACTCGACCCTCCTCCAGAGCGGCTGCCAGGGGGGCGAGCACGCGGCCTGCTTCGCAGAGCTGCGGAGGAACTTCGTGAACGTTCGTCCAGCAAAACTGAAGAGCCTGATCCTGCTGGTGAAGCACTGGTACCACCAGGTGAGGCCTCCAGGTATCCTTGCTCCTCTCGGGAAGCAACCGCTGTCATGGCAACTGCTTCAGCCAATCGGCTCCTCCCCTAGGCAGACAGCTCCCTTCCTTCACTTCTTATTGGCCATCCCAGGTAGAAGGACCACTTCCTCCATCCTCCACTTCTTCCCCCGGGTCGGAAACCCTTGCTGAGAGAGGGTCTCTCCTCCATCAGGCCCCCAAGTGCTCCTTTCTTGTGGTTGGGCTTCACCATCCCTCTCTAGCTCATCAGTTTCTCCCCCTTCCTCACACTGCTGATGCTTTCCCTGCTCTTGCCCACCCCCAAGCCCTAGCTTATGCTGTTCCACCATTACTGTCCTCTGCAGAAATTGTACTGAATAAACCCTGGGCATCCGCCGCTAAACACTTCTCTGAATGCGCTGGCAATCATGTATTCACTCAACGAACATCTCCCGAGCACCACTGCTGCTAACATCACTATTGTGACAGCCATTGGCATACCAAGCTAAATATGTTGGAGCCCCCATTCTTGTACACCCTAGGAAGAGAGACTCCATGCAAAGATCAAGTCTGGTCTCGGGTCATTGTGTGACCTTGAACAAGTCCCTATCCCCACCACGGACCTCTGTTTATCCACCTGTAAAATAAGAAGCGTTCTATTTTTTCTGTGTTTTTATTATTTTTATATTCCCCCTCCCTCTCCAAGTACATAGGGCCATGCTTAGCACATAGTAGGTGCTCATATCCACTTACTCTCTGGTTGGCTTTTGGGTGACATAGGTCGCAGCCCAGAACAAAGGACAGCAGCCAGCCTGTGCCTCTCTGCCTCCGGTCTATGCCCTGGAGCTCCTGACCATCTTCGCCTGGGAGCAAGGCTGTGGGGAGGATTCTTTCAAAATGGCGCAAGGCTTAAAGACTGTTCTAGAGCTTGTCCAGCAGCACCAGCAGCTCTGTGTCTACTGGACAGTCAACTATAGCTTCGAGGACCCAGCGATCAGAACACATCTTCTTGGCCAGCTTCAGAAACCAAGGTACAGATCCACTTCCCCATTGCCTTTCCTGCATCATCCTTCTCCTCTCTCGCTGTTGCTGGGGAGTCATTGTATCCAAAAGGGGGCCAGGGTGGGATCTGGGTGCCCCAGGCCCACTCCTGACTCTGCTTCCTTCTGAACTCTTTACTGAGGAAGCAGGGACACCAGAAGCCCCAAAAGGAGCCAGGGTCAGTTTCATTAACACAATAAAATATCATTTCTTAGATTAAGGGGTCTAATACCTTCCTGACTGGAGCAGCCAGGCAGGAACCCTCCTGTGCTTGCGAGAGATTGGGCCAAGCCTAAGGTCCTAACACTCTTCTCCTTCTCTCCAGCTCCCACACCCTTTTCTAGTCCCTCTCACCACGACTCCCTGCTCCTTCATTGACTCCCATCTTCCCCCCCCCCCTCGGCTGCCCATCCACTCTGCCCCCAGACCCCTGATCCTGGATCCTGGTGACCCCACCTGGAATGTGGGCCAGGGCAGCTGGGAGCTGTTGGCCCAAGAAGCAGCAGCTCTGGAGACTCAGGCCTGCTTGAGGAGTAGGGAAGGCACATCTGTACAGCCATGGGATGTGATGGTAAGAGAGGAATCCCTAGGGTGGCGGATGCTGTCGAGACCCCCTCCCAGGTCCCCTTTCCCCACTGGTGCACACATCCCCAGCTGCTCAGAGTGTTTGCTGCTGGCGGCTTACAGCTGAAACATGCAGATTGTTCAGTCCCAGCCAGGACTTGATTAACATGGGTACAAAAGGCCCTCCTCTGTTCTACGGCAAGACCAGCTCTATGATGCAATTCTTAGTCCAGTGTCCCCAAGGGATCAGGAAAAAGCTTCCTCCAGCTGGAACCTTACTTACTCCTTCTCCAGCCCTCTCCTACTTCCCTCACTCCCCTTCTCCTGCAAGCACTGCCCCCAGTTAAACCATGCACAGGAAACCCCATCACAAGCTCTACTTCCAGGGAACCCCGCTGACGATGATAGCCAGTTCCCAAAGGGACGTGATTTTATCGCATTTACTATTTTTCAGCAGGAGCTCATAACCAGTGCTTAATACTCCAGACAATCCAGTGAGGCATGAGCCTAGTTCTTGCCCATATGGGGAGACCAAGGCTGTATGTTGGTGGTGGAACCAGGACTTGAACTCAGGTCCTTCTGATGCTACCACAAAGACCTGCCAACCAGCTGAGGAAGAAGAGGGATATGGGAGATAGATAGTGAAGGTCTCATCCACATAGAATGTCAAGAGTCAGCGCCGGGGCATTCATTGGGAGTCCTGTCTCAATACCTGTATTCTTTCTGTAGCCTGTTCTCCTTTACCAAACCCCAGCTGGGGACCTTGACAAGTTCATCAGTGACTTTCTCCAGCCCAACCGTCAGTTCTTGGCTCAAGTGAACAAGGCTGTTGATACCATCTGCTCATTTCTGAAGGAAAACTGCTTCCAGAATTCTGCCATCAAAGTGCTCAAAGTGGTCAAGGTAAGTCCCCAGAGAGCTGTGGACGAGTGGTCGGGCAGGCTGCTGATCTTTCCCGGGGTCACCAGGGCCGCTTTTCCACTGATCACCTGGGCCAGGCCTTGCCCACTTCTGTAGTCCTTATAACGATCAGCACAAGGCCAAGTATAGAAGAGAAACCAGAATGTGGTTGTGGGTGGATGGCAGAGAAAGGACCCAGATGTGTCCAACAAATCTGTTTTGGTTGCTTGTGACTACCAATTCAAGAGGAGGAACAAAAGAAATATATTGGCTGATGCAAACGGAAAGCCCTGGAGTTGATCTCCCATCAGGTACAGCTAGATCTAGGAGCCCATGCAAGGTCACCGGGACTCAGCTTTTCATCTCAGCTCTTGGCTCTGCCATCTTGTTTTGGGTAGGCCCTTTCCATATTGATGATCCTTAGCATCTCTAAGCTTCCAGAAAGGGGAATTCTGTTTTCTTAAAGATCAAATGGAAGGCTTGGAATTGAATCTCATTGTCCTGACTCAGGTTATCTACCCATCCCAATAATTACTGGGGCTAGAAAGACATCATGCTCTGACTGGCCAAGCCTGGCTCCTATGGTGGAGTCAGCTCCACATGGACAGGAGTGTGGGGGAGGGCGATTCCCCCAAAGAAAATCAGGATGCAGATCCCAGAAGGTAGAGAAGAGATGCTGGAAGTGTATAAAAAGCCACATTATCTGCTGCATTGGATACAACCTCAGTCCACAACTGAAGTCACAAGTGAGACTCAGGTCAGCTCTAGAAGATTATCAGCATAGAGTCAGCCAATGAAAAGTCCCAGGCCTGATGATTTGCTGTGTGACCTCAGGCAATACCTTCCCCTCTCTGATTCTTACCTTCCTCATTCATAACACAAAGATGATAACCTGGTTCACTGGTTATCAACTGTGACTTCACTTAGAATCAATCACAAGGAGAATTTTAAAAATTTTACTGATACCAAGTCTGCCTCCCAGGCCAATTAAATCAGTCTCAGTGGCATAGGAGCCAGATATCAGTCATTTAAAAAAAAAAAAAAAAAACTCTCCTGGTGTAGACGGGCTTGAGAACTACAGGCCAAAAAGGAAAAAAAAAATCTCTCAAGTTTCTCCTAGACCCCAAACCTGATGGAATGAGAAAGTTTAACTTTGTTGAAGGGTTTTAACTTTTGTCTTGCACATTTCTTTTTCTCATAATCATCTTGTTTATTAACCCCATATTAAAGAGGTCAAGGAGAGAGGTTAAGTGACTTGCCCAAGGTTACACAGCAAGTTCCCGACCCACAGGCTCTAGCAGAAGTCCTGCAGGGGTCAAGCCACCTCTGTGTCCTCTCCAGGGTGGCTCTTTAGCCAAAGGCACAGCTCTGCGAGGCCGCTCGGATGCAGATCTAGTGGTGTTCCTCAGCTGCTTCAGCCAGTTCGCTGAGCAAGGGAACAGGCGGGCTGAGATCATCTCAGAGATCCGAGCCCAGCTGGAGGCATGTCAGCAGAAGTTGCAATTGGAGGTGAAATTCGAGATCCCCAAGAGGAAGAACTCCCGCGTATTGAGCTTCTCCCTGAAGTCCCAGACGATGCTGGATCAGAGTGTGGACTTTGACGTGCTGCCGGCCTTTAACGCCTTAGGTGAGGTACCCAGGCATAGTCCTGAGAAGGGGACAAGCAGAGGCAGGGCTGCCAGGGACGGTATTTGAGGTCTCACGGTGCACAACCAGACCACACCTGTTCACAGTGTAGGCATTGTACACATGTATGCTTGTCACCAGTTTCCTGCAAGGTGTCTGGAGAAAAGGATGCCTTTTTCTATTTTTTTTTTAAGATTTTGTTTATTTATTCATAGAGACACACACAGAGAGAGAGGCAGAAACACAGGCAGAGAGAGAAGCAGGCTCCATACAAGAAGCCTAACGTGGGACTCGATCCCGAGTCTCCAGGATCGCACCCCAGGCTGCAGGCAGCGCTAAACCGCTGCGCCACTGGGGCTGCCCAAGATGCCTTTTTTTAATTCATACTACAGTGTTATGTGGTCTAACAGTGGCTCTGGGCTGGGTCCTTGTCTCAGCAATTGCACCAGCGTGACGAACGTCCTTGAGTAAGGGACTTCCCTACCTTGAACACCAGTGTCTTCCCCTGATGATGTGGGTATTGGAGTGTCTCAGCATATCCCCAGCTTCAAGTATTCGTGTGCTACTTGCTGCCTTCTGCACTTGCCACAGACCTGTAGGATCCAAGAGTTCAGTAAATGCACAGAGTATGTGCCTGGCATTCTTCCAGGCACCACGGATGAATCCCTGGAAAGGACAAAACAGACCTCTTTGTATCTATTCAGTTCTGAGTTTGCATTGGAGAGTTTGCAGAGTGAGGACATCCCCTGTATCTGAATGTTTTTGGTTCCTAAGGTTTGGAAACAAGTTACAAGGAAGGGACTCACCCGGAAATGTATCTGAATCTACACAGTTCTTCAGAAAGCAAGAGTTGGAATGTCAAGGAATACCTTTAAGTGCAATGAAACCAGAGGGTGACATCAGCTCACCATGTACAGTCCTGTTACCCACCGGAGGCCCTGAGACCGAGGCTCTCCCTTTGTTAGAGAGGGATGAGCAAGCATTCAAGAGCTGAGAGCCATTAAAGATGTGTTAGCTCCCAGCTGAGACTTTCTTCGTGATAGACAGAAGGGTTGAAAGGGGGCAGGAAGAAAAATAAGATTCTTGCCAGGGACTTAATGCTGGGCCATGCCATGTGTGGGCTCCAACTAAAATCCCCTGTTACTTACCTTTGCCCAAGTGGGCCCTAGCCCACCCTTGGGGAAAGTGAAGATCCTGGAAGTAGGAGATCCTGGAAGTCCTTTCTCAGTTGGCCCCAGCGGGACTCTGGGAAATGAACCGATGGTGGCCTCCTCCCTATCTCCAGGCCAGGTGGTCTCCAGCTACAGGCCCCCGTCTCAAGTCTACGTGGACCTCATCTACAGCTACAACAATGCGGGCGAGTATTCCACCTGCTTCACTGAGCTGCAGCGAGACTTCATCATCTCTCGCCCCACTAAGCTGAAGAGTCTGATCCGACTGGTGAAGCACTGGTACCGGCAGGTTTGGCACAAGGACGGGCCACCCTACTGGGGAACATTGAGGAGGGGGAGGGGGAGGGGGCAGGGGGCTGGTGGAGCAGAAGGAGGGATATTTCCTAGCTCTGGGACCTGAGTTTGCCTCTCTGTAAAATTGGGCTGGCGTCAAAATCCCAAGTTACAGGATTTTGAAGGGATAATGCCCGGCCAGGCATCTGACATGTGGAGGTGCTCAGTGAAATTTTGGGGTCTGCTTGCCAGCTCTGGAAGGGTCCCTCCTGTACTGCTTCATTGCCAGTGCAAACGGACGCATCCTCTTTCCCCTATTCCCCAGTGCAACAAGATGCCCAAGGGAAGAGGCTCCCTGCCCCCCCAGCATGGGCTGGAACTCCTGACGGTGTACGCCTGGGAGCAGGGTGGGCAGAGCGCCCAGTTCAACATGGCCCAGGGCTTCCGCACCGTCCTGGAGCTGGTCAGCCAGTACCGTCAGCTCCGTGTCTACTGGACTGTCAACTACGATAACGAGGACAAGACTGTCAGAGACTTCCTGAGCCGGCAGCTTCGCCAGCCCAGGTTCTGGCCCACCCTCCCCGTCACAGAGTCTCAGATATGGGGTCACTGGCTCTCCCCACATCCGGAGGGCTTCGGGGGGAGACAGCAAAATCCTCTTCCCAGAACTGAGCTCCTTTCCAACAGGGATATCCTTAGCACATAAGGGACAGGCAGTCTGTTTCCTGGCCCCGCTCTAGAAGTAGGGTTGCCAGATGAAATGCAAGACTCCATTCAAGTTTGAAATTCAGACAAACGGTGAATGACTTTTTAGTATAAGTGTGTCCCACGTGGTATTAGGGATATACTTATGTTGATCCAAAGCTCAAATTTAACTGGGCATTCTCTCTTTCTGTTTGTTAAACCTGGCAACCCTACCTGTGAGCCCACCAGGTAATGTAAGCATGTCTTATTCTTTGGGATTTTGCCTGCCTCCGCAGAGAGAGCAGAGGTACTTTCACAAACTCATGATGCATCTCCAGCCCATGGATAACGGCAACTTAGCATGATATGCTGAAAAAAACTCTGAGATGGTGACAGCTCCCACAGGTGTAGGAAGGGAGAATGGTAGGACCAGTACCGAGACTAGTAACCAACGCCTGCTACCTGCTGAAGGGGTGTGGCCCAGATGAACATGGTGATTGATTAGTAATGTCTGCCCCGGATGCAGAAGGGAGAAGTGCCCCGTGCAGAGTATTGGGTGAGGGAGAACAGTCCAACCAGTCCCTCAGGAGGATACCCAGATGTTACTAGGATAAAACTGACCCTAATGGGAATTGCAGGCCCATCATCCTGGATCCAGCTGACCCGACAGGCAACCTCGGCCATAATGCTCGCTGGGACCTGTTGGCCACAGAAGCTACAGCCTGCATGTCTGCCCTGTGCTGCACAGACAGGGATGGCACCCCCATCCAACCATGGCCAGTGAAGGTGAGAGAACTATGTGCAGCAGGGGCACACTTCGTTGGGGACAGTGTGCTCAGGAGAGGGGCATGACTCCAGCCAGAGGGGCAGGCCCAGCCATGGCCCCATATGTGTGCCTATGCCCCATGTCCTGGCTGTCCCTGTGGTCTCAGCTTCGCCAGGAAGGTTAGGCCTAACCAACTTCTTCTATAACCTTCCCCCAGGCTGCTGTGTGAAGGCCAGCGAGTCTATGTTTGTACCAGATGGGCAGAAGGACACCAGCCCTGGTGTGAGGAGACTCAGGGTTATCTACTAGTGTGTGTGTCTGCGCACACACGCATGTGTACGTGTATGTGAGAGAGAGATTGATCCAGTGACTCCACTCCTCTGTCCAACCTCCCATCTGACATCCCTGCCTCCCCACCCCGCACTTTCCTGCTCTGTGTACCCAGCCCGGCTGAGCCTCATTGAACACCCGCTTGTATCAGATGGGCACTGGCCACCTCACAGACTCCCCTGCCTCTTGTGCCATGCATCAGAGTCCAGGATCTGTGGGTCGACCACAGCCTGAGTTGCCAGCCTCCTGCCATGACAGTGCTCTCAGTTACTGTTGCATCCTACACTGTGTCCTACCCCTGCTGAGAATGTCCTCCACCTTCCTGACATCTCTGCCCATCCAAACCAGCTCACATCTCCTGTTGAAACTCATCCTTGTCCTCCCAGTGGCCTCTCCTTCTTCTCCAATCCAACAACTTTTCACAGAGAAAACAGTCTTCATGCCATTTGTCAGCCACAGTCAGTTGATAGTGGCTGCCTGGAGTCCTGTGTTCCAGAGGATTCTGAAGAATGGCTCCATGCCTGGGAAGAGTGATCTGATCAATTAGTGATGTCTGCCATTGATGCAGTAGAGAAAAGGGATGGCATGAGTGCTGTGATTGATTAGCAGTGTCTAGCCTGGATGCAGGACTACAGTGTATGCCTAAGCTACTGAGGAGCTCTCTGAGCTCAGCCACTGGCAGGAGAGCATGCCCAGATTGGCTAGTTTTGTCTGTCACAGACAGGGAGTGGGGGCATGTGTACTATGCCATTCCTCATGGGACACCTGACTGAGCGCCTTATGGCTAGAGCCTTATTTTCTTCCCCAGATGTGTATCTTAAGGGCCATGCCCTATTTGCCTTCCTGAATTTTTCCTGGGCTCCTGTCTTCTCTCTTGACCTGCTAGAACATTGCCAATGGGATTCTCCATCCCCAGAGCCTAAAGATGCCAAAGCCCAAACGACAGTGCACAGCCTGCTTCTTCTCTCTGCCTTCCAGGGCAAATGCACCAGGTGCATGCGAGGGGCACTCCAGTGTCCCTCTTAGTCAGGGCTCCGCACAGAAAATGGAATAGTCCAAGAATCATAAGCAGAAAGGGACTTGATCTAAATCCCTGGATGGTCTGGAGGAGCTGAAGGCAGGGGCTGTGACCGGGCTGTGGGTTTCCGATTAGAGTACCATGGCTGAATCACCGGTCAGGAAGCTGTTGCTGCCAATGGCACTGTCACTGTGCCACAGCCTCACAGCCACAGAGCGGGGGGCCAGACCCAGAATGTTGGTTGTCTGGGCTTGCTCGCCATCAGCTCAGCAGGACGATGCCTCGGTCTCCCTTCTTTAGCACAATCTGAATTACAGCCAGAACTCTGGCTGCAGGGCCCGCAGGAGTGAATGTTGAGTCTCCCACCCTTCATAGCGCAGGGAGGAACAGATGCCTAGCGCTGACAACCAGAGTCTGGGACAGCATCCGTAGCAGTTGCACTGTGAACATCTGTAGTCTGGGTGGGTGAGGGGGTGGTCCATCCCAGAGGGAGGTCCAGGAGGAGGCAGGCCAGCAGGAGCCATTATGCATCTCCCCACCCCCTGCCCCTACTGCCCCCCTGCATGTCTCAGAGAGTCTGATGCTCCGTGGCCTGTTGCTGGGCACTGCCTGTCGGGTGCTGAGTCCCTTGGGGCTGCTATCACAAAGAACGTCAGAACAGGTAGCTTATCAACAACAGAAATTATTCCTGGCAGTTCTGGGGGCAGAAGTCAGCACAGTCAGGTTCTGCTGAGAGCCTTCCAGCTTGTACATTCCTTGTGTCCTCACATGGCAGAGAGCTAGTCACCCCTCCCTCCTCCTCTTGTAAGGGCACTAATCCCATTCCTGAGGGCTCCACCCTCAGACCTAATCGCCTCCTAAAGACCACAGGTCCTCATACCATCACAGTAGGGTTAGGGTTTCCACATAGGAACTGAGGTACACAAGCCACTGCAGGGATGCAGGATAGGGTTGGGGGCGAGGAAGGGCCTTCCCCCCACTAGCTCTGTGCTTGGAGAGAGACAGTGCTAGAGAGCAGTTCCTCTGCTTCCCCTGGGACTAGGGCTAGGAGGGTCCCCTACCACCTGCACCACCTGTGTGCCTCCATCCCTATCCTGCCCACTCTGGCAGCTGAACTGATGCTGAGGACACATGGTGCTAATAGAGTCTTCTTAGACTACCTCACTGCCTGCCTGCATATCAGGGGATGGGATTCTCAGTACCCCAAGTTAGCCCTTTGGGGTTGGCCAGTTCCAAGAGCTCAGGGCAGACACTTGCAGGCAGCAGAGACCTACCCCACCAAGTGTCCAGCAGCAGGTGGGGACCTGGCCTTGGCCTCACAAGTTGCTGGATGTCTTCCTGGGAGGAACTGGTGGCTGGTCTGAATAACTTCCACCTCATGACAGGGACTCTAGGCTTCCCCCTCAAAATGATTCTTGAATTAGGTTACCCCAATTGTGAGATGGTGGGAAATGGGGTAGATCCAGTAGGTAGAAGGTAAGGAGGACCAGTCACTTGGGCTGGGCTGATCCAAGCAGGGATTTATTTTACTCTTAGCTCCTTGATTTTTGACAATGGCCACCCTGGTATTGACATGGTAACCCCATTGTAACTTTTGAGGGCTTCCTGATATAGCCACACCCTTCAACGTCAATCTTAACTTGATTTACACATTTAATGATCCTAAAGACATCCACAAAAATGCACTTGTGCGCTTTTCTCTGGAAGTAGACAAACTGATACTGAAGTTCTTATGGAGACATATGCATGCAAGAAAAGTTCAGAAAAATGCAGGAAAAAAGGGAGTAGCCCTAGCCACTATTAAAATTTACGGGGGTGAGGGGGTGCACCTGGGTGCCTCAGTGGTTGAGCATCAGCCTTTGGCTCAGGTCGTGATCCCGAGGTCCTGGGATTGAGTCCTACATCGGGCTCCCTGCATGGAGCCTGCTTTTCCCTCTGCCGATGTCACTACCTCTCTGTGTGTGTCTCTAGTGAATAAATAAATAAAATCTTTAAAAAAACAACAACAACAACGAGGATCCCTGGGTGTCTCAGCGGTTTAACACCTGCCTTTGGCCCAGGGCCCAATCCTGGGGTCCCCGGATCGAGTCCCACGTCGGGCTCCCGGCATGGAGCCTGCTTCTCCCTCTGCCTGTGTCTCTGCCTCTCTCTCTGTCTCTCAAGAATAAATAAATAAAATATTTTAAAAACAACAACAAAAACCTTAGTAAGAAGCCACAGCCTTAGGGGAAAAAAATATGAAAAGCTGAATGTGATCAATCAGCAATTGAATGCTAAACAGAGAGCCAGAAGGCCTCCTTGGTAGCACACACAGAGGCTCCATTGCCAGAAGCCAGAAGGAAATGAGGACCCAGTCCAGAAACGCACAGTGCGCAATGTAGAGCTCCAAAGAAAGTGTTTTTTGTTTTTTGTTCAATTTAACTTTTAATTTTTAAAAAAATTGTCATTGAGATATAATTCACATACTGTGAATTTCAACTTTTAAAGTGTACAATTCAGCTGGTTTGGAGATAGTCACAAAGTTTATATTTAGGATTCACAAGGCAAGCCACGTTACAAGGGGGATCCATTATACTACTTCCAGAACATTTTCATCAGCCCAAGAGAAACCTGAAACCCATTAGTAGTCACTGCATTGCCATCACCCTTTGCCCCCAATCCCTGGCCATCACTCATCTGCTTTCTATTATCAACACTTCATATAAATGGAATCACACAATATTTGTCCTTCTGTGTCTGGCTTCTTTCACTTAGCATCACATTTTCGAGGTCCATCCGTGTTGTAACTTATATGTCAGTGCTCATTCCTTGTTATTACTGGACAATATTCCATGGTATCAAGAGACCACATTTGTCCATTCATCCTTTGATGAATGTTTGGACTGTTTCCACTTTTTGGCCATTATGAAAAATGCTATGAATGTTTGTATATGATTTTATGTAAACATGGATTTTCATTTCTCTTGGGTGTATGTATTTGCCCAAGAGAATTGCTGGAATCATGAAATTACGGCTTACATGTGTTTAACCATGAGGGCCCACCTCCCCATATTCCACAGCAGCTGTGCCATTGACACACCCCCCAGCTGTGAATGGGGGTTCTCCGCATCCTGCCCAACACTTGTTATTGTCTATCATTTTGATGATAGCCACCCTTGTTGGTGTAAAAGAGTTACATACTCTCAATCAGTTCTGCTAATTAAGATCAGGACTCTACTTGGGAAAGAATGGGACTCTGACATACAGCCTGGAGACATAAGGGTGACGCCCCTGAAGATCTTGAGTCCTCAGATTCTTCTGAACCATTAGAGCTGCAGAAATGGCCCAGCCACCTTTCCTATTAAAAGCTTGCATCTCCCCTACCCTTTACAAGGAGACGCTGCAGTGGCCTCTCTTCCATAAATTACCCGCTGGCTCTCATGACCTGCACCCACTCTCCCTCCTGCATGGTAGGCCTAGAACGAGGGCTAAGTCCCAAAATAAGCCAGCCGAGGATTCTAGGCCTAATGAGGGAGGGATGGACCTGTACCCCCAAATAGCTGGAAGAGCCAGCCAATGTGTAGCAACAAGTCAGGTGGCTATGAGTGGGAATGGACCCAAGGTGACTTGATCAAGGGGCTGTTGAAGAAGAGTTTATTGATTTGGAAATCCCTCCTGGAATTCAGGACTTCATATGCTGGCCAGGAGCCCAGTAGAAGATGCAAGCTTGACACTGGCAAAACTAGAAAAATGAAAAAGTTTAAGCGCCACACTGAGTGAGATCCAAATGACAATACTGTCTGAAGGATGGAGGAAGATGGGGTCTCTCTCTCCAAGGTCAGAGAGATGGACCTGGGGAGGGGGGTAATAGGCCACCTAAGGCCAAAAGACCCACCAAATGATCTCTCATGGAAGAGCAGAGAAGACAACTTTATGGAGGCCGTGAGGAATAGGCCAATATGCCCCCCAGCATTGCTAAGAAGTTCAAGGTGCCTCCTCCATAGCAGACATCATCATGGTCCCCCTACTAGTGCAGGGGATGGTGGACCTTGAAATAACAGCAGCCACAAGACAACGTTCTCCCATTAGGTGGACACAATTCTGTAAGGAGAAGGGTCAAGGGGTAGCTGGGAGGCCCTGAGCCCCAGAGAGTTAAGGAGCTGGTGATAAAATAGGGTGTCCCTAGGAGCAGACGAAAATGGACCCACGAACCAGGGAAGTGCTCAATCTGAACCATAGATATACTTCAAGGACCAATAATTAGGACGCAGGGAACTTCCCTCCAAACTGACACCATACCTTCCCCAGTGCTTCCCGGGGAGTCCATCTGTGATCCATGACAACTCCAGAAAACATCTGATCCTAGAGTGGGGGGGGGGGTGTGGGGGGCGAGGCTATAAAGATCAACTTAGGAGAACTATTAAAATTTGAATATAAAGGACGCCTGGGTGGCTCAGTGGTTGAGTAGCTGCCTTTGGCACAGGTCATGATCCCAGGGTCCTGGGATCGAGTCCTGCAGGGAGCCTGTTTCTCCCTCTGTCTATGTCTCTGCCTCTCTCTGTGTGTCTCTCATGAATGAATAAATAAAATCTTTTTTAAAAATTTAAGAATCTATTCCTTATATGTGCTATAAGAAATGATAACATTATATCAGTGTTAAAATTCTAAACCACATCACCATCACCGTTCTGTGTTTATGCAACAAGCTATCCATGTGCTTAGGGGATACATGTCAAAGTATCGAAGAGGAAAGAGGTCTGGTGATTTTGACATGTCAAAGGTTCATCAGTTCTAACAAACGTTCCAGTCTTGGGGCGGGGGGGATGTGGATAGCGGGGGAGGCTGCGCATGGGAGGGCAGGGGATCTCTGGGAAATCTCTGGGCCTTCTGCTTAATTTTACTTCAAAATATAAAGCCTATTTTTTTTAAAGATTTTATTTATTTATTCATGAGAGACACGGAAAGAGGCAGAGACACAGGCAGAGGGAGAAGCAGGCTCCCTGCAGGGAGCCTGATGTGGGACTTGATCCCGGGACCCCAGGATCACAACTTGAGCCAAAGGCAGACGCTAAACCACTGAGCCACCCAGTTGTCCCTATAAAGTCAACTAAAAAAAAAAAAAAAAAAAAAAAACTAAACTAAAAGGGCATAATATCTGCAACATGTGCTCAAAAAACAGCAATACCGTAATAATACCTTAGATGTCCATATAGATAAATGAGGAACCAATGTGGCAAAATATTTGAGGGGAAGGGCATAAGGGATTTCTTTGTATTGATCTCCCACATTTTCTCAGGGCTTCAAATTATTTCAAAATAAAATGTGTTAAAAATAATAATAATAAAGCATGGACTTTGGAATTAGGTCATGCAGAGTTAGAACCTAGCCAGACAACCTATGAGCTGTGTGACCTTCCACCTCTTGGAGCCTTCATATTCTCACCTAGAAAAGGAGCCTACTGACCGACCCCCTGACCAGCCTACCTCTAGATGTGGCAGGAACAGTCATAAGGACAAGGAAAGACCCTTATCGGGTGGGTGTGGTAGCTAAGATTCTCCAGAGAAACAGAAGCAATAGGATGTATAGATCCACTTCAGGAACTGGCTTGTACTGTTGGGGAAGCTAGCAAGTCCCAATTTTGTAGGGGGGAGGCTGGAGACGCAGAAAGAAGTTGATGTTGCAGCTTGAGTCTGAAGGCCATCTACTGGTGGATTTTCTTCTTCCTCAGGAGAGGTCAGTCTTTTTTCTATTAAGGCTTTCAACTGATTACGAGGCCCACCCAAGTTATGAAGAGCATTCTGCTTTATTCAAAGTCTACTGATTGAAATGTTAATCTCAACTGGGAAAAAAAAAAAAAAGAAAAAACCTTCACAAAAAGATCTAGAATAATGTTTGACCAAATATCTGGGTACCATGGCCCAGCCAAGTTGACATACAAAATTAGTCATCACAGTGGAGAAGAGCTCTGTTCTTCCACATCCCAGGGATTTTTTTTCTGCCTTCTGTATTATTTATTATTGCTAGATAGAGGCAGCTGATGGGAGCCCTCAGGGGGTTTCACTTTCATATAGTTCTGATTCAAATTTTTTTTTAATTTTTATTTATTTATGATAGTCACAGAGAGAAAGAGAGAGGCAGAGACACAGGCAGAGGGAGAAGCAGGCTCCATGCACCGGAAGCCCGATGTGGGGTTCGATCCCGGGTCTCCAGGATCGCGCCCTGGGCCAAAGGCAGGCGCCAAACCGCTGCGCCACCCAGGGATCCCCTTTCATATAGTTCTGAATGGAGTTGCACATCTGTTTCCCCTCTGGCCTATGCACTCCTAGGCTTGTGTCCCATCCTTGCTGGGCCACGTAGGTGCCTGCTGGGGCTTCGTAAGCATCCACATGCAGGCTGAGGAACTGGGTGCAAGAAGGTCCCGCCTGCAGACCACTCTAGGATCTATACGTGCCCAGTGATATAGTTTTGGAATGTTAGTGTGTTTGGTGGGGTCCAGAGCTGGTGGCCAAGAAATAATTCTTGAGATATCTTTGGTCAGAAAGGTGGTCTTATTAAAGCACAGGGACAGGACCCCTGGGCAGAAAGAGCTGCTGCCCCAGGGTTGTGAGGGGCAACTGACTATATACTTTGGGGTTGGGGAAGTAAAGAGAAGGGACGTTCCAAAAGGATTCCGTATGCTGAAGAAGACTCCCAGGATCCTGGAGGCCTGGCTATTGTCAGGCTGAGGTCATTTTTTTCCTTCTAGGGAGCCAGAGGCAGCGTTAACTTTAATAAGACAGTTGGGGATTTCCTGGAGAATGTTATACTCCGCCTGCCTCACGGATTTATCAATGGGCTGGGGGTTCTAAGGTTATCTCATTTTATTTCCTTTTTTAAAACAAATTTATTAAAATTAAATTAAATTAAATTTCCCCTCTGCCTTTGTGTCCCACATCACCCAGCAGCAGAACTGAAACCTGAGCCTGGCTCAATCTTTGCCTTTCCGTGTGTCCCCAAGTGAATCAGTCCCCTCTCTGGGTCCCTTTCCCCTCACTGCCCCATGGACTCTGACTTCCCTGGCCCCAGAGACAAGGGTGTGAAAAAGGAAAAACCAAGCCCCACGTGGAATCATTTGCCCCCTCACCTCCACCCCGTGACAGCAAACCGAGACTTAATTACAATTTTAACCTATGCCTGGAATGGGACCTTTGAAGGGTCAGCCTGAGATTTCCCCATCAGCACTAGTGATGTCATCTGCAGGATAAACACCCTGCCGGTCCAGTCCTTTGGCCCAAAAAAGATGTCCTGGCCTGAACCGGTCCTTTCTTTTCCCCTTCATAGCTTCTTGCCCCGCCCTCCTTCCTATAAAAACCTTCCACTGTGTACAACTTTTGGAGCTCTTTCTACTTGCTAGGTGGGATGCTGCCCGACTTATGAATCATTCAAAAAAGCCAATTAGATCTTCAGATGTACGCCATTGGATTTTGTTTTTTAACAAGGGGGAAAAGGGAAAGAGCTTCCAAAGATGACCCCTGTCCCCTGTAAAAAGATTATTTGCTTAACAACTTCCTAGGTAGCATTTGCTGAGCATCCCCCTCCCCCCTCCCCGTTCTAACAGGAACTCTGTGAGAGAAGTACCATTGTTATGCCATTTCACAGATGGGGAAGTCGAGGCACAAATAGAGCTGGCGATGTGCTCAAGGACACACTGGCATTTATCAAGGCATCCTTAAGGCGGCTGCAGAATCCGTTTGAGCACAAGGACGCCCTGGGAGGAGCCGACAGGCTGCTGTCCACCGGGTGGGGGGTGGGCAGAAATCTAGATTGAGGAAGTCAGCCGGGAGCACTCTGGGTTTCGGTTTCTAGGCTCTCTCCTGGTGATTTGCAGTTTCCTGGCTCTTGAATGAGTTTTGATTTCCTGGCTCCTGGCTCCAGGCAAAAGGAGTGGCTCCCTCTCCTCTCCCTCGTCTTCAGTTAGCTGCCACCACAGCCTCCGGCAGGAGCAATGGGAATCTGGGGGTCGCATCTGTACTCTGTGCAGCCAGAGAGGCTGGACGAATTGATCCAGAACTCCCTGAGGCCCTACGGAGAATGCCAGAAACAGATAGATGACGCCGTGGACACCATCTGTGCCGCCCTGCAGGAAACGGAGCAGATCCCCACCGCACTAAGTGTGGTTCGAGTGAGTGGAAGGCTGGGGGGCGGCGGGGGGGGGGGGTGTCAGGGCTTCCAGGAGCCAGGAGGTTCCATGGCCACCGGAAGGGGAGTGACATGGTCCCTAGCACCTTCCAGGTGACAGGCCTTGGGTGCACCAGACTTCATCTTGAACCCCCCTCGACGGAAGCGATGGAGGGGTTTAGGAGCAGCTCTGCCTTTACTACTGTGCACCCCCGGGCAGGTTGCTTAACCCCCTGTGCTTCAGTCTCTGAATCTGTAAAATGGGAGAGGAGCAATAGTCATCTCAAACTGTAATGAGGCTTAAGCATACAATGTTCTTAGTACAGGGCCTGGTACATAGTTAGCGCTCAATAAGTGAGCTGCGGTTCTTCGCCGTTATTGTTTCCATCCGCCTCGTATTACAGAGGAGTAAACCGAGGCTGGGTGATCCAGTAGAACCACCCAAAGTTTGTAATTTGTCGCTCTGTAATTTCTCCATGGCAAGAGGGGGTGGCTCTCGTGAGGTAGAAATGTTTGCTGCTAGGGGCAGGAATCCCAGGGCTGAAGATCTCGGGCCTTCGGGGAGGAAATGGTGCTGGGAAGATGCCAGGATCCTAGGGTGGGAGCAGTCAGAGGCACCCCTGCCCCTCTCAACTCAACTCGCTAGCCCTGGAGCCCTACTTACCTGCACTCCCAAGGCCTCCTGGCCTCCGCCTCCTGCATGCCCAGCAGCCCTAGCAGTAGAAACACCTGGACACTTGGTGTCCCTGGGCCTTGGCCCAGATGAGGGACCTGAAGCAGGAGGAAGTTACTTAGTAGCTGGAGGCAGAGCTCGAATTTCAGCCCAGATTGTCTGCTTGGGAGGATGTGCCCTTAACCACTACGCCATCGTGCCTCTCGATACTGTTCGCTTTTTCCTAATGAAAATATAACCTAGGAAAGGGGCACGGATCTAAATGTACAGCCCGATCGATTGCCGCAAACAACCTACCTGTGTAACCTACGCCCAGATTGAGAAACAAAGCCTCCTCGCGCCCAAGAGCCTCTTGACCCACAATCCAGTTCCTCCCCACCAACCCTCCTAACAACTCTCCTGACTTCTGGCACCATAGATTCCTTGCGCCTCTTTTTTTTTTTTTTTTTTTTTTTTTTTTTTGACTTTGCATCATTGTGGGGTGGCCAACCATCCTGGTCTGCCAGAGACCGAGGGGTTTTCTCAGACGCGGGCCTTTTGGTGCTAAAACTGGGGCTGTCCTGGGAAAACCAGACAGGTTGATCACCGGATATAAATGAAATCGTGCACGGGGTGACTTTATCGTGTGGTTTCTCTGACCCCGTCCTGTCTGTGAAATTTATGTTGTTGCGTGCCAGCGTTCCTTTATCCTTTCGACGCTGGATGGTATTCAGTGTGCGAGTACACCACATTTGCCCATCCCACTGCTGATGGCCATTTGAGCTGCCGCCAGTCAGAGGCTTGTATGAAAAGTGCTACAGTGGGCATCCCGATTCAGGTCTTTGGATGGACAAATGGACTCCTGCCATTCAATTTTTTTAAGACTATGGTGACATTTGTGGCTTTTGCTTGATTTGAGAACTACTACTGCTTGCTGGGGCATTGGGGGACCCCCAAAGGCTCCAGAGTCTCACATCTGCATCTCTGTCACTGGCAGGGTGGCTCCTATGGCAGGAAAACAGTGTTGAGGGGCAACTCAGATGGGATGATTGTCATCTTCGTCAGTGACCTTGAGCAGTTCCAGGATCAGAAAAAAAGCCAAGATAAAATCCTCAACAAGATCTGGCAGCTTCTGAAAACCTGTCAGCTCACCATGAAGCTGCCGGCCAAAATGGAGGTCCAGAGGTTCAGAGATGGGCTCATCTTCCAGCTGTCCACAAAATGGCAGAGCATCACTTTTGAGGTGCTGCCTGCCTACAATGCTCTGGGTGAGTTGCTCCTGGGTGTGTGGAGGGCACTGGCCTGGAGAGGTGTGTCGGGACAGCAAAGCCAAAGAAAGGGGCAGCAGACAGCTATGTGGGTCCTCTAGGCCGGGGATGGGACAGACACCACTGGTATGGCCCAAAGCCAGGGACCACATACCTTCAAGAGAGGAGGTCCCTCCTGTGCTAGGCTTACTCTCTTCACACACCCAGTTCTAAAAGCCCTAGAATAAGGGATGGCTGGGTGGCTCATTGGTTGAGCATCTGCCTTCAGGGTTGGCTCAGGGTGTGATCCCAGGGTCCCGGGATGGAGTTCCGCATGGGGCTCCCCGCAGGGAGCCTGCTTCTCCCTCTGCCTGTGTCTCTGCCTCTCTCTCTCTCTCTCTCTCTCTCTCTGTGTGTGTGTGTGTCTCATGAATAAATAAATAAAATCTTTAAAAATAAAATAAAAGACCTAGAATAAAAGCCCAGATCTTCTAAACCCCGAGGCAGGATGCCTTTAAGATAACACACACGCACCTCAGTGACTCACATTGACAGGCAGACAACCAACCTAGAGAAAAGTGCACCGGTTTGGAAGGTAGGCAGCCCTCAGTTCCTATCCTGGTCCCACCGCTTAGCCGCTTTTGCCAACTCTAAGATCAGCCTCGAAATGGCTGCTTTACAGGACCTTAAGGATGATAAGAACTACCCTCAGACAAGGGCTGGGTCAAAGTGAAGAGGTCCCATGTGACTCAGAATTCATAGGAAATCCTATTTTCTCTCTTGTTCAAGAGAACGGTGGCTGGAGACTGGGCCAGAGCGCCCTCTGCTGGGTTCACCCCAACATGCAAGGATGCTGTGAAAACGAGAAACCCGCTCTTTCTCGCACGTGGTAGCCAGAAGTTGCCACCAGATGGCGCGAGAACCGCGCATTCCTAGCCGAGATCCCTCTGGGAAAGGACGCAGAAAGGATCGCTTTCTGAGAAAAGCAACCTACTGGGGGGAACTCTTAAGTATCTGTCCGAGGGAATGAAAGGAACAAGCTGGCGACTGGCTTCGATTGTTTATGTGTTTTTAAAATGTGCTTGTAAACAGTGGAGCTCAGCTAGCAAGAGTGGGAATCCTGTTGAAATTCTGTGACCTGGGATCCCCGGGTGGCGCAGCGGTTTGGCGCCTGCCTTTGGCCCAGGGCGCGATCCTGGAGACCCGGGATCGAATCCCACGTCGGGCTCCCGGTGCATGGAGTCTGCTTCTCCCTCTGCCTGTGTCTCTGCCTCTCTCTCTCTCTCTGACTATCATAAATAAATAAAAATTAAAATATATATATATATATATTAAAAAAAAGAAATTCTGTGACCTATTGACATCCCTCCCCTCCCTGGCATCTGCTTCTTCACTCCCTCACCAGTGGTTCTCAAACTTCTATGGGTATCAGCATCACCTCCAAAAAAGAGAGGCCCGAGCTCCCTCCACTTGGGTATCAGACCTCCTGCAGAGCTAGGGTGGCCCTGAGAGGCTCCTGAGCCCATGCTCCACATTAGCAGGGCAGCAGGATTCTGATTGGCACGCCAGTTTGAAAACCACTACCTGGCATTGCAGGGTCCAGTTCTGGGGGGGGCCTGTGACCGCCTGCTGGCCTCCAGCACCCTGCCTTTACCTTACCTTCACCTTACCGCCCCCTCAGAGTCCCTGTACCCTTGACTCTCTGGAACAGCATTCACCAGCTGGGCTCGATAGCAGAATATATTCTATGCAGTGTATAAACCCTATTTCCTTCCAGGTATATGCCAGCTGTCCCAATACCCTTTGTTAAAGAAGCCCTCTTTCCCTACTAATTTGGAACTTCCCCTTCCTCATTTATTTATTTATTTTTTAAAAGATTTTACTTATTTATTCATGAGAGACACAGAGAGAGAGAGGAGGAGACACACGCAGAGGGAGAAGGAGGCCCCTGCAGGGTGCCTGATGTGGGACTTGATCCCAGGACCCCAGGATCATGTCCTGAGCCAAAGGCAGATGCTCAACCACTGAGCCACCCAGGCGCCCCGCCCCTTCCTCATTTATAATTGTGTTTTCCATCCTTCACTTTCTGCTGATCTTGTCGTGGGCCACTACCATGCCATTTTCACGATAGTCATTTTATTATCAAGCGAGGCAAGCCACCCCTCTCCTTTTAGGTGAACGCACCGGTTCTCTTGCAGATGAAGTAGCCCAGGTGTGCTGTCAGGCCACAGCCGACCTCCACCGTTGGCTCACTGAGGGCAGGCCACCCACACACCACAGATTCTACATCTCTCTTTCGCACCAGGCTTAAGCGAGAAGCCCAGCACCCAGATCTATCGAGAGCTCAAAAGAGTCTTGGACATGACAAAAGCCCACCCCGGCGAGTTTTCCATCTGCTTCACAGAACTCCAGCAGAAGTTTTTTCACAAATGTCCCAGGAAACTGAAGGATTTGATCCTCTTGGTGAAGTATTGGTACCAACAGGTAATTTTCAAATGACGGATCTAGCGCTGTCGTCCAATTCCTTTTAACCAAGATCATCCATATCCAGCAAAGTACAACACTCTTAAGTACAGAGATCAATGCATTTTTTGTAAAGATTTTATTTATTGAGAAAGGTGGGGAGAGGGGGAGAGGGAGAGAGAGACTCTCAAGCAGACTCCCCACTGAGCACAGAGCTCCATCCCAGGACCCTGAGATCATGACTTGAACTCAAATCAAGAGTCACATGCTGGGGCACCTGGGTGATTCAGTGGTTGAGTGTCTGCCTTTGGTTCAGGTGTGATCCTGGGGTCCTGGGATCCAGTTCCACATTGGACTCCTTGCAGGGAGCCTGCTTCTCCCTCTGCCTGTGTCTCTGCCTCTCTCTGTGTGTGACTCTCATGAATAAATAAATAAAATCTTTTTTAAAAATTTTAATAAATGAGCATCAGATGCTTAACCAACTGAGCACCCAGGTCCCCCCAGGTCCATGCACTTTTATATCCTTTTTAGCAACATCCAGATCAAAATAGGGCACCTTTCCTGCATCTGGCAGCTGCTTCAAGCCCCTTCCCTGTTAATACTCCCCCTAAATGACCAATGTCCTAATGTCTGTCACCACAAATCAGTTCTGCTCGTTTCTGAACTTGAAATCAATGGAATGGTACCATACGTATGCTGCATCTTTTGCTCAAAGTGACATCTGAGAGATCTCTCTTTTTGAACATAGTTGTGGTGTTTTGTCGTTCTGTAGGATTCTGCTGTCTTGATATACCACACAGTTATCCATTCTGCTAATGGACATTTGGGTCATTTCCAAACTGGGGCTATTACAAATTAGGTTGCTATGGATATTCCCCTACTTGTCTTTTTGTGAATTTAAGCACTCATTTCGGGATCCCTGGGTGGCGCAGTGGTTTAGTGCCTGCCTTTGGCCTGGGGCACGATCCTGGAGACCCAGGATCAAATCCCACGTCGGGCTCCCTGCATGGAGCCTGCTTCTCCCTCTGCCTGTGTCTCTGCCTCTCTCTCTCTCTCTCTCTCTGTGACTATCATGAATAAATAAATAAAATCTTTAAAAAAAAAAAGCACTCATTTCTCTTGGGTAAATATGCAGGAGTGGGAGTCCTGGGTTATAAGGAATACGATATGTGTGTATATATAGTTACATATATATGTGATATTATGTATGCAAAAATGTGTACATAATAAATTCACATGCAGACTATATTATTATATAGTACATAAAACATTATATGTCATCACATAATATATATAGTATATTAAATATATATAATAATACACATATTTAACTTTAGGAAGTACTGCCAACATTAGTTTTCTCAAATAGTTGTACCTAATGACCCTCCCATCAGCAACATAAGACAGTTTCAGGTGCTCCACATCCTTGCCAACACTTGATACTAAAATCCATCGAATTTTAGGCATGGCTTCATTTTAGTCACTGGTGGGAGATGGTGACTTCCTATAGACTTCTGATTCCTTGATTTCAGGCCCCTGGCACAGGGGGAACTGGGTCCCCAGATCAGCCACAGCCTGTCTCTTCTCCCACAGTGCCAGGAAAAGCTGAAAGGTTCACCTCTGCTGACCATGTATGCCCTAGAGCTCCTGACAGTCTATGCCTGGGAACAGGGGTGCGGAGCAGAAAACTTTGACATCGCCGAAGGCATCAGAACTGTCCTGGGGCTAATCAGACAGCAGGAGCAGCTGTGTGTCTATTGGATAGTCAACTACAACTTTGAGAATGAGACAGTCCGGAATATTCTGCTGAGCCAGCTCCGGTCGTCGAGGTACCAAGCTTCTCTCCACCCTCTCTCTTTATCTGTTTGTCTGCAAGCCAGGCTGTACCCCATCCTCCCCAGCCAGGGATGCACCAAAAAAATGCCAGCAGCGGCGGGGAGGCAAGGAAAATGGGGTGTGTCTGAAAGAGGGGAGCCTGACCAATGCTTTTCACATTTCAGGCCATCACCATATTTTGTCCCCAAAACACTGGCGAGGTGCTTCCTCTTGTAGAAGGAAGGGGCTAGCCATTTTATTATGTTATTAACATAACTGCAAAGCAGAGAGGGCAGGAGCAGAGGGTCTAGACATCTCAGACAAAGCACCTGAGCAACCGAAAGGAAGCGCGGGCTCTCGAGTCCAGATTACCAGACACCCTCCTCCAGTCCTCTTTCCCCAACATGGATTTCTTCTTCCACATGCAGCTCTACTGATTTTTTAATCTAATGGAATTTGTAGGCCAGTAATCTTGGATCCAACTGACCCAACCAATAATGTGAGCAAAGATAACGCATCTTGGCAACTGCTAAAGCAAGAAGCTCAGAGCTGGTTGTCTGCTCTCAGCCCGAATGAGTCACCTGGACCATCATGGAATGTTCTGGTAAGAGAGCTTTACAAGTACAGCTCACATCATGCTGCGGGGAGGGGGGTGTCCTGACACCCAGATTGCAATCTTACCCAAGAGCACCATGTGTAGATTTCCTAGGGTTGCTGTGACAAAGTGTCATACACTGGTGGCTGACAGAAGTCCAAGGTCAAAGTGTGGGCAAGCCTGTGCTCCTCTGGAGGCTCCAGGAAGGATCCTTCCTTGCTTCTGGTGCTTGCTGGTGCTCTTGGCTTGTGGCCACGTCCCTCCCTCATCTCTGCCTCTGTTGCCACATGGCCTCCTGTGCTGTGTCTTCGCAATGCCTTCCTTGCATGTCTGTGTCTCCCTCCTCTTCCTATAAGGACACCAGTCCTATTGGATTAGTGCTTAACCCAGCTAGTGCTTACCTCATCTTCACTTCGATTACCTCATATGAGACCCTACGTCCAAATAAGGTCACAATCACAGGTATCAGAGGTTGGGACTTCAACATATCTTTTAGCAGGACATAATTCCATTGATAACACACCATGATGGGCCACCTTTTTCTGTTTAAATGATGGTAAAGAGCAAAACTGAACAAAGAGAGAAGGGCACCAGCAGATTTCAATTAACTGCTGCAGGAGAGAAAGCAGGTGGATTGGCGGTGACGGACACACTGAGCAGAGTGCCAGTGAGTGCAGGACAGCCACCCTCTGCCCAAACAGGGGAAGCAAATCTACCCCCACAGAATGCCCCTGCGCTCCCAGAGCTTATTGGAGAAGGACGATCCAACGAGGACATTATCAGTCTAGGCCACTGAATCCGTTCCATTTTCTGGGGGTCATGAGGTGGCAGTAGGACAAAGGTGTCTTTTGAGGCCACATAGATCAACCAAATTCCACCTTTAACAGACATGGGACTAATTTACATCCAAGGTGTGGTAGGCTTGGATCTACATTCTGTTGGGCATAGCACATTGAGGGCCAACTGAGCAAAGACGGGAGGTGTAAATGAGTTTCCCAAATGCCTGGGACCGTGGATGGGAAGGACCCTTTGGATGGGGAGCTCCCGCCTGGATCCAGAAGGAACGTGGTGTCCTTCTGGACACTCCTTGTCCTGACTTTCACTGGACTCTGGTCTTTGCTCCCTGACCTCAATTTTCCAGGTTTCCTAAAGCAGATTTTTAAAAAATATTTCTACCCTCCCCCCAACTTTATCCTGAAACCTTTCAAACATATAGAAAAGTTGTAAAACTTGTTCAGTGAGCCCCTATATCTGCCTGGATGCCCAAATGTTTAACCTTTGACCACTTTAGCTATGTTCTATATGTGTGTGTGAGCGCACACACTTATCATTATCATCATCATCATCAGTGTTGTGTATCTCGTTTATACTGAGCCTTTGGAGTCGGCTGCCAGATAAGGACGTTCCCTTAGCTAACCACACGTAATGATCGAATTCCAGAAATTAAGATGAATATATTATTACCACCCAGCTATAGTCCATTTCCAGATCTTGCCAATTATCTGAATGATTTTTTTAGGATTGTATTTATTTATTCATGAGAGGTAGGCAGAGACACAAGCAGAGGGAGAAGCAGACTCCCTATGGGGAGCCCGATGTGGGACTCGATCCCAGGACCCTGGGATCACAACCTGAGCCAAAGGCAGGTGCTCAACCATTGAGCCACCCGGGCATCCCGAAGAATGTTTTCGATAGCCAGCTTTCCCCAGCCTAGGAGCCCACACTGCATTTAGTTCTCATGCCACCCCTAAGCCAACTTTTGATGCCAGCTTTCGCTCTTTTTGTTTTCTACTCAATCGGCCTCTGTTTCCAGAACTAGGAGGCCATTCCTCTCAAGAGAGAGAGCTGTCAGAGGGGATTCAGGCCCATAAAGAGCTGCATCAGGGCATCTGGACGCTGGAGGGCACGTGTGCACACTTATACGTGAACACGCGCCCCCGCCCCCATACTCAGCCCTGTGCAAAGGACAGTACTGGCCATGAATTTGCCTTCAAGCAACTGTGAGTTTCCCTAAGAACATCTGGAGGCAGCCAAGGTTGACCTTCAACTTTCAAGCTGACCACCCTGCCCCTGCTCATCTTGTCTGTCCTCACCAGCAAAAGGACAGTGTTTATACAGAACATCATGTTTATTTCCTCTTAGCACTGGAAGGAAGGGAGGAAGGAAGGAGGGAAAGAACGAAGGAAGGAAGGAAGGAAGGAAGGAAGGAAGGAAGGAAAGTAGGAGGAAAAGAGGAAGGGAAGGAGGGAAAGAAGGAAGGGGAAAGAAAGAAAGAAAAGGAAAAGGACAGAAAACCACGAATTTCAAGGCTGAAAATAACACAAATCTAATTTGCTTTAACGCTTCTAGCCCTCAATCTCTCTACATAACCCTGATGCCCCAGCCTCCCTCATGTTCACCTGGATCCTCAGAATGTGATCTCTTTTAGAAGTCGGGTCTTTGCAGGTGTCATTAGTTAAGATGAGGTCATCCTGGATTAGCAGGAGCTGACTCCAGTGGCTGGTGTCCTCATAAGAAAGCACGCAGACACACACAGTGGGGAGAATAGACTGTGTAACGACAGAGTCAGTGGCCAGAGTGACGTGTCTACAAGCCCAAGAGGCCTAGGAATTGCTGGAGCCTCCGGAGGCTGGAAGGGCCAAGGAAGGCTCCTCCCCTAGAGCCTCCAGAGAGCGCCTGGCCCTGCTGACGCTTTGAGCACAGACCTCTAGTCTCGGTGAGAGAATACATTTCTGCTCTTGGAAGCCCCCCGACCCCGGGGTGGGGGGAGGGTGTTGTTAGGGCAGCCCTAGGAAAACAATCTCCTCAGGCATGTGTGTGCAACAGAAGCTGATAAAGCCTGAGAGGGCATGCGCGTGTGATCATGCAGCAATCCGCAGTCCCTGCCGCCAATGGGAGACAAAGGGAGCATCTGAGGTTAAAAGGGACAGGCCACAGAAGGCAGTGCCACACCCAGAACAGCTTCCAGTCGGGGGTGGTGGGGGGGGGGTCAGATCTCTCCTGGGGGGAGGAAGGAACAGTTCACAAGATTCGTTTCTGGGGGGGAGGGGGTCTTGGGCACTACCCTAACTCTCCGATATGTTCTCGCGTGTGTGGTGCCAGTGCTGAGTGTTCTTCTGCCTTCCCAGCCAGCACCGCTGTACGCAACCCCGGGCCATCTTCTAGATAAGTTTATCAAGGACTTTCTACAGCCCAACAAAAACTTCCTAGGCCAAATCGCGGTAGCTGTTGACTTCATCTGTAAATTCCTTCAAAAAAATTGCTTCCAACATTCAGCTACAAAGGTTCAGAAGACCGTCAAGGTGAGCGCTGGCCTTTCTCCTACAGGGTCTTACGGCAGGGAGCAAAGGGGAGCTCCTCTGCAGTGCCTGGCTCTGCCCCCGGATGTAGGGCAGAGGGCGAGGGATGAGGGAGTGAGGGGTGGGGGAGCAGGTGAGATGGGCACCCAGACCCTAGCTCTCCACGGGGCGGGGGGAGGTGCCTGCGCACTGCTTCCTTCATTGACGACATACCTGTGGCCCTGTATGAGCTTCCTGGGGCTGCTGTGGCCCTTAGTGGCCTTGGCCTGGACCTACAGCTCTCCCGTCTCTGCCTCTGTCTCCCCATCACCTCCCCTCTGCAGGTCTCCTCTTCTTTCTTTTGTCTTCTAAGGACATTTGCCATTGGATTTAGGGTCCACAGACCCCTCACTCAATTACATCTACAAAGACCCTTTGTTCAGCTAAGTTAGGTTCTTGAGTTCCCGGCAGATCTGTTGGAGGTGCTACCATTCAAACCACTACCAGTTCCAAGCTCAGTGTGTACTGAGCCAAAAAAATGACCTCTTTCATGTTTTAATGACCACAGCATGATAAGTCTCATCAACTGAGCTAGAGATTCATCAGATAGGGTGATTCTTGTCCATGGGGTGACACACTTCCTACATCTGTTGGCCAGCGAAGGTCAACACTCACAAAGCAGCTGCATGAATGAAGCGGGTTTGAGCATCTGTATACAGGGAACCGAACACCCTCCCCTCGCCTCTAACCTGCTGCCAGGCATTTCCTGCCCATGGGTAAAACAGATGTGTTCTCTATAAAAATCGAGTGAGCTTTTTGAAGGAACCGGGGCAGCAAGTCTAAGGGGTGTGCCCCACATCAGGCACTGGGATTGTTCTCTGTGGGGCAGCTGGCTTCTCCCCAGTTTGCCCTCAAACTAGCCACATGACCTAGTAATGGCTTGTAGATCTAGTGCCCCCAGCAGGTGGCACGAGTAATGGCAGCAGTCCTTTAGACCTGTAGACGTGTTCACATGTCCTGTCTTACCTAAGTATCCAGAGGATGGCCAGGACCACATTCCTTATATTCCTTATATTCTTATCTTCCTGTGATATCGCTCACAATACCTATTAAAGAATGGGGTACACAGGAATTCTGTACACATTTATAGATAAAATGCTGTCAGCTAAGGAGCTGTGCCTAACAGAGTGTTAGAGCAGAAAGGTAAGGAGGAAGAGAATGAGGAAGGGAGGAGGAAGTGAAGAAGCCTATGTGGCAGGGACACATATAGCCCACATTTACTATCTGACTCCTTACAGAAAGTTTGCAGAGCCCTACCTAAATTATGAATATTCGTCCCGTGACCCCCAGCTTGCAGGAGGAAACAGATGAATCAGGGGACAGGGGCACCTGGGTGGCTCAGTGGTTGAGTGTCTGTCTTTGGCTCAGGGCACGATCCTGGAGTCCCGGGATCGAGTCCCACATCGGGCTCCCTGCATGGAGCCTGCTTCTCCCTCTGCCTATGTCTCTGCCTCTCTCTCTCTCTCTCTGTCTTTTTCTCTCTCTCTCCTCTCTCTCTTTCTGTGTCTCTCTTAATAAATAAATAAAATCTTTTTAAAAAATCAGGGAACAGATGAGGAACTTCTAATGCAATGATCGCATCCAGTTTGATTTCTCTCAGGTCACAGGAATTCATACAAAGCTAAATGCTGTTAGGGAGGAATCTTTAGGAAGTTGACTGGAGATGTGGGTAATTTATAACTAGCCCCCTCAGTTGTTTGTGTGTCAATAAGCTCATCAAAGGGCATGAGAAAACCTTTCTCAAGCCAAACTACTTGTTTGAAAAGTTGAACGCTCTGCTTTGGATTCAGCCCTAACTGGACCCTAACCTGGAACGACCCTTGGCAACATCATTAATTAGCCCACTGCTGCCAGCCCTTGGAGGTAAGGGGCTCAGGATCTAGAATATACTGGATCTCAGCTTGTCTTTCTTCACCAGGGAGGGTCGACCGGCAAAGGCACAGCTCTGAAGACTGGCTCCGATGCCGACCTCGTCGTGTTCCCAGACTCGCTTAAAAGTTACACCTCCCAAAAAAACGAGAGATGCCGTATCATCAAGGAAATCCATAAACAGCTAGTAGCCTGTCAGCAGGAGAAAGAGTTTGCAGTGAAGTTTGAGATTTCAAAATGGAAGGCTCCCAGGGTGCTGAGCTTCTCTTTGAAATCCAAAGTGCTCAACGAAAGTGTGAACTTTGATGTGTTGCCTGCATTTAATGTGCTCGGTGAGAACCCCAGACCTTAGCTTCTGGAGGAGGAAGACATGGTTCTGCCTTGATGGGGCAAGGCAGGTGGAAGGAAAGCCACATGACCTAGTAATGGCTTGTAGATCTAGTGCCCCCAGCAGGTGGCACGAGTAATGGCAGCAGTCCTTTAGACCTGTAGACGTGTTCACACGTCCTGTCTTACCTAAGTATCCAGAGGATGGCCAGGACCACATTCCTTATATTCCTTATATTCTTATTCTTATGTTCCTGTGATATCGCTCACAATACCTATTAAAGAATGGGGTACACAGGAATTCTGTACACATTTAAAGATAAAATGCCACAAGTATTAGTGAAATTAAAGAACAGCCTGGGAAGAATTCTAGGGCAAAGACAGGAAATCTGGGGCCTTCAATCTGCTTTGGAAATTCAGTTCATGAATGACAGATCCATAATGCTGTAGCAAAAGGAACCAAGGCTATTTTAGGCATTTTTCAAATCAGAATCAAGAAGACTGTGATACCTTCCCTCTGAATGGTTATTAGTGTCTCTAGAGAGGAAATAACAGTATAGATTAGGAGTTGGCTATTTTTTTTTTGGCTATTTTTTTTAAAGGTAAAGTAGCAAGTATTTTCAGCTTTGAGGACAGTGTAGTACCTGTTACACCCACTCAACTCTGCCATTGTACCCTGAAAGCAGCCATAGACAATACATGAACAAAGGAGCATGGCAGTGTTCCAATAAAACTTTATTTACAAAAACAAGAAGTGGGCCACATTGGCCTATTGGCCATAGTTAGCAAACTCCCAATCAGTGCTGTCTAAAAAGTCTTTCTGTGATAATGGAAATGTTCTATATCTACTGAGAGCTTGAAATGTGGCTAGTGGGACTGCGGAACTAAATTTTTTATTTAATTTCCCTTAGTTAATTTGAATGCAAATAACCACATTGTTTGGTGGCTACAGTACCGGCCAGTACAAATCTAGATAACTAACCTTAATAATAGCACCAATATTACTATAGACCACATAGTTTTTTAAAATATCTCATCACTCTGGTGATGTTTCCAGTATCTTAGACAGCAAAAATCCAAATATACTAATAGAATTCAAAGTCATTTCCCAGAATTAGTGGTCAAAAATGTTTGAAAATGGTTACTTTTATACATAATTAAAGCATAAACTAAATGTCTCCCCCATACTAGGTCAGGTGAATTCTGGCTCCCCACCCAGCCCCAAGATCTACGCTGAGCTCATCGATCTGTATAAATCCTCAGATGCTGAGGGAGGAGAGTTTTCCACCTGTTTCACGGAGCTGCAATGCAGCTTTGTGGCCTCCCGGCCCACCAAAGTGAAAGATTTAATTCGTCTGGTGAAGCACTGGTACAAACAGGTATGATCGCTCTCGTTGCAGGTATCTAGAATTGTTTTTATCCTGTGCTGTGACCATTCACCCGGTACTCACCAAGTCCTTCCTTTACCCACGCTCTTAAATGCTGGGCGCTGACCCACTTTCATGAATCTGTCCACTAATCCTGCACATCGCTGTGGAGTTATCACCAACCCCATTAAGTTGGGTGGGGTACAGAGCACCCCCTACCATCAAAGCTGCCATGTATGGTTTATTTTGTCTTTGCTCTGACACCCAGGAATCCCAGTTATTCTTCCTACAAAGGGTGGGGGAGATTAGGATCACATGCCCACAGGTCACCAGCATGGCTTACCTCCTGCTCGGCCCCCACATGTAGTACACGCAGGTGCCATCCTTGAAGACAAGGTGAAGCTACAGGCGGGGTCATTTTCTATAATGGTCAGCCTCCCTTCCCTTCCATCACTGTCTTGCATGCAGGGGAGCTTCTGAGTATTTCCATGACAGCTGACGTCTAGCACAGCATCTGAGATGTCTCCTTCTTGGGTACAGCTCCCTGAGCTCTGTGGTTTCCATCCCAGAAACTCAGAGAGATGGCCGTAGGTACCCCCTAGCCCCAGGGTGCTCAGAGGGCTTGGGGCTACAGTGTGACCTTGAGCGAGTCACTTCCCCACCCCAAGGCTCCTGTCTTCGTCAGAAACGTTGATCTATGCCTGCTTGCTGGGGTTAAGAATTAGGATTATAAATGCCACTTAAAATGTCTGTCTCCACAGTCAGCACACAGTAGGTGTTTTGTAAGTGGTCGCTGTATTATATTATAACTCTAGGGAGTCATATGTGGCCGAAGCCCGACCCAGAAATCTGCATGCTGCTAAGCGAGCACCTGCCAGGCTGCCCTGCTCAGACTTCCCACAGACCAGTCCCATCAGCACTGCGTCCCGTGACTCAGTTGCCCTGCTGTGGCCCCAGAGGCCATGAATGTATGGCCTCTGCAGGGCTCTTTAATCTCACTGCACCTCCCTGCTTTCACTAGTATTGTCTGATGTTCCCTTCTTCCCTCAGTGTGAAAGGAAACTGAAGCAAAAGGGGTCTCTGCCCCCAAAGTACGCCTTGGAGCTGCTCACCATCTACGCCTGGGAGCAGGGGAGTGGGGCAGAGAATTTCGACACCGCGGAAGGTTTCCGGACAGTCCTTGAGTTGGTCACAAAATATCAGCAGCTCTGTGTCTTCTGGACAGTCAATTACAACTTTGAGGATGAGACTGTGAGGAACTTCCTACTCACCCAGATCCAGAAAACCAGGTGCCCTAAACCCTGACCTCTCCATTTTTTTTTTTAAGATTTTATTTAATTATTTGAGAGAGGTGGAGGGGAAGGAGAAGCAGACTCCCTGCTAAGTAGGGAGCCCGATGTGGGACTTGATTCCAGGACCCTGAGATCATAACCTGGGCTGAAGGAAGCCACCTGAGCCACGGAGGCACCCCCTGCCTCCTTTTCTTAACCTGATTCCCTCCAGCACTATTCCAATGACCTGGATTCTCCCCCATGGGGTCGTGATTCTTTACTCCCCACGTGAAACTGAGGAGGGCAGTGGCTAGGGGTGGAAGGGTGCCGACCACCAGAACCTCCCATAGTCTCTGAAATGGAAATCCTGAGCCGGGGTAGGGTGGGAGAGAATGTAATCCAGGAGGAAGAGAAAAGGAAGGATCAAGGTACAGGTCCCTGGGTGGTCGCTTCCATCTTCCTAGGTTGGAGGGAAAGCATAGATTGGTTAGCAGATCTTAGAGGTGTAGGGGTCAGAAGTATGTCCCTGAGAAATAATGCTACCATTCCTTCAAGGTTAATTCATCCTATGGGAGTTTTATTAGATCAGATTTTATCTATTCTTTCAGACCTGCATCCCGCACCCACAAAAATGCTATCCTTCAAGAAGAGCAGGGAATCTTACTATGTCTATTCAGTGCTCCCGGCAAAGCACAAAAACCAAAGGAAACAAAAGGAAAGAGAGGAAAGAAAAAAAGCTTTGAGAAAGAATAGGGGAGAAGAAAGCCAGAACAAGCTACCATGGGCTGGCTACCATGGGCGTGACCCACATGACCTTACAGTTGATTAAATTCTGCAGCATCGTTCAGCTGACCTAACAGGAAGGAGAGCTTTATATTATGCTGTCCTGTGTATGATAATTAACAGCTTTCGAAATACTATTGACGAATATAATTGAATTCGAGAAAATCACTTTGAGCTGTATCAGTACATTTGAATCACCGGCATCTAAAACATAGGACACATTGTCTTAGGGCTAAGAGTAGACTGGGCCCCCGATTCTGAGGCCACTGGTTTTAAAAAGCATGTAATGCTTCTGACTCCTTTAGGCCCGTGATTTTGGATCCAGCTGAACCTACTGGTGACGTGGGTGGAGGGGACCGATGGTGTTGGCATCTCCTAGCAAAAGACGCTACCGAATGGTTGTCCTCCTTCTGTTTCAAAGATGGAACTGGATATCCCGTGCAATCCTGGAAAGTGCCAGTAAGAATAATCTAAAGAAAGTTTCCCCTGGAGATTACCCTGTGACAAGCTAAAATCAAAGAGCTTTTCCTGCTGTAGCAACTTGGAATTCATTCAGTCTCAAATAACAGCCCAACTCAGGAGCTGAGAATAAAACAAAACAGGTGTTGTTGTTTTTTTTTTTTTTAATTCCCATTGCAAGAAATCCTAAGGCAGGTGATCTAGGACTCAGGCAACAGCTCCATCGTGCCTTCTCTACAAGCAGGATTTTTCCACTGTGGCACACTTGGCATCTAGGGGTTGGAGAGCTCTTTGGGCCGAGGGCTGTCCTGGGCAGTATAGGATGCTGAGCAGCATCCCTTGTGTCTATCCACTAGAATATCCACCGTTGGGACCACCAATAAAGCCTGCAGACATTGCCAAATGTCCCCTGGGGCATCACTAGCTCTTTCTGGCTCCACCTTCTTCATTTGTTGATTTTAGTTTTGTTGGTTCTGCACTTCCAGGTGATAGGCTTGGGTCCAGGCAGGAAGAACAGCAAAGGGGATGATAACTTACCCGGGGTATCTTATTAGAAGCCTCATCCAGCAAATTCTCTTGCATTTCATTGCCTAGAATGGTCATGTGGCTCCCCATAACAGTGACTCCAAAAACTGGGGAGGGGGGTGGTCCTTCATTGCAAATAGAGGTTGGGTCAGCTGACCAAGAGTGTCCATCACACACCTGTCCAAAGCTCCACCTCCTACCAAGACACCTGCCACCAGATTCTTTCTTGGGGTTCTTTCAAAGCAGGTTTTCTCAGCCTCAGCAACTACTGACATTTGGACCAGATAATTCTGTTGGGGCGGGGGGGATGCTAACCTGTACATTGTAGGGTGTTGAACAGCATCCCAAATCTAACCTCTAGATGCCACCCAGTTGTGACGATTAAAAATGTCTCAAGACATTGCCTCTTATCCCATGGAGAGCAAAATTGCCCCCAGGTGAGAACCCAGCTTTAGAAGAACCAATCAACTCTGGAGTTAGCTTTAGTTGTCAAGATCTGCACTATAACCAGTATCCCAAAAATTGTCTCTGGTAACACTAACCCTCTCAGATACACTTCTTTCTTTTTTTCTGGCTCTTTTAACCAGTGTTTTAAACTGCTTAGGCTACGTATTATTCTCGCACATCTATTTCTTTCTCTCTAGACAGTGCAGGCACCAGGAAGTTGTGGAATTGGGATGTATCCTATTGTCAATGAGATGTTCTCACTCAGCAGTCATAGAATCCTGGAATGATCATGTTAGAAGAGACTTCTAGAGGTCATCTGGCAGCTGCTTTTTAAAGAATCAATTCGCTGTATAAGAAGCACCACCAGTTCCACTCTTCCCTTGACAATCTCCACTACTCCTTCCCTCGCTTCTTCGACCCCTCTTGAAGTCAAGACCATCACGTACTTTCTCGTGTCACCCTGCTGAACACTCACCCTGCAAGTGACCCACCTTACCAAAAATATCTGCTTTCATCCAGCTTCTCGGGCACCATACTGCTGTCAACTACTGTGTGTTTTCCAGTTAGCTCCTTCCTTTTCCTTCAAGCCTTAGCGGAGGGAGCTCTCCGTATTCCCAAAGGGATGCCCTTTAGCTGCTCCTTGGTTCTTATAATTCCATGATCTTGCTCTTATGCTCCTCCACCTTGCCTGCCTCCTGTCTGTTTCCCTCTGCACACAAAACCCTGTCTGCACCTGCTGAATTGAAAGTCTCCCAGCCAGTGGCAAGCCAACAGTCTTCTTAGCCCTTTAAACTCTCCAAAGGCTTGGATTATAACTGTCACCTTACGTACATAATAACCTATTGTCTTTCCTTCTGAGCCTACCGATCCCCCTGCCCCCAACCATGAGTGTCTTCTTGCCAAATCTCAAGACTTTATGCTCTGGTTTTAGTTTCACAGATACTTGAATGTCTAAGCATTTTAACCTCAAATATCCACTTAGAGTTTTAATGCTACCCCATATACCACTATACCAACTGTCGTATAATAATGTATCTAGTCAGGATCCCTGGGTGGCGCAGCTGTTTGGCGCCTGTCTTTGGCCCAGGGCGCGATCCTGGAGACCCAGGATCGAATCCCATGTCGGGCTCCCGGTGCATGGAGCCTGCTTCTCCCTCTGCCTATGTCTCTGCCTCTGTGTGTGTGTGTGTGTGTGTGTGACTATCATAAATAAATAAAAATTAAAAAAAAAACTAATGTATCTAGTCATTTGTCCCCAGCTCCTGGCACAGAGCTTTAGAACCACTTAGAATTTCCCTATAGGAGAGTCTTTTGCATTCATAGGGAGCCCCTTCCAACCATCCCTCAGTTTATGCTAACGAGTTTTGGGCAGTGTTTCAAAGGAGAGATTGGTCATGCCAGCAATGCCAGGCATGTGATGAGAGGGTTGAAACTTTCAGCCCCATCCCCTCTAACCTCCCAAGAGGAGAGAGGGCTGGAGATTGAGTTCAAGCTCATGGGCGATGATTTAATTAATCATGCCTTTGTAAAGAAACCCCAATAAAGACTGTGGACAATAAAGCTTGGAAAGCTTCCTGGTTGGTGAACATAGCAGTGCATTGTGAAGATGATGCATCCTAACTCCATGGGGAAGGGGGCGCTTCTGCACTCGGGACTCTTTCAGCCCTTCTGTGTATCTCTTCAGCTGCCTGTTCATCTGTATCCTTTAGGGGATCCCTGGGTGGCGCAGTGGTTTGGCGCCTGCCTTTGGCCCAGGGCGCGATCCTGGAGACCCGGGATCGAATCCCACATCGGGCTTCCGGTGCATGGAGCCTGCTTCTCCCTCTGTCTGTGTCTCTGCCTCTCTCTCTCTCTCTCTGTGACTATCATAAATAAATAAAAATTTAAAAAAAATTCATCTGTATCCTTTATAATAAGATGGTGATTGTAAGTATGGTATTTTCACGAGTTCTGTGAGTTATTCTAGCAGGCTATTGAACCTAAACGGGGGGTCATGGAAACACCTGAATTTGTAGCCACATTGGTAGGGGGCAGTACAAGTAGTCTGAGGACCCCACTCGCAGCTAGCATCTGAGGAGGAGACAGTCTTGCTGGGAGCTCACCCTTTAACATGTGAGGTCTGCACTGGCTCCAGGTAATGTCAGAGTAGAATTGAACTGTAGGACCCCTAGCTGGTGTGGTGCCAGTGAGCTGGTGTTGGTATGTACCACAGCTCTTGTCCAGAACATGGGCAAAGGAAAGAGCCCTTGAAGGAAGAATGACTGCTCCGCATTCACATCCACTCAGTCGACAACTAGTGACCAGACCCTTCTAGATGCCCCAGCTTGCACTAGAGACATAGACAGGAGACCATAAGACACTGCTTCATCCTCAGGGGTTTATGATACACCTAGAGGTACACCATCTGAATCCCTTAAATAAAAATGAAGAACTGTGTACAACTGTATGGTCAGTGGTACAGATGTAGTGGATTAAGACCTATAACAATGAATAAAGTAAGCGACTCAGAGTATCCCAAAGGAAGGAGGGAAACATCCTGCTATGTCTTTTCAGCATTTGGCAGACATTTAAGTTCATTAAGAGCAAAGACAAGAGAGCGTTCATAGTGATCAAGAAACATGTGGTCAGGGATCCCTGGGTGGCGAAGCGGTTTAGCGCCTGCCTTTGGCCCAGGGCGCGATCCTGGAGTCCCGGGATCGAATCCCATGTCGGGCTCCCGGTGCATGGAGCCTGCTTCTCCCTCTGCCTGTGTCTCTGCCTCTCTCTCTGTGTGTGTGTGACTATCATAAATAAATAAAATTTTAAAAAATTAAGAAAAAAAGAAACATGTGGTCAGTGGTCATCACTGGAAGGAATGAGAGCACCAACCCTTTTTTCAGAAAATCGGCAACACAACAGCAATGAATAGAATATAGTTAAGCCTAGCCTTTCTTGTACAAACTATATTTCAGGATAAACAGACAGCTATAACTAATAAGGAAAAAGAGGGTTTTTAAAAAGATTTTATTTATTCATGAGAGACACAGAGAGGCAGAGACAGAGGCAGAGAGAGAAGCAGGCTCCATTCAGAGAGCCCGGTGTGGGACTCAATCCTGGGACTCCAGGATCACGACCTGAGCCGAAGGCAGATGCTCGACCACTGAGCCACCCAGGTGCCTCAAAAAGTTTTTTAGAAAAGAATTCTACTTAATATTTGTCGAAAGGGTGAAAATTAGAAACGTCACCATTTTGCAACCTTCACTGAAATGAATGATAAGGCAGAGACAGGGATGGATGGGACCAGTATGAGATACATAGAGGGGGAGCTCTAGAATGGAAGGTGGCAGACCATCACCTCCAACCCCATGGTCCATCAGAGCATCAGGAGAGGGACATGGGTGCCTGCCGGTAGGAGGCAGTAGGGAGCACCCAGCACCATCCATTAAGAGTTTTTGTCAAGTCAAAAGGGGAAAAAATGGCCATAAGAGCAAAAGGAATTGCGTTAGCAAACCCCAGAGAAAATGTGGTGTCCGGATACACTTCACAGGGAAGAACATCTGAGTAAAAAAAGCAAGAGAGAAATGTGTGTGAAAGGGAAATGAGCCAAGAACATAGCAAGGATCCAGTTAGGCAGAGTTCAAGGTCAAGGTCCCAGGCCCATCGTCCATTCTGTTACCCTGGCAGCAAGGCCCCCACTCAGCCCAAAGGAAGTAAGCAATGATTAGAAGCAGGGCGACCCATGGCAAGTGGCCAACAGCCCAGGAAGAGTTTGGGAGGAGCTTGAGTGACAGACCATGAACGAGGCCAACCAATGGGGAGGATTTGCGGATAAGAGGATTATCTGGAGCCCGTCTGCTGGAGCCTTCCACCTGCTCTGAACTGAGGCTTCTCCAGCTAAGTCCGCTCAAGTGAGAGCACGTAATATGTTACCACCCTGGTTCTGTTTCTTGACATTAGTGCCTGGGATGAATCTCACACAAAGAAACAGATGAAGAAAACTCACTCTATGTCTTTCCTGGGGCTGCCCGGAGTGGAGTGTAGGCCTGGTGGGATGCACAGGGAGCAGAACGTGAGGACTCAGTAACCCAAGCCAACCGAGAGGGTGCCATCTGAGCACCCACGTGCCTGGCACGCGCACCTCGGATGGAGTTCCTCAGAGATGCGCTGAATCTGAGGCCGTTCTCTTCTCTTCCT